AGCCCGTCGCGCCACGCGCTATCCGATTTGGAATAGATTGTGGGCAACAAAAATGAAAAAAAATGTTGTAAAAAAACAAGGAGTCAGCGGAGATTAGATAATAAATCGATTTTGTTCTCTGTGATTGTTCCTTAGAAAAAGTTATTTTATATTTTTATATTTTTTGAGCCGCTTCCAATGCCTGCGGGCGCGTGGTGTCGGGTTTCGTGTTGCGATGGGGAGATAAGATGCAAAACTTCAGGAGGCCGCAAAATGGACAACAAAGTGTGAGAAGAGACTGCGTGGGAAAGTGCTTCCTTTTGTATTCGGCCCCACTGGCTGAGACGAGCAGACGATTAGGAGCGCCAAGGATATCTTGCATTTAAACCCTAGCCCCGCCGGGAAGGAGTTTGTACCAGGGGGTAGCTATTGGTCGATTCCACTCACTCCTGCAGATAACTACCCCATCATCACCACCCTCCCCTTTTTGGCTTTCCCCCCCCCAACAACAAACTGCACTTATGTTAGAACACACAAGAGAATGAACTGCTGATAGTATGGAGCTGTCTGGTCAGTATGGTAGCATCATCCACGTATAAGCGGACAACGAGTAATCAAGACGCGCAACTCATCTCCAGTTAGCCAGGAACCAGTACCATCATGCGCCACCGCCACTAGTAAAGTCCATACAGAAAACACAGAAATGTAACACGCGCTGCTGATCAAATCGTTAGAAACGAAAGAAACGATATCAAAAAGTTATCGAGTATTTTGTGTATTTGAGTGCACGCTTCTCCGTAGTGTCTTCCGGTGGGTGTGTTTGCGATGATGCTCTGCTGCCGTAGCAGCCGCGACCGTGCGTTGATTCGTCTGCACACCGTGTCTGGACATTCAAGCCTGCCTGTAGCTCAACAAAGCAACGAAAATGGATATTGGAGCATTCTCGGTGTAAGCTGGACGTTGGAAGTTGTAGTATCGGTGCTGCTGCTGTTGTTGGCCTCATGTCCAAAATAACACGTAAATTCCGACCGAACGATATGACCGAAGAGTGGTTGTCGTTCCATCAAAGACCAGAATAGAGGGGAGGGGAAGTCGCAATAAACCAGGCAACTGCCCACCTCCGATTCCGGAAGAAACCAACATCTGACAAGCAGGCCCAGACAGATCAGATCTTAACAAGAGAGACGGGCGGGTTGGACTCCAACTCCATGGAGCCTGGGGGCTTGGGGCGAAAGGAGACGGTTCGACCACCATGAACGATGGAGAAGGGGGGGCTAGAAAAAGAGCACAAGAGTGGGATTTCAGAGATCCTGGTTTCGTGAGGGCGTAATAGCGTAATCCTTGTTGGCCCGTGATCCCCTGTGCCCGCAAATGGTGAACACAACATACCCGCTGGGCGGAATATTTCAAGCAGCAACAAGAAACCAATCCGTTGCCGACCATCAAAAATGAAAATGAGAATTCACTCATGTGTGATCACTCGGTACCTTGTCATCATCATATGGTATCACTCAATTTCAATACGGGAACTTCAACTCCGCGACTCCTTCGAGATGAGAGTGGCTGGAAGTAGTGCTCATTTCATGCTTCCCAACGGAAAATTTACCCTTGTTACACTGAAAATGTGACCATTTCGCTTCCTTTGGCAGGTATTCTACTTTGGAATGATGCTTTGCGGCGTGTTGAAAATTTGACTGTCCAGGACGGCACATTATTCACCCGTTGAAATTTTGTGGTTACCTCGAGTCTTCCAAGCCACGGGCCATATTAATTACGAACTCCCGGATGGGTGTTGATAGCAATGCAAGGTGTCTTCAAAGTTTTCATTTCGACTCTTTTACCGGCGGCGGAGAAATAGAGAAATTTACATTGGGATTTCGGTTGGAGCCGAAACCGTATCACCATGGGAGAACGGATTTCTGTTTTTCTCGGTACCGGTACCGAAAATAAGCACAGGATGATGGGTCTCAAGTGGCTATAAATTATAAACCTCTGTTAATTATCCATGGACAAATTGCAAAGGAAAGAAGAAGGGAAAAGAAACCCCGATCAAAAGCACGAACATATAGGTAAGGACTTTGTTCCCCGCATATCAGGCTCGGTTGTGAGAGATCTACTTTGAAATACTCATAGTCAAAGTAGAGATACTGGTCGTTTTTAAGCATTAACTCCCCTCCCCGCATATGCTTACGGCGACCTGCAGTGCTGTGCTTATGAAGAGTAGGTACTCTAGGTACCCTGCCCTAAAGTACTCTACTAGTATTACATGTAGGTATGAACCTATCACATGTGGCTAGAATATGAGGATCTCCAGTATCCAAATACTATGTTGCGATCATCGGATTGGTAGAGTGCTCTGCCTACAAACGTCTGCGCCTTCACCCCCCTTCTGTCAAAGAAGGTATGTATTTGCCAGAAAGCTCCCCGCCTCTTCCCAGTGGCCCGGTACGAATGATGATATAGTGTTTCATGCAAGGTCACCGATGCCATGGGTCTACGTCGTTTCCGCTGCAGTTAGAAAAAACCCTAGCCCTTGGACATACATGTATCATATCATACATGTAGTTGGGTTATGGGCGGGGGTGTCATACGATAGCCTATTTCCCTTTCTCCCGGGCCGGGCCTCCGTTTAGGGCCGTTTGCATGTTTAAAGCGTAGTACCGACTTCGTTGAGATATGGTTGGGCAATTGAGCCCCAAAAGACAAACACAGTCTCTCGTAGATTCTGGCTAGAAAAATCATTACTCACTCACACTCTGGGAGTTGCACTATGTACATGGTAGTGCAACTCCCGCCAAGAAATCATATGTGCACTTTTTACGCAAGCTGAAATTCCTGAGCAGCTACAGGCCACGTGTATGCACAATAGGGCCAAACAAACGCCGAAAAAAGATCTCCTCGAGAACCAGTTAACAAGTCACTCATTTTTTTTTTGATGCCCGATGCAAAATATTGGTGCGATCTCGGCGTTACGTCGGCCACAGTCGATGGTCGTCGATGGTGCCATGGGAGGCAGTGGCAGAGGCAGAGGCAGGCAGAGGCAAACTTAGAAATGAACCCCGACCAACCAACAATTATCAAAACACCCAACCACCCCAAAGGTAAGTCAGACTCATCTGAGATCTAGATACCAATTTGCCTTACCACCACCCACATATCTGTCTTTTGGAGCCGAGACTTTTTTTCCTGTGGTGTGATGAACCCCCCCGTATAACTCTATGAACCTGAGAGGCTTAAGGCACAAAACCAAGACGGATACTCGCATTTGGGTCAGGCAGTAGTACTAGAGTAAGTTAACGAGTGGGTGTCCGATGAGCGCTGCGGATAGATATTCGTACATTTCCAGTACGATAACGGCTGAACTTCCGACTGGGTTTGTGTAAAATCTCCTAAGCCTTGTTCGACTTTATTTATTTTTTTGCCATTTCCAATCTAATTATGAGTGAATATTTAGTTTGTTGATCAGTGGGTTTGAGTGATCCCGTGATGGTAATGTAGAAGATGTGGTTGGGTTAAGCTCTCTTGGCGATCAAATAGATGACTGAGGGGCTCTTTGCCGAAGTTTGGGGTAATTCCAATATGTTCTGCCATGTATCATTGGATGAGTTGGAACTTTTTCTAAATATTGATTCGAACCAAAGTGAGGTCATGTACGTACGGACAGCTTCTTCCGGCCACATGTACCTTACTCGACTCAAGCTTAAGTCTCACACAGTCGCTCATGACTGAATTGTGTATGTAGTTGGTTTTTCCGGTCAGAAGCAGTTCATGTGAGTTTTTCCGTCGCCTTAATCGCCGTTATTAATAATTGCATGAGTGTTATAACTAGTGGCCTTTCATCCGTGAGTCAAGAGACGTGTTTTCGAGTGATATGTTGTGAAGTTAGGCCGCCAGATATTGCGGGCGGCAGGTTGACGTTGGCGATACTTGTAATAGAAATTGCGGGGATCAAAGCTCCATTCTGCGCTGCAAGAGCCGCTGGCCAGCCAGGCTGTCCATTTTTATGCGAGTCATAGTGACGAGTCGTAAAGTTAGTGAGGACCCATCCCCTGTCTGGCCAGTTTTCCATGCATGGGCCCCAGTCTATAAACGCGCCCTTCTGCTCCAGCTCTTGGTCTGTGGAGACTTTTGCCGGCCCACATTATTTGCCACTGGGCTAAAACACCTGAGCTGTGTTGATCTTGGGCTACATGAGCAGTGGAGATCACCGCTCTCGAGTGATGGATTGTGACCATGCAATAGTGGTGGAAGTCCTGTGTGCGCGCGCGGTGGTATGTGTTTACACCTACAGAACTGAAATTGGACCACACACCCGAGTAATAATGCCCACTGCATGCGTACTTTGCAGCATTGCACTCTACCATGGCTATGGCACCATGATAGATAACATGAAGATCTGTTACCGCGCCGCCTATCGCGAGGAAGCCTCTCCTAGTAGACAGACTCTTACTACTTTTGGTTGCCCTGTACGACGACAACAGCCGCATCCCGCACTCTTAGTTTACCACATGCGGCGACGTTTTTTTCCTTGAGAAAGGTGGCTTCCAGAAGACAGGCACCTGTTTCATGAAACGGGACGGGAAACCCCTGGCAAGGAAAACTGCCGATCGTTGCCCGACTTGGACCTCAACCTCTGCACGGTTCGTTCAAAAGCTCTTTGGATGTTCTGAACATCGTAATTGATCGAATTGCGACGGCTGGGCCTAGGGGGCAAGATTCTCGCTTTCTAGAAATAGAAGCAATTGAAGGAAGAAGTCTGTGCCGCGTCATCAAGCCTCATGTTTCCAGGGACAGGGACAATCCAGGAGGGAGGGAGGGAGGATAGGGATAAGATGGAATGGGATGAGATCGATCTCTCCTGCTGTGTGATGACTTCTGGATCTCTCTCACCCTTTTCTCCTTTGTTTGATCTATCCAGCATCGCGTTCCACTAGAAGTTGTTTTTTCAACTTCGATTCCTGTCTTTTATAGCTATAGCTAAGCTTTATAAACAGCTAATTGCATTCCTTTATTTTTAAACCATGAAACTTCACGCTCGTTTGATCACTTTGCTCGTTTCCTTCATTTTGTTTATTAGTGTGATATGTTTCCACCAGGCCCTCAAGATCAGGTATCGGAAAGGTAAGCAAGCTTTCATCCAAAGGCGGAATAAACCAGAGGCCTAGCCAATGTTTGCCGAGTTTCCGTTGCTAATGTTTGTTACTACCCAGCGTTTGGACTTTTACCCTCACGTCTGGTGATCTTCGGCGACGAATGGAGTGGTATCCTACCACCAGAAACGCTTCGTAAACGAGACAAGACACCCGCCCCCGCGCATGTCTGGACCGAGCTCCTCTGCTCGCACATACACGCCGATTGTAGCTCTTTTGCCCCAGCAAACACACAGGAGATCACCCGGATACAAAAAGGAGAATATGGAGCGGCAGTGGATAATCTTATATTCGACCAAAACTCGACTGTGCCGGATCTCCGGACACAAGTAGCAGCCTGGATTGAGGCTGAGCAGAAAGCTATAACCGACGGAAAGAGCCAGGAGCGTTCGAGTCTGTTTTCGGTGTTTTTCGGTGTCAACGATGTGTGGAAGTACTCAAGTTACAGCAGGGCAGATGGGGTTGCGGCCGTGGATGCAAGCTTGGACTCCATGTTTGAGCAGCTAGGGGTCATGGGTGCCAATTGGCCGGATCCAATCCAGGTGCTGATGCCCTATGTTTTGGACATGTTAGTGCCCCTATCTCACCCGTGGTTCAGATATCAAGCTTTTTCTTGGCATGAAGCTAATCCATCGAGTGATGTTATAGAACTATGCTCCCGGGCTGGAAAAGGTTTAGGGAGAGGAAGGACTTCAGGCAGGAGCAACTGAAGAACGCAATTTTCCTAACTAGGAAATGGAATCACGGTCTCGACCTGAGGGCCAAGAACTGGAAGAAGGGTAGAGTCCTTCTTTGGGATATGAACAAGTGGTTTCTCGATGCCATCAGGAATGAGGCGAAGGATGGGTGGTTCGAGGTTAAGGAGGGTTGTGCAAAGAACAAGAAGGATATCTGTGATCGACCGGACGAGTTTCTCATGTGGTAAGTCCTTGCTAACATTAGTTTTAGAAAGTGCACTCTAACAAAATTTAGGGACGACATACATCTCGGGCCACGCGCTCATGAGAAATTAGCTCAAGCCGTTGTGCAATACCTTTTGTAAATGCATCTGGGAAAGACATTCGGATGTTTATAATACCCTTTGGGTGGGTTTGGTTTAAAATAGACTTTGCATATTGGTAGGATCATATCGATATGGTTAATGTCGATGTTTTTGTTTCTTTTCTCCGATAAATTGTACATAGAGTTTTGGCGTTATAGGTTGTGATTTTTTGTTTTCGTAGGCAGTATTTCGAGGTTTGCATAGAGATCAACCATACTGCCTTGTATTTAATATCTAGATTGATAATATTAATACTTTGCAGACCGACACAGTTCCGAAATTGCTGCAACTGTCTGTACTCTCATCTACATGAGATCGTATATCATGTAGCATGATATTGTGCATGTGGTCTGCAATATGGTGCATGTACTTTATGGTTTGCTTTTAATTAATGTTACCGGCGGAATAGCTTGCCCAGTAAAAAGCAACCCGTTAAAGAAATGAGATACATAGAACGAGAGTAGTATCCAAGTTACACTCTCTGCACATGGCATTATTAATTGCATGTAGTGTTTAGGTAACAGCAGAGGGTGCAGCGTCTGAAGACGATTTCCCCTGCCTCAGAGCCCGTCTTCTGAAACTCTCCATGTTCAGATTCTGCTTCGTAGCTTCTGTTAAAGAAGAAGGTTGTGTCACTTTCCTTCGTGGGAGAGGATCATCCGGGGTTAGAGCGCCAAGCGTATTTTTTTTATCGCCCTGCAAAGGCAAGGAACCTTCGAGGTCAGAACAATTGGGAACGCAACAATTCATTCTTTACGAGCCCTTCCTCTTTTTCTCGGTAGCAATTCAAGGAAGCTGCAGAACAAGCCAATTCAACTGAACACACGGCCATTATTCTCATTTAGCCCCGCCGCCCCGCCATCGTCTTCCTTCCCTCCTGTTCACCCGACACCGTGGTGTCTGCTTGGCCTTTATCGGTCGTCCTTTTTTTTCCCGCCAGCGATCCGGCATCGTTGTTGCTTCGTCGACGCGGGCCGCGCGACCTCTCGCGGTACCATCCGTTCGCGCGCCACTGCGAGAAGTGCTGTGCGTGAGTGAGTGAGAGAGTGTGCGTGGGTGAGAGAGCTCTAGAGTCTAGAGTTGCAAGAAGTGTGAAGGCCTAGTAGGAGAGGCGGTGAAAGATAAGATAGAAACAGAGAAAGAGAGAAACGGATAATCAGGCGGACAAAACAGAACAGAACAAGACAGGACAGACAGAGCCTTTTTTCCCATCGTGTCGGAAAAAAGGCGGGTACTGCAGCAACAATATTAATTATAAATCTTGCTCTGAATAGCTCGCCAAAAAAGCGAAACGAAGCTAAAGCGTTCTGACAAAGGGGAGAAAAAAAAAAGAAAAAAAGAAAGAACATTTTAAAAAGGTTCCAACTAACCCGTGATATTTTTTTTTAAATTTTTTTTTTCTTTCCCTTATCTTACCTCATACGGCGTATTTTGGAACGAATAGAACGTCTTTCTTCTTTTGTTTTCGCTGGGCGGAATCAAAGAGGAACATCTTTTCCTTTCCAAGAAGTCAGTCCCTTACAGTTCCACGAAATACAAAAGCAGTAACGACCTTCTACTACTCTTGGTTACTTCCTCTAAATAGAGGGTCTATATCGATAATTCTACCAAGAATGGCAGAGCCAGCTACAACAGCTGCAGAAGCGGAAGCTGGGGTCCTGCGAAGCTTATTAGAAGAAGGCGAGGATCCTCCGGGTACTGGTGATACAGTGGACATATCAATCATGGCCAAAGACGTCCCGGTCACTTCTTCTGCTCCTACTTCTACTGTTAACGTTGCTGTGGTCCCAATCGATGTCGAGCTTAACAGCCTGGTTGCTCAGCAGCATGCCGCAGCTCACCAGGCGCGGGCAGCAGCTGCGCTGGAGCAAGCTGATGCTGCTGAAGAGAGACAAAATCAAGACCAGCAGCAACAGCAGCAACAGCAACAGCAACAGCAGAACCAGCAGCAACAGCAGTATCACCAAGATCCTACATCACCACAGCTTCAGCAGCAGCAACAAATGACGCTGGCTTCGAATTCTCCCCCACCTGCTACTCCTGCACAGGATTCACCACGACAGCCAGCTGCATCTGCTCCACAGACAGCACCTATCGTAATACCTTCTTCGACAACAGATATGGAAGACGAGACGTCATTGACACCCGGCTCCCCCGACTTGACGTTGTCATCCGTGCCACCCAGCATGAGTATTTGTCTATGTCAGCAGCCCGCTCGCATACCAAGACCTCGAAACGGTAGGACACCCTTGGACATTGTTTCTATCTCATTACATGGCATTGTTTCTTTGTCTTTCTTTTCTCTCTTTCTTTATAAGCTACAGAGGGAGTGTTGGGATCACCGGGTTGGCTGTGGACCACACATTGTAACGAAGCTAACATGCAATCCTTCCGTATCGAAAAGCTTTCATCTTGTATCGACAGCACAACCAGGCGGCCGTCGTTGCCCATCACCCTGGAAAGCCGAACCCTGAAATATCAAAGATAATCGGAGAGATGTGGCGCACAAGCCCACAGGATGTCAGAAACATATGGCAGAAGCACGCGGATGTTTGTTTGAACACTTAATACCCACCTGCTATAAAAGCGGGCATTTGAGATATTGAATGTAGAATTCCTTGGCGCTGACGACTTTCTGGCGCGCCCGAAATAGGATGAAAAAAAACAACATCTTCTTCGATATCCCGATTATCGATACCAGCCTCGGAGAAACGGTAAAAAGAATGCCGCGGCTGCAGCTGCAGCCTTTTCATCTGCAGGCACGGGTGGTGCGTTGTCACCGTCGATTGAAACCACCATATGCTCGTTCTGCGGCGGCCGCACAGGAACTCTTTCTACACCACAGACTCCCGGTACCCCTTCTTCTGCGGTCCCCAAAACCCCGAGATTGCCGCCACCGCCACATATCTCCAGGCCACCCTCTGCCGCACCTCCGCCGGCGAAGAAGAGACGGACAGGGAGCTCTGAGGATCCTATTCCTCAGGCCAGCCCTGAGGCAGGCTCATCTAGTGGTGTAGGGGTCGTTGACCAGGCTGGCGTAGAAGCGCTTCTGCAGCTTGGCCACCTCCAAAACGAGGACGAGTCAAATGCTGTGGTTGTTACAGAGCTTCAGACGCCGGTCAAGAAGCGGAAACTGAATGAAGGCTCCCCAATGACTGGAATGATGGGGCCAGGTTCACTACAGCAGGGTTTCTATACTCACCTCTCACAGTCTGCGCACGATCCAAATATTGACCCATTCCTCCGGCAAAACGGACTCGAAAGCGAGTCGCCTACAACAGCCACAAGCTTGGATCACGAGAGTAATCTGGCCGCCACCTCGCATTACCATCAGTTGCCCAATTTTACGACTCAGCTACCGGACGCATACGTGATTAAGTCTATCCCCATCCTCGAGAAGATCAACGCATTCAGCAAAATCTGTAAACCTCTCCCTTCCATGTCTGGGCCAGGCTTTCCCCGCCTGCCCATAGTCGCAATCGAAGGTGAAGACGTTGAAACAGTGACCGAACTCTTCCATGCCCTTGCAAAGGACATTCGGAAATCCGAGCCGATACATGTGATTGACGAACCAGAGCTATTCACGCCTACAGTGGCAGAGGAGACAGCTGACATAGAAGGACTTCTCATCCCCACTGGCCTTGACTCCTCTAGCACCGCCTCTCTGGTCCCTGTAAGCAGCACCAAGGACAAAGACCGGCACGACGACGACGATGATGCCGCGCGATACCTCTCTCACGTTGCTTCATGGCGGCGGCGCTGCGCCGAAATCAAGAAGGCCGTGACCTCTCCCCCGGGAGGCGACGGCGCCGCCCCCGTGACGATGAACTTTGGGGAGGATTCGGCCGTGGATGCACCGAGCGTGGTGCTGGTCAATCGCTATATGGTTTCGCGCAGCGACGTTGCTGCGGCCAGGTTGGCGGCCGACGGGCTGACGCCATTGCAGCATTGGCAGTGGTGCGCGACAGTATGGAGAGGGTGCGTAGGCCCAGACATGACCATCTATGTCAATCCTGTACCTGAGGGCGGTGTTCGGAGCGAGGAGGCAGTCGAAGTGCGGGATAGCGGGCGGATTGTGTTTGTGCGCAAAGAGGAGGGGGTTCGAAAGGAGTGGGATGAAAAAATCGTGAGGAGACTAGGGTTCGAGGTGGGGGAAGTAGTTAGAAGCCTGAGGGGATTCGGTGCGTGAGATTGCTGCTGCTGGGAAATATATCTGGGGAGCTTTTTTTTTCTCTCGTTTCTTTTTTTCTCTTGAATGGCCGGTTCTGGTTTGGGTTTCCTTTATGTTGAGTAGTGTTAGTTGGGAAGAATTTCCTTGTTTTGTGTTCCTATTTCCTCACACACACCTCCCCCATCTTGGCTTTGTTTTGAGCCTATCACCATTCTTTGTCTAAGTATTTCTCTCTCACCTCAGATCTCAGACCTCACCCTCCCCTCCCCCCACCACTCCTATCCTATCCCCCCATCTTGTAAGTAAGCTACAAGTACGTATGTACCACTACTACACCACATCATCTTATACATCTCCTTGGCGAACCTACTCTATGTTTCCTCATATTTATCCATTATTCTATCTATCTTAGTGGGAGGCTAGCTCTTTTTTTCTTTTTGTCATTGATAGCTTTTTTTCCTTCTTGGTCGAGTTGGCTTAGCGATTTATTATTGTTATTGGCACTGGTTTCTTTTTTTCTTTTTTTCTTTTTTTTTATTATATTATTTTTATCTCTTACCCCTTATCTTGATTGAAAAGAAAGAAAGAAAGAAGGGAAAGGAATGGATCGGACCGCATATAAAGGTGAGGAAGGGGAGGGAAAACAATGTGAAAAAGTTTTTATATGAAGAGGCATTATATTCGAGACGGGATATACCGAGTGAGAGTTCTGTACGGAACCGAGTGATGACCCATGCCGTGCTCCTAGTCCACTAGTCCCCAAGCCCACAAGCCGATAATCGCATTGTCTCATCACACTCAACCCAACGAGCCGAGATTACCTTTGCCAGGGATTTGTATTTCATGTGTCAGCCCAATCAGCGAGCCCAGCCAGCAAGAAGTATTATAGAGGCACAGTGAAGAATGCGCAGTGTGGGGTAGAGGAGGTAGGAATTGAGATGTAACAACCGAGAGCGGGATTTCGGGCTGTTGTCCGTTCGTTGTGTTTGAATTCTGGGTTGGGTTGGGTTGGGTTGGGTTGGGTGGGAATAAGGTTTTGAAAATGGAACTCTCAACTGTTTAGAAAAGCTTCAATTGGGCGAACCACTTATTCTACTAGAGTTCCTACAGTATCTAATCTAATTACTCTACTACTACATGTAGTTATATGTCATAATTGCACCTCGGATCTTTATTCTACCCCCACACATTCACATTAGACTACACCCAATATCCATATCCCGGCCAACCCGAGTCACATCCGGGCTTACCCCATGTCCCATGGCTCAACTGCAGCCTCGGGAGTCGGGGTGTTCTATCTCCCCAGCGCAGTGATCGGATGTGTCAGCCACTCGGCGAATTGCTCTGCGTATGCTGAGTCAGTGTGGTCGCGCTGCTGACATTCGATTACTCTGCGCTGAGCGAGGGAAGAGCTTGCTCGGGCTTGGGAGCGGTGTTGGGCTACTTGGTCGGATGGGTACCTGGCTACATGTAGTTGTAGACGTTTCTTCTTCTCTTCTCTTGACTTCTTCTCTCGACTTCTCTTTCTCTTCTCTTGCTTCTCTCCTTGCTTCGACAACTACATACATCTCTGCTCTGCTCTGCTCTGCTCTGCGGTTGTTCTGTATTCCTATCCTATCTTATATACTTCGGCATTTGCGGAGATACTTAATAATACTCTATATCTTTACTACAACCCCCATTGCTACTGCTACTACCCGCTACTATTCACAACTATTCTCTACCACTTACTGCAGTAACTGTCTCACAACCCACCTACCACCACCAAAGCCAATCTATTCCCACCCACAGCTCCCCCCCAATTACCTCACCCACTCGCAATATAATGTCGTCTCTCCCCCCACCTCCCACTAGTAACGACCTCCTCCTCTCCCCCACACTCGACACGCCCCCGCTCCCCGCCCTCTACTCCCCAGGTCCCGCCTCGGGCTACTTCCCCATGTCGCGGTCCGAGTCGCTCCTGACCGAAGACGGCACGGCCTCTGTCCCGCCCTCGTGTCTGTCGCCCGCCTTCACGCCGCCGACGACAACCCCGGGGACGCCGGTGTTGGGCGCGGCGAAGGGCGTGCCGATCGAGGAGGGGGCGACGGCAACGAGGCACCCAAAGCTGTTGAAGGAGCTGCCGGAGGTGAATTGTATTGTGAGGGCGAGAATTCCAACGTACGTATTTGCTTTTGCTTGCGAGTTATTCCCATGATATTATTATTATATGGAGATATAGAGATTCTATATAGAACTACATTTTTCAGTCTCAATTTTTATCTAACGAACCATAAATCAAACAGCACAACTGGCACTGAGATCTTCCTGCACCTCTACCAGAACAGCATCGACAACAAAGAGCACCTCGCCATCGTATTCGGAAACACCATCCGCTCAACATCGCTCGATGCCCCGCGCCCCGGCGAGTCCGAAATGGACCGTATGATCCGCGGCGCCTACACAGGCCGCCTCTTCCCCGGCCGCACCTCCAGCCGCTACGACGACTCGCCCGCCGTCTCGCGCCCCGCAAGCGCTGCCTCAAACCACCACCCCAAATCAACTCCGCTCACCACCGCAGCTAGAAACAGCGCCCCGCTTGTCCGCATCCACTCGGAATGCTACACGGGCGAGACGGCGTGGTCGGCGCGCTGCGACTGTGGCGAACAGCTCGACGAGGCCGCGCGCCTCATGGCCCTCGACCCTGCCGGCGGCGTCGTCGTCTACCTGCGCCAGGAGGGCCGCGGCATCGGCCTCGGCGAGAAGCTCAAGGCGTACAATCTGCAGGACCTAGGTAACGACACTGTACAGGCGAACCTGATACTGCGGCACCCGGCGGATGCGCGCAGCTATGGGCTTGCGACGGCGATCCTGAAGGACCTGGGGCTGCGCGATATCAGACTGCTGACCAACAATCCGGACAAGATTGCGGCGGTGGAGGGACCCGGTAGGGAGTGTAAGGTGGTGGAGAGAGTGCCTATGATTCCATTGGCGTGGAAGAACATGAAGGGCGGTGTGACGGGGAAGGAGGTGGGGGAGTATTTGAGGACAAAGGTATGTTTGAGCTTCAATTTGCTTCAATTGGGTGTGAATCGTGAGTGCTGATGGATTGTGGTGTAGATTACGCAGATGGGACATCTGTTGTCGATGCCTGCCGGCACCGAGTGATGTCTTGTGCTCATCCTTTTCTTTTTTCATCCGTTCCCATTTCCCCGTCTTTAATTTATTACTGTTTTGGGGGACCATGACTTATACCCCGAGCGAGTCGGTCGTTTAGCCCCCACCCCCTAGCATTATCATTGATTATCGTTGTTGGCCCTCTGACAACATTTTGGGAAAGTCTTCCTTAGAGGCTAGAACGAATGATGGACCTTTTTTTTCCCTCTTCTTTCTTAGTTTCTCTCTTCTCTCTTCATACTTCTCTCTTCTATATTTTTTTAAATTTCCGTGTATATGCTGGTTCGTCCCCCCTTCCTCACACCCAACATGTATGTGATGGAGGATTTTTACATACTGTATCTTTCCTTTCTGTGTTTTCCCTTTTGGAAAGAAATTTTTTTTTTGAAAAAAGAAACTGGCGTTTTTGTGTGGTGCTTTATTTTTCTTTTCTTATTTCCTTTCTTTTTTGTGGTTTTTTGTTTACCCCCTCACCTGTTAAATTTTGGTGGAACCGCTGGTGGGAGAGGAGGGGAAGGGGAGGGGAGGGGATGGGTGATATTTGGCGAGGAGGGATCTAGATCAAAAGAACCTAAAATGCGAATTGTTTATCACATCCAGTCGCCTGTCCTGTGCAATAAATTGTCGGCGATACTATCATTTCCCCTCGTGAGATGTTGCGCGTGCAGCCAGCCAACAGGAGGGGTCGGATGGGGATGAGGGAGGGGCACAACGACGACGACCACTTTGCAGAGCCGCACTAGCAAAGAAAAAAAAGTTTGAACCCCTCCTCGCTCTGGGTCTGCCCCACCACCACCACCACGAGCGAGTACTAAAATCCACCCCACCCCGTTTCTTTCTGTCTCTTCTTCTCGACAAACCTTCAGCAGTTTGTTCATAGCCTATAATTCTATATACTCTTTTTCCAACCCTCCCAAAAAGACAATGCCTGAAGAAGTCCAGAATGTTGGATCTGGGCCCGAAGTGGTATGTATAAAAAAAATCTTTGGCTGTTTTAAAGTTTGTGGTGGTAGTTCCTTATCTATATATAACTAACTTGCCCCTCCCCCGCCAACCAGGTCGCCGAATTGTTCGATACCGTTCTGGTATAACAAACCTTTCTCCCAACTCTCCAGCCGCCTATAGAACTAGACTTACAATGTGTTTTTCTTCTTTCTCGTTGTTTTTTGGGCAATAGGTTCTCGATTTCGGGTTTGTTATCCTTATCGCTCCCGCCAAATAGGCGCCGTTTTTGAAATAAGGGTTCTAATGGAGAGGGAAATAGTTCTCAGTACTCCCACTTGATCACCCGTCGTCTGCGTGAGCTCAATGTCTACGCCGAGATGCTCCCATGCACCCAGAAGCTCAGCCAGCTGTCATGGAAGCCCAAGGGTGTCATCCTTTCCGGCGGACCCTACTCTGTCTACGACGCTGATGCGCCCCACGTCGACCCTGCCGTTTTCGAGCTGGATGTATGTTTTCCATATACTCACTCCATCCAAGCTTCCCCCCCCGGTATCAAATTGCGGGGGCGCTAATGTCAATCATAGGTTCCCGTCCTCGGCGTCTGCTACGGCCTCCAAGAGATCGCCTGGAACCACGGCAAGAACGTCTCCGCCGGCGAGCGCAAAGAGTACGGCCACGCCGTGCTGAGCGTGACCCGCCACACCGACGCCGCCCCGCACGTCGACGTGCTCTTCTCCGACCTCGACACCTCGCTCGAGGTGTGGATGTCGCACGGCGACAAGCTTGCGTCGCTGCCGCCCAACTTTGTCACTGTTGCCACTACCGCCAATGCGCCGTTCGCCGGTATCGCGCACAAGGACAAGAAGCTCTACGGGATCCAGTTCCACCCCGAGGTCACGCACACGGCGAAGGGGAAGGCCATCATTGAGAACTTTGCCGTCAAGCTGTGCCAGTGCCGCCAGAACTGGACGATGGAGAAGTTCGTCGACACGGAGATTGAGAGGATCAGGGCTGTTGTGGGCCCCACTGGGCAGGTTATTGGTGCCGTCTCCGGCGGTGTCGACTCTACGGTTGCGGCCAAGCTCATGAACGAGGCTATTGGTGACCGCTTCCACGCTATTCTCGTCGACAATGGTGTCATGAGGTTGAACGAGTGCCAGATTGTGCACGAGACCTTGACCAAGGGATTGAACATCAACTTGACCGTTGTTGATGCGAGCGAGGAGTTTTTGGGCAAGCTGAAGGGTGTTACTGACCCGGAGGTTAAGAGGAAGATCATTGGAAACACCTTCATTGAGGTCTTCCAGAGGGAGGCGGAGAGAGTTGTCAGGGAGAGCGGTGGAGCGGTGGACTTCTTGCTGCAGGGAACTTTGTACCCTGATGTCATTGAGAGTATCTCATTCAAGGGACCCAGTGCCACCATCAAGACTCACCACGTAAGGAATTACAATTCCTGAATAAAGAAAGGGAATATACAAAAGCTGACAAAACCCCCACAGAATGTTGGAGGTCTCCTCGAGAACATGAAGCTCAAGCTCATCGAGCCCCTCCGCGAGCTCTTCAAGGACGAAGTCCGCGTCCTCGGAACCAACCTCGGAATCCCAGAGGACCTTGTCTGGCGCCACCCCTTCCCCGGCCCCGGCATCGCCATCCGTGTCATCGGCGAGGTCACCCCCGAGCAGGTTGCCATTGCCAGGAAGGCGGACCACATTTTCATCGAGGAGATCAAGGCCGCTGGCCTGTACCGCGAGATCTCACAGGCGTACGCTGCGTTGTTGCCCGTCAAGGCTGTCGGTGTCATGGGTGACAAGAGAGTGCACGACCAGGTTATTGCGCTGAGGGCTGTCCAGACTACAGACTACATGACTGCGGACTGGTACGACTTTGATGGGAAGTTCATGAGGAAGGTGGCTGGAAGGATCGTGAACGAGGTTGATGGCGTCTGCAGAGTTCTTTACGATGGTGAGTTTTCCGAGTCCTGATTTTTTTTTATGGTGTCTGCTTGGAGTAGCGGTGCTGATATGATTTTGTGATGTAGTTACCCAGAAGCCACCAGGCACCATCGAGTTCCAGTAGATGCAACTGGGACTGTGTGAATTTAGATAGTGATTTCCTTGGTTTTTTTCCTTCCCTTTTCTTCCTATGTTTGCTTCTTTGTTTGTTTCTGGGTGGAATGCAGGGCATATTCGTTGCTTCTTTTATTTGGTTTGTAGAGATAGAATTGATACTAAATCCTGACCATTCTATGGCGTTCACTTGTGCGATTGCGCGTGTATGAGTATTTCCAGGGATGGTATGATCAGAATGTGCTAATAGGCCTACTAGCAATTCCGGAAATTTATTGCTCACGTGACCATCCACTCTCACAAACCCCTAGGGTTTACACCAATACTGTGGTCACATAAGCAATAAAATATTCGGCGTTGCTAGCTAGTGTCCATTGAAGCCTCTAGTTAAAGAAGAAGCAACTAGAACTAGAAGTTCTACTCTTGGAAGAATAATGACAAAACTAAAAGGCTATAGGGTGTAGAAAATACATGTTGTAGGCATCTAGCCTTCCTTGGCAAGATTTCCCTTAAGTTACTTTGCCTCCTTCTGGTTGCAACAAGCAACTCGATGTCCGCAACCAAAACAGCATAAAAATAGTTCATTTACAAAAAAACCCCGGGGAGGACCTCCCTTACTTCCACCTGCGCGTACAGCCAAAACCAATCAAAATCTAATTGTCCTTCAATCGCAGATCCCTCAAGGGCACCCTCCCCCTAGTACCAGAGGTGGGCCCAAACGAACGGGTGGTGTATGTTACCAGCCTGGTGATAAACTCCAGCACGCGGTTCCAGAAGGCCTCGAAAGGACCATCCTCCACTGGTGGCAGCGCCGGCTCCTCGTAGATAATAAATAAGGGGGCGGCACTTTGTGTAATGCGGGCATAATAAATTGTTTCAGAGACCTGACGTTGCGGCTCGCACCAGTCCCGCGGCCGGGCAGAGGATCTGAGCAGCTGCGGCCATGGATAGCTCGCAGTCGAGGGGAGATAATAGCTGTTGGGTAGGATGTTTACGCTGTTGCTTGAGCGTAGTTGCATGAGTCGGTTTTGCATTTTGAGTAGTAAGTAATTTGGTGATGTCTAGGTTGATCTTTGGTGGGATCTTCTGATGGAGGGCTGGAGAGGAGGCTTGTGAAGCCTATATATAGGGTACGGCTTGCGAGATGAGATCGAAGTTTCGTAATGGCTTTGAGGATATCAGTTGAGAGATTGCTCCGTGGCAGAGATTCGGTGCTAATAGTTGTAGATAAATATAGACGTGACGCTAGAATAGCCGAAGATTAATCGTGTTCAAACTACAAATGATGACACGAGTTGACATCGATGTTTACTATGTCTTTTTTTTTTGCGCTATAACCACGAACTGGGAGTGCTGTTTATATGGATCTGAGGAATCATGCTCATCTTATCCTCCGGAGGATCTGCTTAGATTTATAGAGCTTCCAATTCTAAAATCACCACTTTACATGGTCTTAGAACCATAGGTATCAATAAATGGCTTCTAAATCAAATCTTGATAGTTTGGTATTTGAACACAAGCGTGGATTGTCTCTAACACTGGACGCATATTAGATCGAGTGATAATATATGAAGAGAAATACCAGTGCTGGACGTTCAAAGCGTCAATGAGTAAGCTGGAGTTTTTGTACAAACAATTTATGTACAACAGCAGCATTAGTAAATATGTATTGATTTACCTAAATTATGGTCTTGTAGATTTGTTAAGTGGCTATATACATGTATGTATATGTACATGTAGTTTTAACTCTCGCTCCAGCTTGGCACAATATTCCGCACTCCGAATCGGTACTCTACATGTAGTTTTGGATTCAATTTATTGTGTTATTCATTTCTGTATGTGGCCTAACTGGTTTTATAGTAAATCGGTACGTCTTCACGAATTTATATCTAAAGATTTTAGAGTATTCTAGATACAAAATACACCACGAGCTTGCCAGATCCACTCTATTAGAATAGATAAACAGCAGTATGAGGTATCTAAGGCTTCTTTCCAAAGCATGCAATATGACCATCAGAAGTTGACACATATACACGACCGTTGCCGAATGCAGGACGCTGAAACTTTGCGCTTTTGATTCCAGTGGGTAAGTTTATTCTTTGCAGCACTCCGTCTATTTCACATTCAGCTTCTGTTGGTGTTATAATGGCAGAGAGATGCAGTGTCAACTTACTGACTGGAATAGCGCGGTATGCATTGAGATCACCATCGCGAGTTGTAAACCACAATATGCCTGTCCCTGCAGCCCCATCGAAACTGGTTACAGTTGGAATACCTGTGCCAATATGACTGGCAGTATTGTCTGACCGAGCTACATCCGTAAGTGTGCCTGAATTCAAATTAGTCTATGCATGTTTAGCACACTCGATCAATTGGAACATTACCTTCCGGATTAAATTTATAAACACATATTGCGCTCGCCTGTGGAAGTATTATTAGTTATTGTGGTTTTAGTGATCAGTAATAGGTTCTTACTGTCCCCGCAGCAGAGATTATCTTTGCATATATATACCCCCCTCCTTGGACCCCAGGTAAGGGATATGAAGCGACGGTGCCATATAAACTTCCAGGGGAGGACCCTATCGGTGGCATCACGATCGTTTGAACCACAGCATCGGTTCCTCCATTTCCGTTCTTGAACCCTCCCATATTGTTCATGTTAAGAACATACACTGAATACATCCGTATTAGTTTTATTACTTATATAGTCGGCGGTTTGTTTACTTTTTCCAGTTTTTCCTCCCACAATGCCGATAATGGGAGCAGTAGCAGCCGAAAAAGATGCTGGGTCTAAAATTGTCACCCCGCCAGCGCCTATATCTCTCATATCTGGGTCTATATTGACATAATCATATGGGCCTAGTTATAATGTTAAAATCCTTTCTTTCATATGTTCGTGTTATTTCGTTACTCACGGAAGAAGTCTTGGGGAGTAAGTTTTCCCGTCGTCAGATCAACTTTAATGTTGACAACAGAACCTTCCAAGATTTTAGGCGGTGTAGATCCCGCTACCGCAGAGGAGTAACTGCCAAGCACTGTTGTTTTTCAGAATAGTTAGTCAAAAAGCCATGTAACTATATAGGAAGATCTAATAACATTTGCCATTTCCTGTAGCTACAAAGAATCGATCTGCTCCATCACTTGCAAAAGAACGACCGGACTGCCAGATTCCTGCCTCTCCCTATATTCATAATGTTAATCTCTTGAACGAGTCACTGGGTTTGCAGCCAAGACTGACCCCACCACCAAGCCAGGTTCCATCCTGAGCAATAGAGTCTGGTCCCGATATCGTGGTCCAGATTGCATTTATCTTCGGTGTTCCAGTGTCAACACCAACTATATATCCCGTAAAGTTGTATTGCTCGCAGACACCACCGAAGGCTGCATATACTGTGTTCCCTTTAATGATGAGGGAAGTTCCTATGAGACGTTAGAAGGTTCTAGATTATAACCTTTTAAGTGGAACCCTTACGCTGGAGATGGGTACCACCATGAAAGTATTTATCCGGTGCCTGAAGAAACCTATCAGCTTTACAATCAGAAAGGGAGATTGAAGTAAATGACATTATCTGCAGGATTGCCATCAAGCATCACTGGGTATCCAGGACGATCCGCTAAAGTTATCGCATCAACTGCATACAGGAAGTACCTGATATAGTATCAGTTCACGTTGCTAGCTGCCTCTCAAACAATCAGGTATAAGCGTATCACATACGCTCCGTTGAAGACGCCTTTAACAGTATCTTTGTACCCTTTCGCACAGAAATACATAGTATTCGTCGGGCGATTTATTATCGGAGTCCCTGTTATACCCACTGTGCCACGGATATCTGTGCATGGCAGGTCCGCAACATCGAAAGGATCTTCGAATCAAAAACAAAATGTCAACATGGAGCGGATAACGATTTGATTAGAACAGAATGTGGAATCAACCTCGAACTTGGCGCTTGGTTATGATCGCCCCGGTAGCCCCATTAAGAACATATACCCAGTTTGTCTCAGAAGCAGCAATGATGACCTGGGAGCCCCCAGCAGGAGTGTATACAAGGGGTTTCGCTAGGAACTAGTAATTCTTAGATGAAAATATGGGTCGAGAATATTCTGGGTTTGGGCTTACCTGCTCAGTGACCCCAGAGCCTGGCACCGATCCACCTGTTAAAGTGGTCCATAGTAATCCTACGACGAATCAGTGGTGTTTTTTTCTTTTAAAGTTGATTTTGCATATACCAAAATTTGTTGAATCAACCACTAAAGGGTCTATTTTGTGGTTTGGGAGGTATCCACTCTGAAGATCATCTGCACCGCCCATAATGTCAATATTGGTGAGAGGAGATACGGATGGGGAGAGAGATTGACCTGCATCTCGAATTGAATCTGTCGCTTCCTGTGAGTGAACAAGAACAAATAGCGTAGCTATTGTAGATAATAAAAGTATAAAGAATAGCATCTTAGGAAAAAGAGGAGACTGTGTTATATTTGTTGCTTACGTCCACGTACTGATTGTAGGCTCTACGTACTAGATCTCTAGGTGGAATTCTTAACGATATTTAAACCGTCAAGAACAGATGAAATATTGAGTCTATATTGAGTCAACTATAACAACAGGCTGCTCCCAAGCCCTTTAATCCAGGTTTAAAAATTATTACAAATGCAGGTACGTCAAAGACTAAGCTTTCCTTCCGAGTTTTCCACTCAACTTTCTCCCGTGTTTATAGAAGAAATATATGATATGAAATCCGGCTGGCTACACATGTATGAAAAAGACCAAAGGTTTGTGTTTCCGATTGCATCGAGTCTGACACCTTGGATGATGAGGGCGAAGCCCACAGCGGGTGAAAACGGGATCACCCATATGGCCATAAGATGAAATATGTGATTACAGTTAAGTATCATCTTATCCGAACATTTTATGTTTTGTTTAGAAACGTACGGGAATCGCCAATCAAGGAACATACTATATATATTTGATTTCAGATCGGAAGACAATATTATACCCGGAGACATCAAAAGTCACTCGATGCCTGTAGTATATTCTTGGCATACATGTATCTACATCATGTAGATGCGTGCGGGTAGCTAGGCGAAAAGAACTAGAGGGTGCTATTTCTAATTACTATGGTATTATCTGGTGGACAAACGTCTAGGTGCTAATAATTCTCTGTATTAAGATCAATTTCAATCTTCGCATGCAATTGCAAGGTATGGTGATACTCGAGCTGCTCGTGAGAGGGGTACAAATTACTAGTACGTCGCTGGGATCCGGGAACGTATGCCGGTGGTCCAATATGGTCGATATATCGTCACACAAGCTACCAAGTTTCGTGTCATGAGCGCCATCAGACCATTTCACTCAGGGGGCACAGTTCCAAAGGTGTGGGGAGCAACATAATTCTTATTTGAGCACGGCAACTACCCACTGGACTGTACAGACTCAAAGTTCTTCACAGAACATGCATAAGTTAGCCTTCGAAGCAATTGACATATACATAGCCGAATATTTAGATATTCTCATTGGCATAATGGCAATGGCAATGCTAATTTTAGTGTAGTCCATAAGCCAGCGCGAGATGTAGACAAACGCAGCTTAAGTTGCTCGAGCCCTCTTAAGAGGCCCGACTCATGGACTACATTATTTAAATATCATTATTCCATTCATTATATAGTTTACACGAAACACTTAGTAGGAATCTTAATTACCCCACCCTCCCATAGGCCTACTGGGCTGATCAATAACGGGCGAGCTTGGTATCCAGCCTTGTGCACTAGTGAAATTACATTGCATACATCATGTATAGAGTCCTGAGTTTGCTCCATCGTCGATCGAATTCTGATTTGGCCATCTAAGGATTATTTCGTAGTTGTATATATACTTTGTGCTCAATAATTATCAATTGCAATTCATGGACCTAATTAGAACATCTCGAAATTATTTGAGTTACCATCCAAATGAACGTTAACCCAGAGACATTTCTAGTTTGTAGTACGTGTAGATAGTGGCATAGCTATGTAATTAACGGTAAGGGATCAGGACATTTCTCGCAGAAAATAGTTACACTGAAACCTCTGTTGATGTGATTGATTCCTTAGCAGGTCACGTCAGAGCACGCATGTAAGTCCAGCTCGCAAAGATAGTTTTACGGATTTGAGGTTGGTTAGTTCTGGTAGTATAAACCTTTACCTGATATGGTATCGATATGGGCCCTTTGGGTATGGGACTCTCTAGGAAATATCCGAATATACACACCAAATAAATAGTATAATGCCCGGGATATAATTAGTGATGGGCACGGGACGAGACGAGCGTGATATGGGCATGGTCTCGTGTTGTTTCATTCCGTAACTTATAGGTATTGTGAAGTCCCGGGATCTCGCAAAGGTTTGACAAAGTCTCGAGGTCCCGGGACTTAAGGCGAGAATACTCTAGGCTCACTAGTGGCCCGCTTCCCACACCTCTCATGATATCTCATGTAATAGGTATACCAGAACGACTCCTAGTATATAGTGAGAAAATGCTGATAGTTTGGCTGATTGACCGATGTATTTACATGGAAAAAGGAAGTCAATAAAGCTTCATTTTAACCTTATGCCACCCTCAGTAACCTCTTTCGGGCCTCTTTATCGACTCCGCAAAATATTTGCATGTTACCAGGGTCCCGGGATTATCTCGAGACATCTCGTCCTATGCCTATCAATAGATATAATTGGTAGTATATTACTAAATCGATCCCTCTACTTCGTTCCTCTCCTCTCGAAGGTATTTCCCCAGGATGTAGTAGCTCGGCTCTCTCATCTCTCCGCTCCGAGTCATCTTCGCAAGAGGTGATATCTTATCAACCTCATAACTATTCAAGAGCACCAACAACATCAGCTCCGCTTTTTCACACCTCCATTAAACTTTTAAAACTTACCCATTGCGGTGATAGAACCGCTTTGCACCCACGTTCTCAGAGAAACACGTTAACATAGCTTTCGGCATCCCAACCGCCCTTCCATAATCCTCTGCAATATTCATCAGAAATTTTCCTAGTCCCTGGTTTTGGCTGCTTTGGGCAAGTTGAAGCTCATAGATGTATATCACATGCTCTTTTACTTCTTCCGTGATCATGAACGAGAGAAATCCAACTATTTTACTGGGATCTTCCTCGTCTTCCCAAGAGTCTTGGTTTCCGTCTTCCTCCAACTCATTGTCTTCTTCCTGCTCCTGCTCATGTTCTTCGTCATGGTTCTCATTTGGCATTGCCGCATCCTTGGTGCGTAAGAGTAGGTACCGGATTGCAGGATGCCTCATTTCATTCTTCTTCTTAACCGAAGACCAACCCATACTACTCCTCTTGTACCTAACAAATCACGTTAATAACAATCGTTATCGGCTCTAAAAAGGAGATATTCATACACATCTTGCAGGTTATCTCTCACAAGCTCAAAGCATCTTGTGAATGCAACATCGGACAAAGATGATGATGTCTCCAATGTCACAGAATGCGTTTCATTACTTAATGGTATAGACGGGAGGTATCGAGCTCGCAATGTAAGGAGGGGAAGCTTGTTATGCGATTCTAATTCTGATGGTGACATTTTCGTATGAATGTTTGAGTGTGCTTGAGACGTGGTGGCTTCTGTTTTGTTGCTGCTGCCAAGTCTTGCCAAGTCTTTTGTTTGTTGAACGTCATTCAGAATACGAGGTGTTCTTTGTTGAACAAGTGCTTGTCCAAAGCACAGGATATGGAAATGTATGAATGAGAGCGGATGCAAAGAGAAAAAATTGGTATATCGCTCGAATATTTCGACTAGCCGTGACTATGTTCGGGGTGCGAGTGAGATGTTAATGAAGTAATCAATCAATCAATCAAGCGAGTGAGATGTTATGTCTGGTTTTCTGGCCATGGAAATTCGGAATATGGAGATGAATGCGATCCATGTTGAATGGGCCGATGATGTAGAACTTGCTGTCACGACTTGAGGTGTCGCTTGCCAGATCCAGCGCAAAGTAATCACAGAAACGTGTAGATAATCGCTTGTGTTGATGAATTGATCTATCATGAATTGAAGATATTTATTAGAGGGATAACGCTCCTTACATTCATGTAGCTAATATAATATAGCCTCAATCTACATGTAGTAAAATATCTTTAATGATAACTAGCATCTAGCCTAGCTAACCGTAAGATATAGACATTCGACTGTACCAAAACCTCATGCTCAATGTAGTATATACTGCATAGATACAGTTCTAGCTCTCTCACGCACGATAGGCACGCAAACGACTCGCGATCGATGACCCAGGAGTTTGCAAGTATAGAGGGCAGAGGAAATCATAGACCGAGAAACTCCGGGATCAATACCGCGCGTAGATTTGGTGAGTATCGGCGGGCTAGTTATTTTGTGTAAATCCGGAGCGAGAATGGGTTGCATGAATCAATTCGGAGTAGCAGGTAAGCCATACTAGAGGTATTTTCTTGGCACGAGTGATCTTCTGTGATTCTCGGAGCTATGCTCCTTCATAGTGCTGTGAAACGCCGAGGCCTGATCAAACACAGTTCAAGGGGTCCGATAGTAGAGAATAGGGAAAGTGGGGATCGAGAGAAGATAAAAAAATTGATAGTGGTGTACGTGTGGCGGGCGATCTATATATCCTAGGTTGTCAATCACACTCACTTTCAATGATCCATGGTACTAGCGTGGTCCACGAGAATATGCAAGCTTCATTTTGTCATTACCTAAATGAGATGTCCTCGACGATATGAAAGAACAGTGGTCTAAAATACAAGGAGCCTTGAGCTAGGATGATCTAGCTAGAACCTCTACTCGAGCGTCCTCGTGGACCGCAGTGTCAATTGGATACGAAGGATGTAACTAGCCTGAATCCGCCTAGATAGAAACATAAACAGTACTGTAGTAAGGACCCACCAACATTCAAGCTTACGTACATGTACTACTAGCCAACCATCCTTGGCGCACAAATATCATTTCTAGCCACCAACACACATGGGCGAGTGGTCTAACGGTTAACCCTCGCCAAAGAACACCGCGAGGTTTAGCCCTGCTTTCGATCACAGAAGGCCAGGGTTCGACCCAGGGGTGGGAGTAGTGCCAGTTCGTCCCGGAACCGCACAGTACTTTTTGTTCTTTTTTTGTGCATGAAAGAAGAGATACTATAACCACCCAAAACGTACCGCTTGGGGTCTTTTTTTATTTTGATAATAGTGCGCAATACCCCCCAGTATAAAACCGCAGTTGAATTTGACATTCCGTGGCATTTGGGGGTGGCATTTTGGGTGAGCCCGTTGCCACGCAGAGGTCAGGGTCAGGGTTTCCGCTCTCGACCAATCAGAGGCCTCGAACCTGTGAAAGAATTAAGGGTAGTACCGGGTGTTGAGGGTAAGTGATCGGAATCTGATAAGTGAATGATTCTGATCACTTTTCGCTACACCCTAGTACATATAAAAGAATATGGTCTGAAAAAGTTTCGCTAAACCGGCCTAATTATAATCCTACATCCGGTCCTGACCATGGGGGAGACTAATTGGCCAAATAATGAGCGAGAAGCTAAGATAGTTCAATCTGCGATTGTAGGCCGGCCAGAGAGAGCTCTGATTGATATCACACATACCCCACTAAGGAAGGCCCTCAGGCCCCTCAAAAAAAAAAAATACGCAAAAGGTGATACTCTGGCCATACACTCCTCACGGGCTATGGGTCCTAATTCGCGAAAGGGTCTAAGGTCAACTCCCGGTATATCGGACTCCACTCCCCGTTACATGATATGCACCTCACAGTATCACTCCCATGACTCACTGATGGTCATGGGGACTCAACCCACTCGGTGTAGCAAGACGAGGCGTCTACCACTAGACTACGCTCGCCCACAGAACTGTCAAAGGCCGGGAAGTAATACTTAAGGGAGTGAGGGCAAAGTGAGCTAGCTATGGGGACACCTAACCCTGCAATCACAATCTAATACCACGAACCCACTGGCCACCCTCTTGTGAATATATATGTGCTTTTATCAACACCAACCACTCCACGCTTGTGCGGAGCATCCCGATCTCTTGCAGAAGCGACATTCACAATATCTACGAGAAGAAAACTTTCTACTAATCTATACTTATACAAAACATGGATACGACACCGCTACTTCCAGGCTCCCGATCACCAACGCCGATTAAAGTTGTAGACGATATAGCTGGCTTCTTGATACAGGACCCAGAAAGAAGCTTTGCTGAAGTCGACCATCCTGATGTTGGATTCGGATCTGGGGGGTTAGATATAGACCGGGGAGATACGGTAGTGAAGCTTTCTGTTACTGGAAACCCCTTCCATGCTAGTTCCGATGTCGGTTTTCAATTCGGAAGAAGGATGCGAATAGAAGATCCGCAGGATCAGAAAGACGTGCTGGGACTCGGGGCAGGAGTGGTGGGAATTTCTCCTAGTAGAACTATCTTACATTGCAATCCCAACATTGAATATGAATCTGAAGAAGCGATGAAGGATGCAGGATCTCACACGCCAGCGCCCAGAGAACTACGAACACGGGCTCATTTGGAGCTCACACCGAGGCCTGAAACCACGAATGATACTATAACACTCATGAACATTAGAGGAACCAGGGATCCGCAGAGAACTGGAGGCGGCATTGGTGAAGCTGTCTTGCAGGGAGGTTTCCCTAGGGCTGCTCCGGAGTTTGGTACTCAGCTTTCGAGCATGTTTGGTACTTCCGGCGGCTTACCCATAGGTGGGCAGGCAGGTAATCATGCACGTTCAGAAACTTTTAAAAGAAAGCCAGAGATGCATGACTATAGGCCCCACTGGCAGACAGAAGACGAAGACGACGAGCAAGTCGACAATGACAATTGTAAAGAGGATGAGAAAGAGGAGGAGAGCAGGGATACCTTGATATTTCAAAAGAAAAATCATAAACTCGAGGTAACGTCTAAGATTTTGTTGTGGTATAATTGTAATACATAGATATGGGCTAACTAAAGGGTTTATAGAAGAAGAACTCAAATTCTGTAACAAAGCAAGTAGGCAGTTCCACTAAGGTATCCAAACAACGAAGCCGTCATAAGACAAATAAACCTTTGCCAGTGACGGAAATCACCCCAGTCAAGTTAGGGAACAAAACACCTCTACCGCAAGCACCCCGCTTAGAGAGGCTCAAGATTAGCCTTGGTGAAGAGATTACAGACTGCAAAGACTACTTAGAGGGCTGTTTAGTTTACGACGACGTTGGGAGGAAGTTTATGGGATATAAACTGGATCCATTCTAAGCCCGCGTATGGGCCCGGATATTGGTAGTAGCTGGTTGCTTAATCGTATCGCATGATTGTATTTTCAAACTAAATCTCCAAATCCGTCCACCTGTGGGATCGATAGTTAAACTCATCTAGAGATGTGATTGACTAGTCACTAGCTGACGTAAAACAAAATGGCTAAACATAATCTTGTTAAAGCGAGTCTTCGACAAAGATAGTAAATATTACACATATTTCTCTTAAATGACTCAATCGGAAGCTTCTAATCGTGGAGAGAATTTGAAAGGCTTCTGACCCAAAAATCACGATGGCGCATGTCACTCTGCTTGGACTGAGCTGTAGCTGATAGTATTCGCGGCTGGCAACGATAGCTGTCCTTTTCGGCAAACTATCTACTCTGAATATCATTCACTTCTAAGAATCTGCTCTAACTTTCATTAGGCTTGAGATGCCTTCCAAAAGACTGTTGTACCCCATTATCAAAACGGCTTACTAGACAGCTAATCAATAGTACATGTAGATATAAAGTATCAGCAAAGAATTATATGGCAGCAATATCCGCCGCCGTCCACTTTAAGAAATTAAAGACCTGCTGAATACAATTAATGAATTAAACTAAAAAACAAAACAAAAAAAATGACCTGCTGAATTTAAGCCACATATGTTCCCGAGTGATATTTCATGATACCCTACATTTTACAATCATATGATATCACTCGCTGAGTCTTTTTCTCTTGTTAGATTACCTCTTTTTTTTTAATTCATTAATTTGTTAGATTACCTCATACTCGGTGTTGGTAAATGAAATCAGTAGAAGTCGAGATATTCTAAAGGCTTCTCAGATGAGTACGGGTCATGATGTAGATGGACGAGGAGAGTCGTGGTTTTTAGTATTTTTCGGCCTTGATCATGAGGTTTGTGTCCCTTCAGGATTTGATTGATTGATTAGGTCAATAGATATTTGTCCCTTCAGGAGGGATTGTATAAATATATAGAACTGATTGTGATGGATGGCCAATGTGTCGTATTAATTCGTGGGAGATTAAGAGAAAGAATCCTAGTTGTCTACTTTGATCTCGTTATAAGAAACATGGCTTGCTGGTTTTTTGAAGTATGTGAGTCTTCACAATTGGGTGGATAAGCCATTGCTAGAATGAGAATTTGGAGTCGAGCTTTGGTGGCTATGTGTGCTGGTGAGAGTTGGCTCGATGTTGAACTAGTTAATTCATAAATAGTCTGGTTGCCAGGGTGAAGTAGTTTTGAGGTAGGGTACCCTATATCCTCGGACAGTGATGAAGAGTTTATCTGAGGAACGATGGAAGTGATGGATTACTGGGCTTCAAGCTACCTGATTAAGGGTAGAGCACTAAGAGACGGGACAGAGACAGAGAGGTCTCCTAAAAGAAGGAAGAAATAAGAGAAAAAGAGAAGGAAACGGCGAGGAAGAAGATAAGTTGATACGATCTGATCACTAGATCCAATCCCACTAGATTTACACTACGTAAAAACATCATGTCAGTAACAACACTCTACTTCCCAGCGAGCCTAAACGGCAGTAGAGCTTTGAGCTTCTTCCCCCATCTTTTGGGGCTTCAACTTCACGGGAAATCACTCGACCGCATCATCCATAACCGTATCTATTCCTATCGCCAAAAGTGGTATACAAACAACTGGATGAACGATATAGCTGACGAAAGGTGAACAGGAAGAAGAGGAGAAGAACGACGCCTAAATTTAAACTGTAGCAGCAAATCAATCACTCATGCACGTATCATTCTCCTTTTAATCTCGGCTTAGTTCTTGTTCTCTACCCTCGCTGTGCTCTGGCGCGCAGTATTTCTAAGGCGTGCACTCTCCGCACTTTGCACCATAATCCTCGCCCTCACAAACTTTCCTGCGTTCATCGCTTTGAACCTCTGAATTTGCAGCCTCGCATCCTCATTCCATATCTTAAGGATTTTGAGCTCATTATTCATGAGTTCATTATTTTTACTCGCCTCCTTGACCTTGGCCTCCAGTTCGGACATCGAGCAGTCTATACAAATCTTAGTTGAGATCAATAACATTTATAATATAACTGGAGATACGTACGCTCATCACCCAAGCTCTCAATCCCAGGCAAATCCATCACCTTCTTCACCAGTACAGCCTTAATCTTTGTACCTAACGCTGTGCGAAAGGCGTTATGGTGCAATCTGTTCCAGACACCCATGCGCAGCTCGCGAGCAAAGTCAAAGCATTCGGAACGATCGATTTCCCATTTGAGGGTTCCGGGGACGTCGTGCATATCGATGAGCTTGGGTACGATGAAGACCCTGAGATTGGTTACTGTGGCGGGTGGGAACTCTTTAGTTTTTTTTTTTTTGGAGAAATATCAAGGAAGGGAGACAAACGAAGGTAGGTGTGGATAATCTTTTGGGTTTGAAAAATGGCTATTTTGCTGGCCATTTTGTATGGTTAGTTGGTCTGGTGGAGGCGTTGGTAGACGTTAGGTTAAATTTGAGATTCTTGGGGTTTTAATTCCTTTCTTTTACAGAGAGAGGTTTGGAGATGGTTGGGGAAAAGTCAAGAAATGATGCTGTCTAAAAGGTTTGGCTAGGAATCTGGGGTGCTCGGCCGTGTAGCTAAGTCCCTCATTCAATCGGGAGCCCCCTTCCCGATTAACCACACAATCCTGCACAAAAATATAAAACTTCCCACCCACCATCTTGAACTCCTCTAACCCAGAATCAACCAAGCTTAGATATCATTCTCATCTACAATGGACGTCAAGGTGGATGAGATCGAAATGGAAGTCAAAATGGCTGATATCCCCCAAACCGGTGACCATACTCCAGAGTCAACCTTCAAAACCCCAAAGGAGAAAGCTCAAGATTCTAGAGATACCAATAACACACCCCCAGAACTACCAGCCAGTGTCGTCCTGCTAGAAGACGTACCAACTGCTCTTGATGTACCGGATTACACCTCTGATACTACTATCATGGACGAAAACATGTACGACAGCGACAGCACCATCACAGACCCCGACATGGCCGACTACCTCCTTGCTATACAGGACCATGACAATCCTGATATACAGGACACTGATAATCCTGATATGCAGAACGCTATTGACAATCCTGCCATGCAGAATGCTGTCCTTTCTGCTGTTCGAAACACTGTCAATTCTACCATTCAGAACACTGTCAATCATGCCATGCAGAACACCATCCATCCTGCCATGCAGAACACCGGCGTCAATCTTGCCATGCGGAACATTGTCAATTTTGCCATTCAGAATGCTATCAATCCTACCTTCAATCCTGCCATCCAGAACACCATCCGTCCTATCGTACAGAATACCATCAACTCTACTATACAGGACGCTGTCAACCCTGCTACCGCATTCGGTGCTCTCGTGGAGCCTCCCGAGCCATACGAGTCTGCGCTCCCCGATGCCGGCGAATCTGATAATGACACAACGATGTCTGAAGCCGCTGAAGAAGCCGACCAGCTCCGATCTTCACCTTGTAGTACTGAAATTTCAAATAGAATCAGAGTTCATAACCCTATGAGCATCAGTTGGATCGTGCACCCAAGAAATACTGAGCCTAATCAATCGTCGTCGGCAATCATTGACCCTGCACCCGGCCTCAGAAACGCCGCGGACCCCTCAATTGCCGGCTCGCGCGCGCAGTCCAGACCCGCCGAGCTCCCAATTGTCCAGTCGCTGATTCAAGCCTACATCCGTACATAAATCCTCTCATCCTCTCTTCTCTCACTTACTAATCTACTCGCTCGCCCAGTTAAAACATTCCATATTTTCCTCCCACTCGACTATATCACCACCGAGGACCTTCCTGGCGCCTACAGCTGGAACGCACGGCCCTTCAAGACATTTGCCTTCTTCCGCGAGCGCAGCAGCAGCACATGGTCACCGGAGGAGCTGTCGCTGTTCACCCGCGCCCTTGGAAAGAGCGTGTGTGCGCTATGGGACCCATGGGTGGAGCTGCCGGAGAGCGTGAGTATGATTGAGTTGTATAATAACTTTCTGATGCCTAGGTATGAGTTAGAGATGAGTCAGGCAAGTTTGAGGGAGAAGAAATCGTTTCCTGTGAGTGCTTAATCTCATATTCCGAAAGATGGCGGAGTGGAAGTGCTGAATATGGTAAACAGAGATGGTATTTCATGCACACCGGCGAGGAATGGTGTGCCGCTATTCGTCCCCATGTTCAAGTCATTCAAAGAATCCCCGGTTTACAGCTCCCCGCTGCCACTGAATGCAATTAATTTCACCCCTCCCCTCCTCTTTTCCACGCATAACTAACACACTACAGTGACTAAAGCGCACAAATTTGTGCAGCTCAAAGAGATGACCATGGCACTAGATGACGCGAGCGAGGAGATGTGGGCCGATTCCTGGGACCGGCTGACTCTGAAGCGCAAGCTGGACTTCTATCTCACGGGGCTGGAGGGTGTCGATATTGCTGCGTTGAGGGCACAGTATACGGCGGAGGAGCGGTTAGCTGAGTGGGAGGCCCAGAGATCTAGAGAGGAAAATTGATCTATAGGGGGTCGTCGGGCTAGATCTGTCTTGGGATTTCTGGCTTTGTACGAGTGATGTGTGGTTGCTCGTTTTCGTACTTTGGATCCGGCCAGATTTTCGTTGATCGTATTGTGTATATACAAGTATATATACAACCCAAGACGAATGGTAAAATGACAAAGCTTATTGTTTGGGTTTTGTGTGCTCTAAAATCCTCAGAAAATACACGCTGATACGGAGTATAGCCAAGGAATTCGATTATAGGGCGAGTACGATTATATTTACCTATAGAACATTATACAAAATAAGACAGATAAAGATCAGGAACCGGTGCCCATGGGTTAATGAAGAGCGTGACAGTATAAGGTATATGTATATAGTAAAGAGGGGGGGGGGGGTTTACTATAAAGCTTAAAACAAATAAAGACTTTATAGTTACAATGATATTCGCTATAGTACCGCACTAGCTATCTCCAGCCACATGCTACATTTATTCTAACCCAGGATAGATATCTAATATTATTTCAATTCCTCATTAGGCCAAGTACCGTTTAACTAAACATCCAAATTCGGCCACTAAACAATTTGTTAGGTCCTTAAAAATACAAAGTTAGAAAAATGCACTTAAGGAACTCTTTCAAAAAGAAATCATAGTTTACCGATCGCGGGAGGACTCGAACCCCCAATCTCTGGTGATAGACAAAGCCGAAAACCAGCGCCTTAACCATTAGGCCACGCAACCATAAAGGAAGTTACTGTAAAAACACTTTAGTTTAGTTTAAAATTATACCCTGTCATCATGGCTTGGTAAGGCGTTGATAGATTTGCTTGGACAGCCCAATGTGGATATCTTTGTGTCTCCTAGAACATGAGAACTTGTAGGAGCTGATTTGCTTATGCGGACAATAATTTCGGTATTCTGGGTCCGGCATCAGTTTGGGTTGTTTAATTGGCTGTTAGAAGAGTTGAGGACTTGGCAAAAGTCACCAGGAGGTTGGTTGGTTTCTTGATCGAACTACTGTGGGTATAGTTGAATTTGTTGTAATCGCTGAGGTCGTGATAAAAATCCGAAAGATTTTAGGTACGATGTGAGGTGCTATTAATAAGGTCAATAGATTCTGAGGTAGGTGCATCACAGCTCATGTGCACACTGTACACTTCGTTATATAGGATACCACCTCGGCGTCCAGAGCTCTTCATACGTGGAATTACGTGGTTTAGATGACACCGGAAGAAGAATGAGTCGGAAGTAACGTATGCACATATACATTCGGCCCAGTGATTAATTAAGAGGAGAGAATTAGTTTGATTGTTCAGGATATTGATGTAGGCGTTCAATGCCGTCGAGGGGATTGATGTATGCAAGCCAGGTACAGCAAATGGAATAGAAATAGCCAATGATTGCTCTTGACGAGAGGGATAATTGGTCCCCAGTGGTTGGTGGTTTCAACTCTTTTAGGTGGGTTTCTCCTACCAGAGAGCTTCTACGTTTTTCTAGATTCTAGAAACGCGAATGAAAAAGTTTATTATAAACGTAGTAGAATTTCCAGAGATAAGTGAACAACTTACATGTGCTGCTACCGGGATTCTGCCTGAGCCTGCCGGCACAATGTTTTAAATCAGAATTTCAGAGTTTTATTGCTTTTGTACTACACCACTCCCGAGTGCAAGAGGACTTCATGATCAGGGTACACGTAGATAAGGAGTCAGTCACGTATGTACAGAAGTATCGGCACATACACTGCAAGAGGAGCGTGGGATGAGATCAGGAGAAGCAGGATTATAGGGAGTTACCTCTCATGGTTCTGAATCATCAAGGAGAACGTGGCGTTCCGAATCACGAAGAATCACTTGATCGATTGCTTGCATTGATAGATTGATTTTCACGGAGCGGAATATCACATGTGCCGAATTATGAAGTATCACCGTGTACTAACACGAGTCCTGGCATCAGCACAGTTGCATTCACAAGTTCTGCAAAAGTATATAATTTTCCTATATTCTCTTTCATTCTTAGATCCCTATTAAGTATTTATTACCCTTTATTGCAGTTATCGTTTCTCGCTCTCATGCTCATATCCCCAGAGGTGAAAATAAATAAGACCAACGAATAGAACCAACGAATAGAAGGAAAGCTTCGTGAAGATTCAACCCCCACCCTAGTCCTATTTGGCAAACGTTCTACTGATAGCTAGGCACATTCCCAACTATACTGGTACTAGCCAAACTTGAGGATAGAATAAGCGCTGGAATGAATAGTAAAGATGTCTTTCCTGCAAAGCACCATAAATTAATTGATAAGGAAAAAAAAGAGATCTGTGAGTAAAGGCCACTCTCTTAGACCAACTTTAGGCCGGCGAGTAGTATTTTTCGACGCACGAAGGAATAAGAATGTCGGGACCCTCCTCATTATTCTGAAAAGCTCACTTAGAAAACTTCGCAAATAAAAGAAAATTAGATATCCATTTTACTGGTCAGATAAATCCACGCCTAGGTACCTGCTGTTCAACTAGGATTCAAAGTTGACGGGGTTGCGGGGGCATGATATGTTGGGATTCGGACTTTATAATTACCTACATGTAGTTAATGGCGGTAATCCAGTACAAGGTAGCTTTACTATCTCCCTCATTCAGTTTTCTTTGAAACATACTGTATGACCAATTTCTTTTTCGGGTCCGTATGTATGATGTGTTATCTGTTGTGTAAATATTCTAGGCAAATGTATTACCTACAAGATCACTTGGCGGTGTATGCCAAGGCTCACATTGTAGAGGACTTCTGTTTTGGGCTACACATGTATGCTTGACGCACGCCAAGTAATAGGTAGATCACACTTTACTCTTTGTGTAAGCATATCCTATCACCAGTGTCGTATTTCTACCTTACCATGCATGCAGTCTTAAGGTCTACTACCTACCACCCACAACCACCATTTTCATCTCCCGAGCTCTCTGTCCATTACATGAAGCTCTACCTTCTGTGAGCCACAACAACCGTAGCAATCCAGCTCTCTCCAATCATGGCAGAAGCAAATAACAATCAGTTCAGCGATGATCTAGAATACACATATAACTTCTATCCACCACCCCCACCTCTTCCCCCACCTCTATTCTTATCCTATCCGCCTCGCTCAAATACCCCGCTAGATATCCCTCGCGAATACCGCCCTGAGTTTCCTGTGCTACGGGATTTGTCGGATGACGAATTACTAAATTTAACCGACCTCGTCCTCTTCGAACGGCAACGGCAACATGTCGAAACTCTGAGAGAGAAGGTCCGATATGTGGACCGACTAACGGCCTTTCTGGAGCGTGAGGGAAAGTTCGGCGTGGGTGATATTTTCACAGAAGAGCTTGGAATTGACGATACGGAGGAGAAGAAGGGAGCTGGGCAAGGGGCTTCTAAAGAGGGTAGCTATAAAGGAAAAGGCAAGGCAAAAGAGGTCGAGGAACCGGAGCTCGGAAATCGAAGTTCTCCCAGTCATTCTTTATTATACAACTACTCTTCTGATCTCCCTCCACCACTCCCGTCGTCATATGGTGTATTCCCTACCCCACCACCTTCAATAGTTTCCTTCTATCAGCCTTTATACACACCGCATCAGGCTGGTGGTGCCAGGTACTCCCTGCAAGCCTTAAATGACCCAGCACATCAGATTTGTGGACCTTTATCTGCGTATAAACCGTCTTCAAAGAACCCAAAAGGGAAAGGAAAAGAGAAAACGAACGGAAATAGCAAACGCAAAAACAAAAGTTCAGATCCAGAAATCGAGAAGCGATGGGTGTCTTATTGCCAAAGCCGATTCAGGTACCAATGGGAGATGGCACAAGCAGACTCAGAGATCATGGTTTTGGAGGCTGCCGTCGAAGCTGTTCTTCAACGGAGGAAAGGCGAGATAACCGGTGGAGGGGGACTACGCCGTGAGACTTTGTCCGAGGTCAACCGTTTACGAAATTTACGTATGGGGAAGGCCAAGAAGGATGGGTCCTTACATGCAAGGGCTACCCCAGAAGCCTCTGGAAAAGGGATTGAGGGACCAATTATGAAACTTCCCACAGAGCTCCTTCACCAGATATTTTCTTACTTTCGTCCTCACCACTTGGCATCCTCACATGCTCTCGTTTGCCGTCGTTGGAATTACATTGCTACGCCTATAATATACAGGAAAATTCCTTTTGGGGATTATATGGAAGACTACTGGGTCGAGGTTGGGCGTCGAAAGAGGTTATGGAAGAAAAAACAAGAGAAAAAAGTAAAAAGCCTCGGCACAGAAAAGCCTTACGAGATACCCAGGATTTATGATCCTTTATATAACCATGGCCATAGGGTTGCTCGGACCCCAAGTGCTGCATGGACAATGAGATATGGGCATGGCTTGAGACATGACTGTCACTCGGAACAGGATGAAGATGATGATTCCGGGTATAATGATGAGGAGGACTTTTATCCCGATGGAAAACAAGGAGGCACGTTTCCTATTGGTGGGCCAGCGCTGGTTGTCATGCCTTGGAGCATGGGTATTATTAGAGCTATTAGGTATTTATATCTTCTTTGATGGCTGAAATAGAATTTCTGACGAACAATCTATATCATAGTAACCCGCACCTTGCAAAACATGTTCGGCAAATAGATTACCAAGCCTCTTCCTACACATCATTCCCCAACCATAATGAAGCCGGAAAGGTCTTCTCTGATCTTACAGACACACGCCCTATGCTAGATCAACGCTTCAGGACTCTCGAAAAACTCGTTCAGCTTGTGAGAAAGGCTGTTAGGCAATGCACACGTGTTGAAGTTCTCAAACTCAATTCAGGGGACGAGAGAATTTCAAATGCCTTGCTTGGACTTCTTAAATGGAGCCCTAAACTCGAGAGTTTGAATATTATCAACACTAATTTACGACTGCTACAGTTTTCTCGTGGATCTGGGAAATGTCAGGAGGGATTAATCTCAAGAGGTGACGGGAAAGGAAAGGGCAGAGAAAGGCCTAGAGATGTGGAGGGATTAACTGTTGATGAAGGACTAAACCTTCGACAGTATCTGCTTGACTCACAGAATCTTTCTGAACCGCAGCGGGGTGGGTTGAGGATTAAAGTAAAAGCGAAGGGGCCCCCAGGAGACGATTTTTACCTACCATCTCTCAAACGGATCCTTTTCTTCAGATGTGGGTATCATCCCCAGCCTCAGAAAGACATAGTAGGGATGGAACCTCCTGTCAGAATACCGCCTCCAAGACCCACAGATAGGGTGCAGGCTAGTAGAGATCGCGAGCGAAGGAGAAGGAGAAGATTCAGGTTCAGAGCAAAAATAGCTCGGGGTGAAAAGAGAGCTTTGGAAAAAGTGGTCTTGTTCCTCCAACGTTGCAATAACCTGGAGGAGTTGAAGGTAAAGGGATGCCAATTTCTCCCAGAAGCCCTAGTCGATTCTGCACTTGTTTGGGAGATCACCGGGGACGAAAATGAATCCGTTCAGGAGTACCCGTTGACTCTAAACAAACTTTCAACTATCACCATCCGCTCCTGTGGGACATATCTTCACGACCGCACACCTGAGATCTGGCTCTCTTCACCTCCATTCGAAAGGTTTTTCCTACGGCACAAGGCGATCAAACATCTGGGCTGGAATGGCTGGATTCTGAATCGTCATCTTCCGCTGGAGGACTCTGTGTTTTCTCGGGTTGCGACACATCTTGGTCGCACGGTAACCTCCCTGAGCATTGCACACGGATACGACGAGGAGGTCTCAAGAACAGCACCAGACAGTTTGCATCGTGTACGTCTTAGTCTAAAACGATTTAACTTGCTCTTAAGACATTTGAGGCAACTTGAAACGCTTGAATGGAGAATGTTCCATCTTCCTGTGGGCAAAATGATGATGGGGATCCGCAACTTGCGTCGTTGCCCAAAGATGAAAAATCTTCGCATCGAAGGCGTCATAGGCGTCATTTCACAGGACGAGGCGCGTGAACTTGTTGCATGTATTCCACTTTTAGAGAAACTACGCATCAGATGGCGTCCAAGACCGGTTGGATATCGCAGAGGCAGGGCGGCGCCGGGAATGGGACCACTTCCACCAATATGGGGTGATGAGGTGCTTATGGAATACGAATCGTCACCCTCTCCGCCTCAGATACCACCGTCGCCTGATGTTCTCAATTATGCAGTCCCCCCTCCACCTCCTCCAGCACTTATGGATAGTGATTTCGAAGACGATGATTGGGGTGGTGAGTTGAGGCGAGAGCCTGAATGGGTCGCTGCAGAAGAAGTCGCGCGGATATTTGCAGATGCAAAACACCTCAGGGAATTATATGTTAACATCCTTATCTCAATGCCTGTGTCGATGGAAAAACATATTGCCTCTATGGACCTTCGTATAGCAGATGAAATCCTGCGACCTACTAGAAACGATTCCTCTGGGGGACCGACCATAGCATATCAGTTGCGCAAGAGCTGGCTCGAAAAGATTCGGGAGACAGCTGTTGCATTTGCAAGGAACTCTCCAAGCTCAGTGAGAAAGATAGGACTAGGCTACTTCGTCGGTGTTCAAGGTCTCAACTCGGTCGTCAGTTTGGATAGAAACCCTGATGGCAAAGTAGTTGGGTGGTCTGCAGACCTGAAGGGTGGGAGAAAGGTTGGCGAGATGTGGAGAGAAGGAGTTGATGCAGGCCTTGCAAGTAGTGGGGATTCATGGATGGATGGTGCATTTAAAGAGGTAGAAGAAAAGGATTGGTCGGAGACTAGGAACTGGACAAAGTCCAGGGTACCTACGAGACCTTTCAGGAGATAAAAAAAATATCGATATAACTAGGGATTGGGGGTTATCAGGTTTTCTACAAGATTACAAAATAGACATCCGAGATAGAATAGCGCGGAAATCATCTGGGTGGAATTTCGCTTTCATGATTGTTTTTTCTTCTTAGGGAAACGGGTCACGATTGAATGACGCTGTATGGCTTTTCATGTCTTTTTCCGAGTTTCTAGGTATGGCTTCTCATGTCTTTTTTTCGAGTTCGAGGTTTTCCTTATCTCAACTTGTAAAGTAATGGTTACGTGTTCGGGTCTGTTCATTTAGTTTCCTACATCATGTCTCTCTATTGCGGGTTATCTATTAGTCTTTGAATTGCCTGATGTTGGCTGCTGTGGAATTTCGGCTACTCTTGGTGAGTCGGTGGGGAAAGAACTTTTACCTAAACAATTGTAGTTGCATCTAGCTGAATAAGATGTAGGGCAGTAACTGTGTGATGCTAAAATCTCACTTGTATGAGACAATTAACCCAAGAAACGAATAGAGTTTGTGCGTACTCTGAGTACGACTACATATTATACGATGGTTCAAAAATAGCGGAGCTGCCTCTCTGAACCGATAGTACTCCTGACAGATTGTTTTAACATTTCATAATGCAAGTAGATACTCCGTTTCCCTGCTTAGCGAGATCCCTACTGAGCGAGATTCGCATATAAATATTCCTTGGCTGTAGACTTGGCGGCTAGTGTTTAGGTCGTAGAGGACCCCAAGTCTTGGATAGTAGGGATCTCGCTGAGCAGGGAAACGGAGTAAAAGTTCGAGTAAGGACAGGTATAGAATCAATACGTTGACAGGTAGCCTTTTTGGCATAGGACACCGTAGTTTAAAGGGAAGGAACGAGCAGGTAAGAATATTAGATCTCACCCACTTTTTGACTTCAGTTGCAGTTTCTAAACTTGTTTAGTCATAATGTTATTCCAGATCAAAATGCGCGACAAAAGGTGATACAAATGGGTAAAAGTGTAGAATGCTCTGCGACCCATTACGGAGAATTCATCCCCGGGGCGTCTCCCATCAAATATCTGCTTTAGCATCAGGCAACTAAGAATTAATGACCAGAGAAATACGACACAATTCAGCGAATCATATCATATCACTCGATAATCGGCAGAGGACAGTATCTGTAACTGCCTCGCCCGGTTTTACAGCCTATCGAATTACATGACAATTTTAAATTCCATTACCAGGCTACGAAATATTTTTGCTCGATAAGACTTTCAGAGCTTCATACATGTAACTTATGATTGGTCAAACCAGCGGGTTCTTGAGGATCAGCGACGTTAGCCAAGGCCTTGAACGAAAGTTTACCCACTCAAGAAGCAAATTCTAGTACTACGCATCGATCATCGACAACTCAGTTCTTGGCTTTCCAAGGTAACTCATGAGCTCAGTGATTGCATAAGGAGGATCCAGGAAGTATTACCACCTCAATTTCAGAATTCCCAAATTTCTAGGCGTTTGTTACGAAGGATCGACAAAGTTATATCGATTACTAGACATATGCATATGCATATTTTCAAGACCACTGCCGGCGGAGAAAGGATCCGATTATACGTGTGTACTCTATGTAGGTACATGCGTGCGTACTTTTTGTACTCAGAGTAGATCAGGTATGTATGTATCCAGGTTTTGGAGAGCCCTAGCTAACCGAGGGAATTAACCGACCCAGATGGAAGGTCCCCTACCTACTACGTACAGTCGCACCTCGTTATGTCGTTAGCTTATTCTGGGAGCCAAACCCCTACGAGATAGCAAATATACGAGACAGCAAATAGTTTTTGGTGGAGAAGGGCAGTACCTGTCCCGCAAATCCGTACGAGACAGCAAGAGATCCGAGATATCGAATTACGAGATAGCGAGGTGCGACTGTAGTTGTTATTATATTAGCCAAGATCACCTGTAGCGTTTGTAGGTAAGTACTGGATGATCCATCTAGATATAGGCTGGGATCTTGATTAGAACCAACAGAAATTTAGTGCACCTAACGCTGTGCGATTGGTTCATGATTTCCCCGGCCAACCAGAATCGAGTTAGCTGCCGGTACGAAGATGACGGACGATCTCTCACAATGCAAACCAGAATCATAACTTCATGTATTAAGCACCAGGGAAGAAAGAGGGAAAAAAAAAGTGCTCCCCTACATATCACTATCTGGCGCCGTGTGGGTCAGATAATATAGGGGTGGTCCCCCTCATATCCTTGCTGTGAAACCCAATATTACTCTACGTTCAAACCCCGCTAATTTCAAAGCGCTGGAAAGGGCCCCTTAGTTGAGATTCAGTTGATGTATCGACCCAAAATTTCTAGATATATCATTACCGCAATTAATAACTCTTACTCAGAAGTACTGGGGTATGCCTGCTACGGGTAACTACAGGTCACAATCAGTCACTCGAGCTTGGTATACATATTATCGATCGTATTTACATGCATGTGCACGTGTGTATTATTCAAATGAACACCTTTCTTCGGAGTAGAAAAGAGCTACACATATGAACGTGTATATTCTAAATGATTGCATGACCAAAGCTCCTAATAGAGACTTGGGGTAGGCAATCCCCCGGTCTCGCCGTTAGGATCTACAAAAGATGCAACTTAGATTCCTATACTTATACTTGCATCTTAAGTTGGACCCTTTTTGCCTAGTGCATTACGACCACTAATGATGACAGGTTGCAATATATTCGTCGGTGAGATGCGGTGTAAGGATATTTTGACATGATTGAGAATAGACTAACTGATTAATAGTAGAGCTTTCTTTTATAAGTTAGCGAGTAATAGAGATTGCTATGCTTGAAGAAATTGGTACTACTGGCCTGTCAAAGTACCATTAATCTAGAGTGCATATGTACACAATACCACATACACATGTAAGTGATCTAGACTATGAACTTGAAAGTCACTTCTTTTGGTGATGACTGCCTCCACAAGCTAGTATTTAAATTTGACTGAGTGGCATTCTAGCTTGAATCTACTGCCGCACATTCCCGTAACTAGCGCCAGGGGCACTTTCTGCAAATCTTCACATGAAAACCTATATTATTATGTAGTTATAATCCATATCTAGTATCATTGTAGTGAATCATCTCACATCCATTCGCAGGATATAATACTTGCTTACCAGCTTACCAGCAAAAGAACCAGAAAATGCAAGTGACGGAAACAGGGATTATTTGTATGAGAGAACGGCGCCACTCCATACAAATTATCCTTGCCCTGAACAACTGCATTTTCTGGTTCTTTTGCTGGTAAGCAAGTACAGAACGTAATCTCTTAGTTTTAGACAACTAGCCGCGAAGTTTAGAATTTCTACCGACAAATAGAAACTCGTAGAGTTGAGTAATCACGTTGGTTAGGCTAACGCCAAATACTTTCTTAGGTACTTTTCCTAATGTAACTAGGTATAGATCCTAAACAAACTTATTATATTGATCAATGGTATTCACAAGGATATCTATGATCCGGACGCCGAAGACACCGGAGTTTTCCCGTTGCCGACTAAGCCGCAAACAAGAAGGCGGATAAACAAATTTGAAATAATCCGGCTAATAGTTTTCACGGGTAGGCAAAAGGAGGGTTTGGATAGCTGTCTTTCTCGGATAATTTCCAAAATTCAACGGCATAAAACTGCATCATTGCTGCTGTACGTTTAAGTTAGGGTGATGTGTACAGATGGGCAGAAGAGTCGATTATTCCGATTACTATCGTTCACTCTACTCCCGAACCAAACACAAAACGTATGGATGCTTTCTGGAGCTAGGAGGAAAACATAAGAATACAAAAAGGGTAAATACAAAAGTAGGCCGTACGCTAACTACACGTGTGATATATATCTAAGACAGTACGTAAATATATTAATATTCACAATTGGTGAGGAGGCGCAGTGTATGGCCGCTGAAGTGTCAAATCTCTATTCAAAGCTGGTGTTGAAGACGGACGACGACGATTAGAACCGGTGCCATCCCCCGCGTTGTGCCTTTGTTCTCCGTCTCGAGTACCTTGATTATTAGAAATTAAACATCAGTAGTTTCTCCAATATACCTTGCATGCCTGTGATAAGCAACATACAGCTTTGACTCAAATCATCTTCATCGTTTTTACTCCGAAATCTATTGAAATCTGTCGATAAGTGCCAAAACCGTAAGGTTCTGTTGTTCCACCTCGATTCTCCTGGATGTCGTGGTGATGATTGGCTTGCTGCTTCGCGCTCCAACATTGCCCATGCCATGTAACCTTGCTGTTTACAGTTAGCGTGGCAACCTCTAAGTTCAATAAATGGGTATTTCACTTACACCTAAAGGTTCTGGAAGAGAGTTCGGATCATGCGCATAATATACCCCATTCACTAACTAGCTATCTATCAGTCCAGCTTCCTTTTAATATCCGATTAAGAGAAACCCACTGTACGGGGGTGTTCCGGGAGCGATCGTGATTGTTCTGATACTGAGCCGTGTGCTGGATTTGTATTATCGGGACTTTGGACGCCAACGTTTCTTGGTTGATATCTTATGTCATTATTTCGTTGGCATGAATCAACATCTGCGTGTGATGATAATATGTAGCTATTAGACGTATCGGTGGTAGTGGTTGTTGTTTGAGCACTGAACGACTCTGTCGCGGACTGTGAAGCAGGGCCGCTTTCTGCAGCTGTAGTATCCGCAACAGGATCTCCACCTCTAGAAGGACTTTTTCGTTGGGGTCGTTTCTTCGACCGCCTTCCCCAGCCTATATATACTGCAACCATCAGCTCCTACTCTCTCTCACATATGCAGGAATGACTTCTGAGATATAGATTAATTAGGAATTAAATAAGCAGTGAGGGGAAACCGATTGCGGCCGCTCTTGTCAAGAAGTAAAGAAGATATTGCTACTACCGGTCATAGATTAACAGAAGCCTTCAGAGAAAGCATATGTACCCAAAAAGTTTGGATGATTTCGGACAGAGCACCAAGCAAACGAATGTCTACCGGAGATGTTGATGAAGAGATTTGTGTATTGGAGTTATGTGAAGAGAGGGTACGCAGGGCCTTGCTTCCTAGTTTTAAAAGGTTGGGGCTATTGAACATAATTATGAAAGTCCCACCCACCTTCATCCGAGCGGGCAGGCTAGCTGCATGTCTTAGCAACAGGGATAGAAACTCCGGTGGTGATATGCAATGTGAGCAGCAACGGACCTCTTCTGTGGAGTAATAGAGAGGTTGGTGGGGTCTGACAGGAACGTTATTGAGAGGCGAACTAATGCAGCTGACTATTTCTGGTCGATATTCAACAGCCCGGGCTGGGGGGCCGACTGGCCGGATCGACCAAGTAGGTATACGAACATTCACTTGCGGAGAATAAATGTACCTACGGCATTTGAGATAAATGTTTCTTTTGGTTTTCGTAGTAAGTCAGCTATTCATACACTATTCGTGAGTTTACGCAAACCCACTGTACGGGTTCAGGGTCCATGTACATAACTCAATGAACGTTGTTTTTGTTGCACATATCTTTAATCTAATTGCGACCCATACGTTCGTTTAGGGGACGGAAAGCCAATTGAAAAATCAAACTGGTTTATGCAGTTGAATGGCCAATTGTATAGATTAAAAACAAGGCGTCCTCTGTAAGATGTAAGGAGACATGCAAGAGTGCTTTTTGAGTGGGAATTGCAGCTCACGTTATTTGACTGGCGCGAGTTCCTGCAGCATAACCGAGTGCGCACTGCTGGTAAGATATTCTATTCACACCCTGTTACGTATGTGGGGAAAGTTGTGGACAGGTTGATGGTGCATGTTTTATATGTACATGTAGGTACTCTGGAATATTCAACATAAGGTAATGCCGTGCCCCAGGGCTCCCCAGGTAAAAGGAATGTGAGACTGACACAGACGCAGCGGAACGTTTCTCGCTTAAACCAAGTTCCCGGACCGCTCAATGCTACTAGATGGCCGGGCGGATAAAGACACTTACTAGTCCCCATGTCTAGCTTGACGGGGCGATAGTAGAAAAAAGTCAACTTGAGGGACGCTCAAGGACGCCACTTCTATGAGAAGCCATTTTCTGGACAGCCTTGTAAAGTTGCAGACAGGCTGCATGCAATCGTAGTGGTTTGAAAGACGCCTTCGAGTGTACAGTTACCACTGGCTGGGTATTGTAGGCCATTGTGCGTTCTGATGGCCGGAACAAGCCAACTCAGAATATGCACAAGATGATAACGATGATGTATTGGATACAAGGTGGAACCTAGATCTCTACTCTATACAATGAGCAGCGTGTTCTCCAGCCACTTGTCCACAATAAATGTATGTGTCTTCATTTTGACCCGGTTTTCAGCTCTGTCTTCTGGTACACGTAAGCCATACCAAACCTACATATACAGGTAGTCTGGTAGTGCTATATGTACGTACCCAGACAAGCAGGTGTCTGTATCTACATGTAGAGTACGAACATAGGATACTTGTAGGTACAGCAAGTACATGTACTTCCATTCCTATCCTAAATATGTACATGCATGTATGTACACTCGTACTCGTAAATTCATAGCGTTTGTGAACACAACTGGGTTGCATACCGGCCAAATCCTGCATGAGGCTCCAGATTTTGGTATATGCAGACCCAGCTATGTTCACAAACGCTATGAAATTACGAGTAGATTTGCAAGTAGTTCAAACCACTGTCCTCAAATCAACTGTGCTTCCGAGACATAAGTAAGTACTCAACCAAATATGATGATGCGGAGACTATAGCTACTTTGTATTTAACCTAGTAAATTGCGTGAGAACCAGGATGTCGGAACTTGAATTTGTGATACCCATTCTTCAGCGCCGGGAGATTTTCTCGGAGGACGCCTACAAATGGTGGATAAGAGCGGATCTGTGGGGTCTCCAGGAATCCCGAAAGAGCGTCACCAAAATAGATGTACCTAGCCCTTCCTGCAAATCTTCCTGCAAAGATATCACACGCAAGTAGGATGCTGAGTCGCTTCACGCGGCAGTTGACCCCAGCTCGTGTCTCTACAAATATATTTATGTGGTTGATAGCCGCAACAACCCCCGCTTTACCCTAGGCCTGCATGCCATGGGTACACTTCATGTCCAGAAAGCTTGAACAAACGTTGTCGTGAGTTCCTGGGGGTTTATTGCAAGAGTGGTCAAACATGTGCTGAAGCAGTTCCCCAAAGATATTGATCAATTGAGCCTGAAGTACATGCACGTGCTCGTGCTCGATCCAATGAGATTATTCGAACACAGAGATCCATATATTTTGTGATACACGACAATACAAGATCACTCAGTAAGATATATCTACAAGACTATGATGATTACTAGCATCTACATACATTTGGTGATACATGATCTTCCTAGATACTTAGGGTTATCATAGGGTACATGTAAATACACCAAGACTCGAACGAGTGATATTACATGAGTATAGGCCATAGACTGGGACTCTTCCCGCCCCGGCCCAGAACAAGTATTGAAGACATTAACTGATTTGTTCTTTCCTCCCCAAAGCTTTTACGATTGGGTAGAATTGAAGGGTATATTGCAAATAAGTATATACACCATGCATCCGCGGGTGAAATCCTGTTCGTGGAAATATCTTCCAAGCCAACGCTGACCGTTTGACATTTTTTTACAAACAAAAGCAAAAAAAGGGTTAGCCACGTTTCTTCTCCCGGAAATTTTATCTCCTAGCTACCAAGATCCTAGATCACGCCTTAATAGCTTGATTCGAAATCTGATAAACCTATTAGGAGGATAATTACGACTGAGTGCTACACATGAAACGCCAGCTAGAATCACTGAAGATGATAAAATAAAAGAATGACTAGCTAATTGGATCTTAGCTATAGGATCCACAAAAGATTTGTCCAATATTCTCTTTCCACATGTTTTGAGCTATGCGGCCTTCCAAATTCTCGTCGTAGGCCCAAATATAATATCTTTCCTAGTTATATATAATAGGCCTGCAGGTATGCATAGGTGACTGCAGAGATCATAGCGTGTCTTCTCGAACTTAGATGGCAGATAAAGCCGGCCTTAAACTCCCCGGATCCAGACGGATATAACTCAGGCCTGTGAGCCGCGCTCCAATAAAACCATGTTTTAGATAGACGTGCATAGCTGTTTTAAACTAAGCCCACAATAGCATCGTCGCCGTCAAGTATTTGGAATATTGGAAAAGAAATATTTCGTGCCTTGCAATGGGGGTTATCCCTACGTGGCAAGGCATCAGATATCAGCACGAGATGAATCAACAGAGTAGTTTCGACGTTAATGGCTGCACTTCTTAGAATTGCGGATATATTATCCTCACGATAAGTTTGGTCATAGATTAAGGAGTTGTTCCTTCATGCTATCAGGCCAACTTAGTTAGGGAAGCTAGCACAAGATCTTTTTTGCTCAATCGCCGTTGATATTTGTACAACGTTAGACAGCATGAGAAATTAAAACAAACAGTAGTTAAATATTCCTGTGAAGGGTTAAAATTCTAATGAGGTTTCAGTTATAAGGCGGCATGCACTATCGATCGCCGTTTGGTAAACCCATCAAATAGAAATGGCGCATTTAACCGACTGATCGCCCACATCAGTCTTCAATCACATGACTTTTTTCTTTTTTTCCTTTTCAATCTCATGTTTCAGCATTACTATTCGTTCTCAATGTATACAATCGAGAAAGTAATCATTGGCATTATGAGTAAGATAAGAACATGTAATTGTGGATATCAATGCCATGCTATTGGCTACCCGGTCAATCCGCAATCAGTTCAAACTAGGTAGGGGTAACTCATGATCATTAAGAGGCAATTTTCTTTTTGAAGACAGGCAATTTCGTGGCTAATTAAATCTCAATGAATACTACGGGGCTCAGTACTACGTACTGGTGCTACTGGTTTATTACTCTAACGAAGAGTTATCTTTACTTAAGAGCCTGTGTAAAGGCACACGTACCAAGTAGATACTATATGTAGTTATATTAAGAGTGTTTATAATGGTTGTCTAAACTCCACGGGATTTATCTATACTCTCTTCGCAGGGGCTTAATGATCCACTATTCGTAGCAAGTTAGACAGTGAATTGGCCGATTTATAGTAACAAATCGGAGATTATAAGATACTGTATATCCCAGAAAACATCGTCATCATATGGTAAGTGAATTTCTTGTCAGCTCAGACACGCTCAGGGCACCCTGTGACAGTTTCGGCACCCGTAATCACTAACTGTCACTCGATCATCGTGCATACACAAGGTCAATTGAATGGCAACGTACCCTGTAAACCATATTAGCGCCCATGTCCAAGCTTCTTTGTATTCGTTCAGTCATGAAAGCATCTTATAGAGAATTATGCACATGCTATGGCCGTTACAACTTGTAACCTGCAAAACTGACCAGCCTTGTTACAATAAATAAATAAAGATGAACTCGAAAGAATCTGAAGAAAATCAAGAACATCGAGAGAGAAACGCTCACCAGCATCATTATACAAACTTTAAAAGTGCAAGCAAACAAAGGTGGAAAAAGTGAAATAAACCCTCGCCATGTCCAGAAACAGTACTTTTGATATCCAGCAACCTGCCACCCAAATAATACGCCATCATTTTAACATCAAGGATTAAAGAGAAATAAAAGAAAAAGATCCAGAAACTGAAGCATAATGCAGAAGAAGAAACATTTTAGCTAAACACAAGCGGGGATATACAACAATATAAGACCAAAAGCATGAGATAAGGAGATACATGTATCTACCAATCAACTCTCCCAGCATCGAGTCTTCACTAAGACATACATACATGAATTAAAATTGGTAGGAAATGAAAGAAAGAAATACCTTCGAGAGACAGCTTTGAAAAAAGCATAAGAGAGAAATTTTCGCATTCATGAAGAATCTTCAAGATCATGTGAGAGTAAGCTTTTTAAAATCCAAACGGGTCTCCAACCGCCTCAAACCTTTGCAGTGGAGTCGCCAACTTTCCACAATACTCTCCCCCCAGCTGCCGCACCCACACCTTTCTTTCGGCGGGTTATTTCAAGCCCGTTCCCACCATGACCAAACGTACGTAGGACGCTTTCCTCCCAGTGCAAATCCTCGTGATCAGGGCTCTTATCACTTAGAAGTGCTGGTGACATAGATAAATCGGATGTATGACCGTCGGCAGTCCCAAGGTCGCTACAAATACTAAGCCTCCGGTCTCTTTCAACCTTGAAACTGTACTTGCGTCGCCTCTCTCTTTCGTGCACGACCGCCTTTGCAATGTCATATTTTTCGAACCCCTTCCAATCATTGACCCTAACACCAAAACCATCGTGCTCCAGTATAATTCTCAGCAAGCCAAATGGCACGCTCAGCAAAATGGTGGAATAAGCTTGTCGAATTTCGGCTGGCCCACTAAATCCTCTATTTAAAGGAGAGATCGGGGTATTGACCCCGGTTGAAGAGCGGTTAGGCGCTTCAGAAAAGCGTAAGAGATATTTGCTTGCGGGTGCCCTAGGATCAAACTTGAATGGCTGCGGCAAATTTTTAACTAGAAACGCGACAGCTTCATCGAGCATATTCTTTGCAAAAACGCCATATCCTGTACTTGGTTCGTTGATACCGTTGGCGAGTGCCTTGGCTTCAGCTTCTTCATTCGCATGGAGCGCAAAATCTAGAAGCCTTTCAAGAGCGCCTCCTTCTAAACGCATTCCCCATCTCCTGATTCCCCATACCCCTCTCTCTACGATTTCATCGATTCCTAGTAAGGTGCCAGTAGCCAGCAATGCAATACTTCTGTCCAACATTTGTACCTCTTCGCTTTTGCTGCTTTGCATGATGTTTCCAAGAGATATCGATTTGGTTGAGTTATTGGTCTCTTGGTGAATACTTCCCTCAGAGGGATTGACGCTTTCAGGAGTAGAACCTTTTCTGAAATTATCCGCCTTCTCGGTGCTTTCTCTGGTCCATTCTAGCGTTCTATGTTTCGAATGACTAGGATCCAAATACGCATCAAGTTCCCAATCTGCAGCCCCATATAACCACCGTAATGAAAGCAAGAAGCTATCGCGGTTGATGTATTTGTCGCTTGTTTTCAATGAAAGAGTAATCTTTCGGCTCGATGTGATTTTCGCCTTCCGCCCCATTTCCGTTTGATCAGCCCACATGCCAGAGTCCCTTGAATCTTTCAAGGCCTGTTCATCTTTATTATTGACCTGATCTTCAATCAGACGGGCCAATTTTGTTGACCTTCCCAAGATAAAAGAGTGTGCGTTAAATTCTTCGGCGTTCCAATCATACTCTCCTCCAGTTTGATTCACCGATAGTTTCACATCAGACAACCTGTCACATAAATAGTACTCCAACGAATATGACTGCAATCTATGAGCTGCGGCAGTCCCCTTATCAGGCACCTCGAAATTAGATTTATGAGGGCGTCCCATTGAAGGGTCGAAACTGTTCGGCTGCCTGTTTTGGTTCCCATCTGAGTGCATTATGCCATGACGACCCATATTAAAACCAGGATTAGATATTTCAGCAGGCATAATCATGTTTCCAGTTGGCATCCCGTTGTACTGCTGATCGTTGTCGGGTGGAAAGAATGAAATGTTGCGAAGAAGCGGGTTACTCTCAATTATGCTAGTTTGCCTTGTTTTGTTTTCCTGTGATGCAATTAAGGCATTTTCGAAAGCCCGGTCTTCTTGAGGATGATGCTCATTTGAGGAATTATTGAAGTGGACTAAATGTTCATGAGGTGGAGGGGAGAAAACAGACATGTGGTGCTGGTGCTGCATGTCCATGTGTACTGGAAATGGATGGGTTGGGGTAAACGGAGTTTGGGGATTTGTGCTACCGCCCTTCTCGGAAGTTTGACTTGAACTGTCGAATGTACCATGTGGTCGGAAAGGAGGTGGTGGTGCAAACATTGTACCTGTGTTTGGAGGGGTCATGCTGCTGTGAAATTGGTAGAGATCTTGAGGGCCACGTGGAATGAAGCCCTGGTGGTGAAAAGGCATGTGGTGGGGATGGGGATGGTGCGGCGGGAGTGGATGTGGGAGAGCGTAGGGTGGGTATCCATCAGAGAGTGGGCCATTCTGAATTGGTGTTTCATTGCCGTTTGTAGTGTTTAAATTTCTATTAAGGTGGAAACCATTCTCTTGAATGTTCTCATAGAAAGCTGGGTGAGGGAATGATAGGAAATTAGGTTGGGAAACCATCTCCGGTCTCATTGTGTTAGAATAAGCATGATCAGCACGAGTCTTCAGAGTTTCCAACTCATTGCTGTCTTGTGATTGCAACTCCATTTTGGCTTGCTGGGATGAAGGAATCTGGTCTCCCGACTGAATTCCAGTTTCTTTCGAATCCGTACTATAGTTTATCAAGGAAGGAATCTGATCGACAAAGGGTCGAGTCATTGCTTCAGCGGGAGGAGTGATAGGAGCAACAGGAGGCTGATGGCGATGGACAGGAGAGGTCGCCACTTTGGATTTTGAAGCAGGTGCGAGTTCGGTCATCACCGGTTCGCGGCGTGCGGCGGGGGGAGACTCAGCCTTTGTCATTGTAGTGGATGAGTATGTCCTCTTTGCCACGTGGGAGTATGAAAAATTCCCAGAGCCTGTAGTTTCTTTACCCCCAGTAAGCACAATAGGCCCGGTGTCCCTGGGAAGAGGTTTTCCAGGAATTCCGGGCTTAGGCGGGAGGCTGGAATGTCCTTGGAGCCCGCTCCCACGTCCAATCCCTTGGGCAACGAATTTCCTCACTTGCTTCTGATGATGTGCCATCGGAAGGGCCGGTAAGATTGAGATTACGGAACGAATCTGGGTCGGAGGAGGACGCGGAGGTAGTGAAGATGGTGATGAATTTAGAGGAGAAGAGGATGGAAGCTGTGACTTCGGGGGAGTAGGAGGAAGTTTATCCATGTCGTTAGATTGGAGGTGTATTCGTTTGTTCCTTCTGTATAGCCGATGGGCAAAGAGTTAGTAAACAGCAGAGAAGTGAAGCTGCTTGGAAGGATCATAATTACAATGTATCGGGGAGTTTTATCGTAGATATCTTAGTTTTGTGAGGTTGTATGTTGATAAAATGGTCAGAAAAAAAGTGCGTCAGCTAGATCAAGCTTGACCTAGGATAGGTGTATACTATTAAGCTGGGCTGGGTGAAGTAGAGTAAAAGGATAGTTGTTAACTTGTACGCAGAGGATAGATGGTGACAACCCGCGGAGGGGTGGCTAAGGAGGGGTTAGCAGCAGCTCTGTTTGGACGTTGCGCTGTGAGCCTGAAGTTGTGCAAAAAAAAAAAAAACTCTTACATCATTTTTCAGGCAGGATATAGGGAAATAAGACAAATACCAATAACACCAACATTATATAAAGACATCGAATTCCGCTCTTCGACTTTATTTACAGACCTCCTAAACGACTTTATTTTCAGATTCTTTCTTTTTACTTACTGCTGACGTGTGCGATAAGTAACTGAGTTGGGATAAGAGCAGAGCCTCATCCATCATCTGGCCCAGCTATCCAGGAACAAGGATCTAGCGCAGGGACCAACTCTACCCCTCGATCTTTATCGAAACCTCCCACCTTCACCATCAATAAGCCTTCTCATCCACATGGCAAACCTCCGGATCATACGAACCTAGTCTCAGGATTTTGATCAGATTACCCGCGGCACAATTCACGTGCAGGTCACTTGCACTACCACTGCCCTTCACAATTTTCAGATACCACAACCCTAACCCTATCTTCTACGCCAATGCGGTTTGTCATGGCCTTTTCCAACCGGCAGGTACATACATGTATGCACTCTCGAAAGAAATCATATAGGTATACCCTTTGGCACTTTCCAAATATAAATGACTTTGGAAAGGCCCAAAGTTCAATTGTTTTCTGATCGGGTTAGAACCTAGAGCGCGTACAGTAACGCATTCCTGAGCCTAGAGAAGTTTGGGTTATGCATTCATCGAGAAGAGACTAACTAAGAGAAGCCCTGCGGCAATTATTAATCTACAAACAGTCATATTTGGGAGTTCTTCAAGAAACGTTTAAAAACCAGCACTGAACCAGTATATTTACTCTTTCATCTGAAGAGTTTCCCAAACCCCCCAGTTCTCAGTGTGAAATTTAAATTGAGCAGCCATGATCACTCGGAAGACAATGCGTCATAGGTAACTCCGTGGTCCATCTCAGGTGTCAATACCTCATCGGGCGAACTACATGTATTTTTGTGTTCGGGTAGCATACTCTAGCACCTACGCTTTCCCGGATTAACTGCATTAATATTAACGGCCCTTAGACATCAGAATTCATTCTATGATTACAAGTCAATGATTCATCAATGCAGCGTCAATCGCGGTCATGAATAACGACTCCAAGAAGCCATTCACTCTGTCTCGAGGCTAAGTACCTATTTCAAAGCTATCATCCTCTAGCCCTGTTTCTGGACTGCTCAATTTTTTGATAGAAGGACTTATTTCAGCACCAAAGGCTTTTGTTCGCCGGAGGGGATTTGGATCTGGCTATGCACACAAAACGTCTAGTTCGGCAATGCGTTTTTCATACTATTTTGTCACATGAAGCCTTGGATCATTCTACTGATGTCTCAAAGCTATGGGAGATCTAGGGTATATGAAATTGAGGCCCCATATATACGACATTCACTCTGTTTTTTCGAGCCCGAGAAGTTACAGCTGAAAACCTCATATACTCTGGATAACCACATAAACAGCGGCGCAAATTAGTCAGATATCATACCTTCAACCCCGAAGAGATACATGTAGTTCTAAAGGGGGGCCTAATTTCGTCTAAACATGCCTGTAACAGTAAGTTTCTATTGTCAACCCCCGATTTGCACTCGCCATTATGGCCTTTAGCTCTCCCTGGAGTCTAAGCCGGTCTACATACATGTATTCACGGATCTCTTATGCAGCTTCTTACATATAGCCTTAAAGCAAAGTGCAAGTAAGACCTATATGGGATGCACTTTACCTAAACGAGGTTCTAAGAGATTTAAATATGATCTAATATAATAGCAGACTGGATACATACAGCACGCGATCGCTACGGACCACAAAAGCAACACCATTATTACAACGTGTAACTTACTTGAAACAAGATCCTACCTGAGATTAAATGCTGGAGCCTTGAGGCGAGCCATCCTGAAAGGATCTGCCCCCACCTAGAAATCTTACCCCGGTGGAAAACACGTGGGTCGCCTGACCGAGTGATATCCAGTGATTACACACACCAAAAAGTGAGACAGGGGCACAGAACTCAAACTAAAATGATTTCGCACATCTGTCTCGCTTACACAAAGGGTGAAAAAGAAACTGCTTACACGTACATGGAGTAATGATCAGCTAGTGTGCATTACTACTTCCAGGGAGTAAAAAATCACAAGAATATACATTAATGTTGTCGGTAAATTCAAGGACATATAACTATGCTACTAGATAATCGAGTACCACGTTTCACAACTGTGAATGCCTAATTAAAGCTATATCCATAGAAAGAATACCATGGTATGTACTCCCTAATACTTTGATAATAATTTGGATCGCGTGTTCAGGCGTGATGTTGTAATGGATATCTATGTTTGTTCATTAGACGGATATTAAATGCTAAAACTCTTCTCACCACTACTTTACATGAAATTTAAGTCATTAATCATAAGCCTATCTACCCAAGGCTTAATCAATTGAGACCCGAAGACATATATGGGGCTCTTCGTCGCTGGATTACCCTCCGAAAGTGTGTGTACTAAAACATGATCATGCATAGGTAAAGATCACTTTGATGATAACCAGTAGAGCAATCCGGATAGAGCTCGTGGGACCTCATATCTCTAGTCAAATTCTATAACCACAGATCGATCGAGGCATGCACTATCGTATATACACTCCAGTGCTCAATTTCCCAAAGCCATTCCTACATTTTCACCACCGTTGTTTCTACTACTGCCTATATTAGCATATCTCTCTAGTATACGGGATCCAATGTCAATCTCACATTCGAGCTTCCTCTCTTCCTCCTAGGAATCGTTCCGGGATCCAGTTGCTTGTTGTGAACCAGCCTGTGGTGTTGTGTCATGTTATCTTTCCTAGCAAATCCCTTTTGACCCTTCCGTGAGCATCCTGGATATGGGCAGTCATATTGCGGTTTTCCGTGTGCGTCCCGGTAGTGTCGTTGTAGTTTGTGCAAATGGGTAAATAGTTTATTGCATCCGGGTTTGAGGCACGGGTGTTGTACTTGATCGTCTGGATTTGATATTGATCTATGCGAGGTTAGCCAGATATGCGCTGGAGTATGATAATTAAATTTAAAGGCGACGACTTGCATTCCTGGACTACTTGGTTCTGAGGTCTCGAACTCGGGTGATGCCATCGCCTCATATTGGGAATTGCAATCGAGAAAATTCTCATCTTTGTGCAAAAATTCCCCTTCTTGTCGCACAGAAAGTATCTGCTGTTCTGAAGGTCCGGGACCATAGTATGAATTTTGAAAAATAAAAGTACTATTCTCAGCACGAAGCCTTGGATCAATCAAATTTTGGTCCGTCATTTGTAGTAGGAGCTGCTAATGCGATAGTTTGATGGCAGTATGCAGAAAACCTCTCGGGACGGCGGGACAGTCAGCGCTGTGAAGAGCTGATATATCAATTTCTAAGGTTTCCCTGTCTATGTCATGCGCACACGCACAAGTAAGTCATAATACACGTATCCTTTGAGGTCGCAATTGGTGGACTTACCTAGCTAGATAGTAGAGTTACACGTTGATTGTGGCGTTCAAACAAGTTAGGTGCTTAAGATTATAATCGAGGAAATTCAAACGAGAGTGACGAAGCTTTGAGGCTTGATGTTCGAAATCAAAGCAATGCGGTGGGATCTCTGGAGCTTAAACGTAAACTCGTGGGGAAGGACAGAGCTATGAATCCCCCAACATACTGCATACATCATGTAGGCTTACTCAGGGGGTGTCACTTAAGGCTTCGGAGGTGCTGCTATGATCCCCACTTCTTCACACATACTGTATCGGTTCATTTCCATGCATGGGGCTCCGCGAGTCATGCATGATGCACCCAAGATATCGGATCAGCCTTTGAGCTTCTTAGCCACAGTCCCACGTTAGTTAATACAGAAGAATAGAACACTGCCCTTACTTCTAGGAACCACAGCAATCTCTTTGGAAACCGTTTCTGTTTGGAGAAAATATTGCAGATCAGTCAGATTATGGGGTCACGGTTTTACGGCAAGTGCGGGTTTTTCCTTCGGCGACTAGGGGTTGGGGCCGATAGGTAGTACATGGTCGGTGGAGGCTTTGGTATCTTGGCCGTTTATTACCAGATTCATGTAAATTACACAGAACGGTATGATAATAAGCACTTGTACGCCTAGAGTACTTGAAGATGCGATTTCATACTATAGGGCTCTGTCTTGCAGTCGCGGAAGACCGTTAGAACGACATGTGCACACGTGGGACAAAAATAACACACACACACCAACACAAAAAGGTTTAAGGTTGTGAGGCTCCCTCCTACCGATTGGATACACAGAGTGGATAAAATATATATATGTCAAGCTAGAGTGGAGTCTTCCGAATCCCAGTTTAGCCAACCTTGCTTACCCTGCGAAGTCGGTGTCTAATACCTGTTTAGTATCCCTATATGTTCATACATGTACACCTCTTTAGAGGAAATATGGGTATAGCTGATCATAAAATCAACGTTACAACCTCCGCCGCTGCGTACTTTACGCGTGCAGCCTGACGTTTAAATTTGACAGTCACATTGAGGTGTCCCTAGCTACTGACTAAGGGCATAATTACTAGAGTATAACATATACTTGTGGGTAAATGTAGTTTTTGACGAATTTACTTACGTTCAACGTAGCCATGATATTACGGGACCTTGAGGCTCAATAATTAGACTCAACTTAGACGTTGTGCAAGAATAGGCAAGGCGAGAAACCAATTTTCGCCCCCTTTCAGGGCTTCCAGAGACGATTCTACATATTCATAATTAGAGCAAAATTTCCTGATTATAGTAGAGTGTTCAAATCATCGAGCGCGCCGATAGTATGCCACGCACATGTCTACTTGATGTCATCGACGCGACTTCCGGTACCTCTTTTGATAGCTTAAGCCTTGCGCTGCAGCCAACTGATCTCTCGATAGGTCCCATAAGTATATTACTACGCGCACGCATTATATTTCATGTTAGCACATACACCCCCTATGTACTATTCGACCTTGAACTAGTTCAAGTTGTCAAAACTGCATTCAATATCTCCTAGGCCTGGTTAGTGGGTGTTCATACATGTATGTGTAAAACAATTTTCCTTGCAGCGCTAGCTGCATGATTGATACATGTATCTACCAAATACATGTATTTGGGAGAGTTAGCCTGACAACAGCCGAGCTGGGAAGGGTGAATCGCAACTCATCTCACCATCGAGTGATATCACATGACCGAACCGATCTATACGCCTCACGAGTCGATCTTGTCCTATTATGGTCTGTGCGACTACATACATGTGCCGGCAAAAATTATGCCCGGGCTACCTCCACATTATCCCTTGCCAATAAAAATTAAACGATGTGCTACATCCCGGAAGACTTGCAGCTAGACATGCACAAAGGTTTGCTAGTGCTAAGGCAAAACAGTTTGTCGTTTGACCATTGATTTATCGAATACTTGTTCGGAGAGCTCGCAGAGCTAGAGCTGACAATCGTGTTCTTAGAATTTAGCTCCACGGCCCACAAAACCATATAGCTATTCTACTTCCGAGTGTTAAACCACCACGAATGGTCATGATTCGCAATGTGAGGCTTGTCTAAGACAGCGGTTTTACTACTGAAGCGAAGCCCATCGCCAACATACATGTATGTGCCCATAAGGGGCCTGCAGAGTAGAGTAAGGGTAATAATGCATAACCAGCACAAAAGACTTCATATATATATAAAGTCAGCCCAGTCAATAATTATAGATGCCCGTCTAGTGAGTTTTCCACAGATTTCTCGTTCCCGAAGCAGACCAAGAACCCATCAGAATGGACTTTTCCTTCCAAGACCAGGTGAGGGTAAGTTTATTTTGCCCATCGGTTTATCAGTGATTCCATTCCTCTGGAAATCAACATTTCCTCGTCAACTGGAAGTTTTCACTCCTTATGGGTCTAGTGTGTTTCAAAACTTTTGTGGAACCCAAATATAATACAAGGCCATATATGTCGTAAACGTGGGATTTATTCCAACTCAGTGGCTTAGATGGAGGGGCCATAGGGCTCCGAGAGCTTTCTTGATTGTGATGCCAAGTTAAAAACTGCGGTGCATATACTAGGTTGAGTATCTTGCTCTCCTGTAAACACGTGTGTCTACAGGTCAACCCGGATAGATCTGATTAATTTTATGTACCCTTATAATTAGATCAATCCTCTTTGAGATATACATAAACCCCAATTAAATCCCGGGGTTGTGGTCGAGTAATCAAACTGAACTCATTTGGTTATATTAATTCTTCAAATAACTTATTGGTTTATGCTGATATCAACAAGAACTGAACATTCTGATTCCAAGTGTGAGCGACACTTGGAATCTGGATATATCACCCTCACTGGTTGCATTAATATCCAATTCTACCATTTTAGAAGTGTCATAATGACCACTTGATATCTAGTTTACGTGGGGAGCCGGCCCACATGGACATCGGTTGCTTTAGCCTTGCATAAATGAATTTATGCATTATGTAGCTTCATCATGTTGTCACAATCACGAGTGATTTACCGGGTCGATGTCATCCTTGATAGAGGTTCCCGTGTCTTTCATGTAGTATAACTACGTGAGGTTAAGTTCACGATTGAGTTTAGACGACAGAAAAGTGCTTTAGATTGTTCTCCATGAAACCTCTATGCTGTTAAGTCGTGCATATCGCGTAGAGTATGAACTTGACGCTGATTGTTTCTGGTAGGCGAGTGTCCTTAACTATTCATCCTGTTAGGTTAAATCTCAAATGGCTATTCACCAGAGTGCAGAAATATGTACATACCTGCAATTCTGTTTGTGGATTTCGAGAAGCTAGATGAAGATAATGGAAACCACCATCATGCAAGCTTAAATGGGTGTGGTTTTGTTATGCTATCGATACCTCATTTTCAGTCTTAGATCCCTCCATAGTCCTACAAGATAGGGAATGATTCTCAATGTGAGGAGCGGCAAAATCGACTCGTTTGGAGGTGTTGACAGAACTAAAGTCCAGTTAAAGAAGCCTCAGTGCAGTGCCGAAATCCGTGTTAACTGCATACTAGAATGTTGAAGTGCCCAGATGGTAAACCAAGTTACATGCAGAGCGTCAAGGTGCGGACATAACGTGAGTTCAAACAAAGCTTTAACTACATGTCCTCAGAGTAGCCCCCAAATCTTTGCACGTGTCCAGTTAAATAAGCTTTCGCACCGAAAGTGATTAGAAGAGGGTAAGGTGTGACGTCACAACAAAAACATACATTCTAAAGTCCAGAACACAAATTCGTACAGATGCTCAAAGACTTTCACACTCAAGAAACATACGTACATGAATTAGATAACTTCCCTATATTGATCAACTAGGATCAAGGACGGAACAAGTTTTACGAAGTTTCAGCCAATCGAGTGGCTAGAAATCAGTCTTGAGAACTCCAGCATGGAGCCTTTCGTTGGCTAACAGTATCTGTTCGTTAATTGTTGGTCCTGTTCCCGTTGACCCCTAATTGACCGTGGATTGACATGTGCGTTTAAGAAACATCGAGATTTCGAATCATCTATTCACTACGAGAATATGGTACGACATCACCGGGAGCGGCTCTACTCTAGTGAGAATTACAAACTTTTCTGGGAGTATGTAGTCGAAACTCTCCGAAGCTGTTTTCTTTCAACCAACAAAATGCAGAAGCACTCACACCCATAAAAGGAAGGGTCTCGGATTGAAAAAAAATCCACTTTCGAAAGCGCCAACAAGGATATATCAAGGGTACCTTTTGACCATACACGGTCTTTGGTTCACCGATCCTTCTGCCGGACTCCTGGCCTGTAAAGGGAAATGGTTCCACGGCCCCCACCCCAGTCATGTGATAATGGGGGCCAATTTGAACGTCCTTTGGTGTAGGTCACGTGGGTTGTTATTTTGGCCCCCAAATTCATGCTCAATAAGCTTTCCAACCGAACTGTTCTGGTAAAAGCCGTTCCGGCGAGAACAAGGCATACATATGTTGTCTAATCCCTGCATGAGATCTGAACCATTCGCCCGGCGTCTCTGACAGTGGGTTATGTGCTCATAAGCGTGGCTGTGCGTATCTGCCAAGAATCGTTAACGGGGTATTTAAGGTCTTGCACCTGACATTTTTAATCATAGACAATCACTCGCTTGGTGGCACCCACAAAAATCATTAACATAAGGCAACTAGATATGTATGCATGTGCCATTATATGGAAATATATGTCTTTATTACACGGCCTTCTTGTTATATCCTATCGCCTATCTTCTATCGCCGAAACCCATCATCTCACCCGAAAATATCAGACAAACATACCAACAAGCGTACCAGACAATCTACATTTCATCATGATCGATCATCTCATTAAGCGCAAGACAATTCTCATTAAGAGATATTGGTCATTAAAATTAAGGTTATTTTTCAGATGTAAGCTGCTAACTTTCACTCACAGATTCGTACTCTCTAGTGGAATCATCCGAGCAAGAACCGGGAAAATAACAAATTTGGTATGATCCGCGAGGCCATTTGAGGCGCTTCTCTGCCTTGTGGGGGTACTACCGGGCATAGAGGGTATCACCTTAAGTCATTTGACGACCATTATGCATTTATCTACAGGAGTATTTTGTAAATTATATTCTCACCTGGAACATACTCATCAGGAAGGCCCTCAATGAGTATAACTAACAATAATAAACATCAAACATACTTTCTTTTAATTTGGCCTGGTATTAATCCTAATCTTGGACCTGGTTTGTGGCTGCCATAGCCCGACCCCAAAACTCAGTCAGTAATTATAAAGATAGGCAATCTGTTAATCGAGCTAAGCTAGGAGATACAGTGTCCGGCAAGATTGTTGTGAAAGTGAGGCGTTCAAAATCAAGAAATATCTACCAGAGAGCCTTGACTGGTTACCCTTGTTTTCACACCTTCTTGCCTAGCTAGGCATTGCACAAATAATCGCCCATATGCATGACAATGGTCAGTCCCTACTTACGATGCCGGGAACCGATGATTAATAGTTTTTCTTCTGCTACAAAAGCATCAAGATCTCCCACCAAAATCGAGTCACCTGATACCCAGTTCTCGGCATCGCAAGTAGGTACTACGGGTTTTGAAGATGCAGGTACGCAGTGGTCAGCATTTGTTTCCCTCAAAACTAACGCTACAACTCGAAATATTCAAAGGTGATTGAATGGCTGTGCAGTCCTTGTTGCTATTTTCCCGTCTTATGTGTTTACATGCGCCGCTTGGCCAATTTGTTCTACTCCACCCACCTAATCTATACATATGTAGCTCGGATTAATTGGTGCTCCAGTTAGTAGAGTGTGTGATCAATGAATATCTGGCATTGGCCTCCAATTGACCACATATACAAAGTCTCGCCGTTATAGCTCCGTCCCGCAATGGGTTACTCGATGGATTACCAATATACACGCACCTACCAAGATCTTGAGATTTTTCCCATGGCCCGTTTGGCCTAGCCTAGCTGGTCTGGGTTTGTGTATAATTAGATGCCCTGGACCCGTGCTCTCGTATATGTACATGTATCTATCAATTCGTGGTTAGTTGCGTATTGTTAACAGGTTGATATAACCGGGCGCGTATTAAGAGTGAAGAAAAAAGGGCCACTAACTCTATATATACAGAGGTACATGTAGCCTCGAATTCTAGAAGCACAAGAATTGATGATTCGGCTACGCAAAATCTGTGGCTCCTGCAGCAGAAATATGACCGAATCGTGACTCGCTATGGACAGAATCTTGGGAGCCATAGCACTCTATCCTAGTGCTCTCCCTGGCTTACACCAATCACCCCCATACCTCACATCGATTGTTCCTACTCCATAGATTCACGCCAATGGCTTTGTCTTAGTAGGTAGAGCTAATCACTGGGCACCATCTTGCAATATAGTTAGTTAATCAGTAATCAAAATTGAGAGAGGAAGATCTAAAGGTTAGTTGCGGGTACTAAGTTCTTACGACCGCCTCAAACGTCACCTAAACACCGTTTTGATGGTCAATGATAAAAGAAACCCGCACTAGCTAGCCTCTTGTCTCATCCACATCCCCTCCTCTCGAGACGACCACTACAATAACAACAACTTAACCATACAACCTCATCAAGTCTTATTTCCTCATCACCCGATATATCTCCCCGTACGTCTTCCCCAAAGATCTTCTAGCTGGTCGCAACCATCATCCTTCCCTGTACCTACCACACGGCTCGTCCCCGGCTTCACCGTCGCTACCCCAATATTTCTCTTCCCTGATCTAGTATCGTCTCCCGTTAGCCTACTAACCACTCTCCAGGAATTCTTTATTCTTCCAGTGGGAAAAGCTCGCACGCCCTAAGCTGGCGCTTTTACTAGCGAACTTACCGATTACTACTAACTTAATGATTGATGATGAACAGCTAGTGGTGCCCCGATGAGGTTGATCAAGGTTGCATAAAGACATAAAGTACATACATCAATGTATTCTGTTCTACCCATCTATTTGGTCCCGAAGTTGTTGGCTATATACAATTCTCTATTCTGCTAGACTTCATTCGGCGCAGCATACCGGAAAAAAAGAGCTCATAGTGGGCCTATCGTACTACATGGAGCTATTCGAGGTATGGCGTGTATAGCCCAGCTCTGTAGTACTTGTCCTATTGAATTAACGGTGCGGAGGCTAATCAGACGGATGCAGTAGAAAAAAAATGATGGAGAGGACTCTTATCTTTCACTTTATACATGAAGGACTTTTTGGATGCGGTGTAGCCAAACAGAAGAGCCTAAGACAAATGCCCTATGCCAGACGCGATCACATACTATGGGGGCCAAGGCCACTGTCATTACTTTCATCCAGCCCTAGAACTCACCACGAATGATGACCTGCTTAATTACCACACCGTACCGATAACAATCGAATTCGGAACTCACACTCAAATAAGAATTTATAAAAGCTTCTCATTATGCTAGTACCAATTCTCGCAGGCACCATTGCACTTGCACAAATTAAACAGAGACAGAAGAGAAGCCCAGCATATCAAACTAAAAAGCCCGGATCTCCAACATCTATCATGGACATGCACAAAAAACAGAAACAGCAAGCGCTGATCCGAAAATCCCAAGGTCCTAGGACCTATAATAACAGCAGAAAAAAAAAAAAGAAAAAAAAAAGAAAAAAAAAGAAAAAAAAAGCGAATTAAGGTAGCAGCTAAACCCAATAGCCTACTCAACCGGGTCAGACCATCCCATCATGAAATCAGCAATTATTTGAAGTAAAAGCACTAGAGAAAAAAAACACCCACAATTAGTCTCAACAAACCACACATCCACATTCACAGACCGAACTTTTCGTCTTTCTCTTCCTGGGGCGGCGGTAACTCACAACTCCATTTGGCGACTGGAATGCAACCCAGACGGCGCCATCGAGCGCACCAGTACCTGGTGGTGGTGGCGGAACATGAAAAGGGATCATCTTCGCAACTGGCGGGGCTGGCGGGGCAGCAGCCTTCACGAAGAAGATATTTGGCGATGGCGCAGCCACAGGAGCTGGGGGTGCTGGGGGTGCTGGGGGGGCCGCAGGAGGCGCGTTCGGGTTAGGGGCATTGATGAAGAAAACTCCTGGGAGACCCGAAGGCTTTGGCTCCTCCTTTTTAGCAACCGGAGCAACTGTATTAGGTGGAGGCCCAGTGCCTGCAGAGTTATAACCCCATTGTGGCTTTTTACCCCTTGAGGGAGCTGGAGCTGGAGCTGGAGCAGCGATAGCAGGTGGTTGGGTAACAGGGAAGAAGACGGTAGGCATAGTGAGCTGTTTGGTGAAGGTTGCTTGGTAAAGGTTTATTGGTGAAAGTTAGGTGGGAAGGGTGGGGTATAAGTAGTTGGAAGAGTCTGAGTAGAGTATCGGAAGAGTGTTGGAATTGAGTATAGAGAAGGGAGAAAAGGTAAGCTGAGGCCTTCTTTGGTTCTTATAAACACCTCTATTGCGACAGTCATAGATACTATGAGGATGGTATGGGACACTTTAACCTTTGTATTAGAGGGATGTCGGACTTCTCGTGATTGGGCTAAACGTCAGGCGTTGAGGTCGAAGAGCGAATACACAGATAGTATGCCATGGAAGAGCTACCACAGCCCATTCAAACTGTTGCACAGGCGCTGGGTCATGAAGCTTAAGCTTTTGTGTAATTAAAAAACCATAGAATAGTAAATGGCCCCTTTAGGATGGCATGTTATACCACATGCTCTGTAACATAGAACTGGGATTTCAATTACGTAGAAATGGTAAAAGCCAAAGTTCTAAGTCATATGTCCCGGAATGTTTTACAAAAATACCAAGAAGTATTTCCTAGTACTTAGATGACGCTAAGACTGCATACGATTAATGAGTTGAAAAAAAAAAAGGATGACGCTAAGACACATTCGTCCAAAAGTGCGAGTGATCGCGCATGATACGTCAACGATCATGCATGCATTTTGTCAGACCTTGAGGACACGTTTTTTCGCATCGCGAAATTATCTATTCATCACGGGTGTATAAACAATATTGCTCTCTTATATCCTCACGGCAATACCAAACCCCCATACATACAACAAGAGAGGCGCAAACAGCGCAGGATACCGCATCAAGGCGGGTTGTGGATCAAACATTTGGATACACAGCCTTGCCATCCAATGTTTGCCGAAAGTCAAAACAAGATCGTGAGCGAACATTATCCATTCATTTTTCTTGGCTTGTCGTCATCAAATCTTAAAGTCCAATTTACATAACATCAAGTGGTATTAACTCTATTAAGAGTGTGTGCATTTACACATTAAACGCCTCTATATAGCTAAAAAGCTGTTGAAATGCCCAAAAACCCTGCTGGACCTTTAGATCTTTCCGATCATCAACTGTCCAATAATTCCCTTCCCGGTGAGGTAGATAGTCTTCCAAATGTTCGCAAAGTCCAGAGTAGACGTGAAGGTGTCCAAGAATCCAAATGGCAGCATAGACGGGATCCAACCTATCCATACACATACACAGTTAGTCTCTCTTCCGCCAAGATCGGGGGGTCTGCGAATACTATTACTAACCTTGCGCAAGCTCCAATGCCCAGCCTTTGAGGATGTACTGCCCAGCGTCACCACGGGGAAGATGGTTCTGCATGCCGGGGGAGTAGACAGTCGGCTCAATCTCACCGGGCTTCACGAACTGCTGCTCTCCTGACAAGATGGTGAAGTAGTCGTGCGCGAGGTGCACCCCCGAATGACCCTCAGTTCCCAATGGTGTGCCAAAGATGATCAGGTACTCTGTGATTGACGCATGGAGGATGATCATAGCGCCCATTGCACCACCAGCATTGCTACCGGAAAAGTCAAAAACCATGGTCATGGGGAAACGGAGCTGGGACACTAGAAAGACTTACTTGAAGAACCACTCCTCCTTGCTGAGCTTGTTGACGTACTTGTCACCGTACTCTCCGCGCAGCCCCTCCACAAGGTCCTCAAGCAGCAGTGTTGTGTTGCCGCCCGGGCCTCCGTACTTTGCGATTGAGTTCTGGGATAGCTCCTGAAGCTTGACGGGGTCGAAGATGTAGAACTTCGAGATCATCGCATCCAGTGTCCTGAACGCAAAGAACATGAGCGGGAGGAAGGCAATGATGAAACGCATCGTGACGGCCGTTATTGCGGGTATGTGGTTAATTGATTAGTTTTGCCAAATGGCGAGCGGGCGGATGGGGGTCGAAAAGAGAAGAGAAGGGTACTGGGCGGACCCTTAAGAAGATGGTGAAGAAAGGGGCCCTGCCCACAAATTTTGGTTGGGATGCGCCAAGGCGCTTTATTGAGCTGGACCCTGGACGCGTTGGGTAAGTAACGTGTCGCTGTGTCGCTCGGGAGATGCCATCCGGAGAAGCTAGTAAGTCGCTGTTGACCGCGATTTGTTTAGTCAGGCTTGGGGCCAATGACCGTTTGGAGCTCTTTCGGGGGCGGTGAGAGAGCCTTGGGAAACAAAATTACTAAACTACATATATCCATTGGAGAAAACGAGTGTCACAAAGCTTAAGGCAAGGTAGATATTTACAATGGTTACCTCGTTGATAGTACTAGTCTACGCCGGCTAGAGATTAATGCAGTTATCATTGACATCACCTAACCTCAATAGTCTCCAGCTCAAGACGTTCGACCCGGAACCAACTCATGTTCCGTAAACTATGGCCAGATGCTCGAAACCAATGACAGAAAGTAATCGAGGGTTTGGCACAAAATCGAACTGTACAGTTTCCGAGTCTAGGTCTATCTTTTCTAGCCTACAGCTAGTAGTACTAACGAGAAATCTCGAGCCGTTTAGGGTGGGCGTTCAACTTCATCAGAACTTAAATTATAAAGACCTTAACACTAGAGTAAACATCCCATTGTATGCACGACGTGCCTCCGAATCCAAGGCAGCCTAAAGGCGCACCACAGAGAGGCCGCGGGCCCTCAATTAGTCCCGGGATTATTCCTACGTCCTTTCGCTTAAAACTATAGAATATAATGAGAGTCGTGGGTGGTTCATCATTTAAGGAGTTTATTCTAATTAGCTAAGTCCCAAGTTTTTGCACGATACATCAGGCTTAAGTGCTACTAAAAAAAACCCTTAAGATCTCAATTCTTCATTAGTATCGGTAGAAATGTAAAAGACTGCCTCAATTATCACTCCCCCCCGGCGTTCAATACTAAGTTACTGTTGCTGTAGCTGCGCAGTTGAAAGAGGCCTAACATTGTATTCCCATTTCGTTTACAAGAGACTCGACTGAATGCGAGCGTGCATTTAAATACAAGTACTCATTTGAGTATTATTCATAGCTAGCTACGGCTCATGATCAGCGTCGAACAGAAAATAAAATCTGACAGTTTAAAAGACCCCTCCATGTGTATGCTCCATTATCACCGGTACCACAAAGTCCGCAAAAAGAAACACGCATTGCATAAAAATAAAACGCCCACAATATATGCTCCATTATCCCGCCCAATTTGACAAATAGAAAATCCACTTGAAAAGAGAAAAGAGTGTGCACATCCACATGTGCTGTATGTCCCCACAATTAAGAAGTAGTAGACCCTAACGTATCCGAGAAAAGAAGTCTTTGTATCAAGCGAAAAAGAAAAATGAGAGAAATGGAAAGAAACTGAAGGCAGCCATTGAAAAACATATCCCTATCAACATTGGGGAACCACTAAAAGTTGAATAACAGGCCTGTCCCTAGGCCTGTGGAGAGGAAAGAAAAGAGGTGACGTAACCACTGATAGATAGGTACCTGTGAGATAGAAGATTGAATTAGAAGCTATCAATATATTTCTGGAGGAAAGGGGGGGGACTTACTACAGAGGCACATTCCCAGTAAAGAAAGACGAAGAAACCCCGTTCCCAAAGCAGCATCTCGACCCAGATAAACTCTTGTATCTCAATCACGCCGAATTGAAAGGAATCACTTCCTTTTGACATTTCTTGAGAAAAGCGTCCATACCAACTCCTGACTTGCTACAAGCGATATATTGCTTCCGAATCTCCGCCAAGTGAAGCGCTAGGCGCTCCTCGTTATCGGAATATCTGGGGTTGAACGAATAATGTCTGTTGATCTTGGCTAACAGCAACGGGTTCTTGACCTCGGATTCAACGAGTGTCTCCTTCATCCCCTCCACTGCGTTGGTCATGTTTGCCCCGACAGCCCCTGGCCAAATGCTGAGATCGCACGACTCTCCAAATCCTCCCTTATAAACTTCATCCAACCCCATGACCTGTAGGATTAGGCATAAATTTGCCCGAATCGCTAGCTCGAGTTCGGGACGCTCCGCAAATTCCTGGATAGTGTCGAAACTGAATTCATACGACCATAAAAAAGCCCGATAGAAGTCGTCCATCGGTAAAGTACCGTCACAATCGTACCTTGGGACGGTTCCCTTATTTCGGTGCGTATATTTGGTTGCAGCGAAGTAGACTACTGAAAGACGCCTGCAAATAGCAGCTTTGATTGTCTTTCTGCAACTTTCGTAATATCGCAAGTTACGCATGAGTAGTTTCGCATCGCTGGGGGTGAATACTAGCTTCGTCCCTAGATCGTGCTTGATTGCATCCCTATGGGAAAGGATGTTTTCTCCTGCTCGCTGGTAGACAAGAATCTTCTTGATATATTGCCAAGAGGGGATATCAACGATATTGATGGTGATTTGGGTCAAGATTGACGACTCGTAACTTTTGAACAGATGATATAAATTTTTTGAGGTCAAGGCCAAATTGGCCAGGTCAGAGTAATTAGGGAGTATAAGGAAGATGTGAATTAGAATATCCCCCGGGAGGGTCTTGAATTGAGTGGAATTAGGCATGATAGGGTTTTATTTGAGGTTTGATTGTTGGACGGTTGGATGGTTGGACGGTTGGATGATTGGATGATTGGATGATTGTTGGTGATATTTTATGGTAGGAAGTTACAGGTCTCTAGAGAAGTAAAGGTTCAACTTCTGTGTGCCGCTAAATGTGGGAGACAGTGTGCCGGTGGGCAATAGCCCTAATCAAACATTTAACCAGTCACAGGTATATGAATTGGACAGGTAACGAGCCCCTTTTCCCAGGCTATCCGGAATGTCTATTTCAGTATGGTGTGGTTGTAGGATATACGGCTCGGGACTGTAACTTACGCGTCAACTTTCTATGAAATTTGGTGCAGGCAGCTGAATATCATCTTGTGAATTACGAAGCCTCTCCATACATATATTTTAGTCTAATCAGGAAAGATTAGATACGTAAATATACAAAGTATCTCTATTTTAAAGAAGCCAGTTGAATCTTATCATTTCTTAAGTTCACAAATTCCACATAAAAAAATAAATTCATCAGATTTGTATACACTTAAAGATAGAGCATAAGACTAAAAATTGCATGTACATGTATCATTAGCAATTAGAATCAATGCGGGTTACTTGGAACAAAGCTAGACAGAGGTGGTGTGAACTCGGTGTCAAAAATGTATAAAACGTTTCGAAGTAGTCGGGCATCTACATGTAGGTAACAAAGGAGACTGTTTGTGTACTTTTTCATGCAGCATATGGTCAGTATACGTGACCTAGGTCTGAAAATAATAGCAGTCCCATAATCTGTGCTATTAGAAGCGCTGGGAGGCTATATATAGCAATTTTATACAGGCGTACATGCACTTCATTTAAATCTTATATTTCGATCCACCATGAACTTACCTGAGGCCGCACTGCCTGACAACTGGGTAGCAGTTTCAAAGTTATAACAAATTAAAATTAAATACAAGTAGCGTATAGAACTCATGGTGAGAGAAGGCTCAAGTCTTTTCCAAAGTACAGCCTTAAGCTTGATAACTATATTGATTGAATAAAGTGTTATAAAGTGACTGACTGTAAACAGCCATACATGGGCATACATTGAGAATCAAACACTGGAACGGGCAGAGAACGCTCGGGGTCCTGGTTAGAGGCTGCGCCACTCAACTCACGCGGCTCGTCTCTTGGATTCTCCATACTCCACCATATATGTAATTCTTAAGTAAACAGAGTCCATACATGTAAGCATATGTCTCTAGGTCGAGTGACATTTCATGATTCATATTCACACCAGTCCTCTCCCAATCTGCGATGTTAGGCATGGGCACTAGGGCCGGGAATTAATAGTACAACAAAATCCTTAATTTTTCTATCGCATGACCAGGCCGGGCAATGGAAGAAAAGAGAACGAGGAGAGGGACGAGGACGAGGACGAGGATAAAGGACATGTAGCTTTTTCTGCCAAATTCATTTTTCATTTTCTTTATTGTGTCCTAGAATCTTAGACACTCGGGCCCCTGGCCTCGACTACGCATAGACACGTGTAGCTTCAGGTTCAGTAGATGCGAAACCCAAGTTGTATTTGTCAAGGTAGGCACAACATGTTAAATACCTGCAGACATGTAGCGCGCGAGGCTTCTTGGCGTTCGAGTGATGTTCTATGATGCCATTACCCGCATGCTAGATGTAGTAATGCGACCGCTGTAAAGCGCTCGGAGTAAGATAAAGTCTTGTATAGGTGCTTCAATATTGATGCTTCCTGCAAAAGGGGTTGGTATTGACGAGGGTCAGAGTTGCGCCAGTGGGGTACTTAGGTTTGCCAAGGCTAAATCGAAATGTTTGCGTGGAATGGCCTTGTTGGCAACACCTGGCCATAAAATTTGCGTGAGAACTGATTTATCCCTGATCCCTGATACCGATTAATCCTTCTCTGCTATATCGTGCCAGAGGCAGTTGGTTTACTCATCTCTACGCCGCAACAGAACCTTACCCACGCGGGAAGCTTGGTAGGTGTAGAGAATAGACATGGAAGGAATATGGAATAAAGGAAAGCTGGGATGAAGGATGCAGTATTTGTACAGCTGTTACTTACCAGGAATAACGTATTTTGACACATCTATAGGGCTGGTCTTCAAAGCCAGGCAAACGTGCCAGCTCACCCCCACGGATAATTCGCCGGCCACGCCCTGTTATACATTATTTGAACCTATTTCTCCCTTACCCCCACCGATCTCCACAAAAAGGCATCATTATCTCCCCCTCCATTGCCTTCCCAGGACCCAGTGTACAGCATCCCGTTAGAATACCGTGGCTATAGCTTGGCAGTTTTGACAGCTCCTATTTTGAATAACCCTTATTGGTCAAATCAATACGTACATGGTATCCCTGATATACTGGTAGACTACGTTGGCTTCAAACTCGATGATGTTGAAAGTGCCCCCGCCCCCCCCCCCCCCCCCCAGTTGATTAACTAACGTTCACGATTCTCTTCGGGATAGATAAATTATCACTGCCATCACCGATGCAGCATGACTTTTTGTTCATGAAACACTGGTGGCATTACCAACGTGTCGTAAAATTGCAATAACTGTGCCTTTTCTGTTTATTCATCCTACAACTCATTCACCGCACATCCAAATGATCGAGCGACGAGAATCATTCGTGGCGAAAATCATGCTTGATTACATATCCATCTAGGTGCCTTCCGTATCCAATAAATACAAATCTCAAACTTTCCACGAAGAAGGCTTGAATAGAACCTGATTTAGCAACATCAAGCTCAAAATGTTTGAGCTTTCTTCGTGACTTGTTCTAGACATGCTCAATGATATGCAGTTTGGTCTCAGAATGAACGTGGATTGACTTGGTAATGATCGCATTACGATCAACAAGACCATATGATCTACTCCAAGGATAGACGACTCGAACACGGCCCACAACTCTACTCGATATCCGAGAGTTGTTCCTCATAAGAATTGGGACCACCAAGACCGAGCCGTCTTGGCACTTTCTGAGACTTCTGGTCTCGGCGCCGAATGAGGTTTCGTGAGACAGCATAGGTTATCCCTCGGAAACTGGATGAGCGAGCCGAGCCCTGGCCGATAGAGGTGCTTTGCGTATATGGACTACTTATCATTTCGTTTTCGCTGTCTCATAAAAGTCTCTCTAAGAATCGCTATTGGTGATATGTTTTTCAAAAAGCGAGACTGCAGCTGTCCTTGAGACGTCTCACTTTATCACTAATCCCTCGGGCCTGATAAGTTAACGCCGTGAGTGCATTAACATTGCCGGAATTCCATGGTTAATAATTAGCTTATATTCAAACATGGACTCACCGTCTAATAAATACATGAAGCAACAATTGTGGAACCACATTCGAGTGATAGCTTATGATTGAATGCAACCTAACTCGATGACGCATAGGTACAATAAAGTGCACCAATAGCAGCCCAGCTAGCGCCCCTGTTGAACAAGCAACCGGAAATATTAAGGCCAGTGATTTCACGTTACACAAACATGATCAAATCAAGGGAGCCTTCAATCCCATCAGTAGGTACCTGTATACTAGTTAACACCCCGCAACAATTCGATTCGAAACAAGAAACGCTATTATGTTTGAGACCAAAATTATAACCAAAAGGGGTAATTTCTAGATTGCGCAATGCAATAGAAGTTTCACGTACGCTGTGGCGACACTCACTAAGCTTCGAATGCATACCATATCAAACCTATTAGTGCAATTTCAAAAAAGCTATGATCACAGTCTATATTTGCAAAGATGGAGTCGATCCCTCCCCCCTGCAGCGGGAAGAGACAAACAATGTTCCGAAACAAAGGGGGATTGTGGGGGGCGATGGTTTGTATGGTCGCTCTATTCAAAGTGTTATTTTTTTATTCCCGCCCACCACCCACCAATTGTAAGGACCGGAGAATTCTCGAAGATAAGTCAATCGGGATCTTAAGTATGCAGTAGTCATAATAAGCATTTAAATTTTCCTTAGGATTGCATTTTGCGTCAGCTGATTGTCTCATACCCGTCAATTCAGCTTCCTCGGATTTGCCGTAGCCATCGAGACCAGGCCACCACCGAGCTCTAGATCCCGCGATGAGAAATTTTGTTTTAATTCGAAAACAATCCTTAATAATCGCCATCATGACTAGTACAGGATGCGCGTGTGTCCATTTTATATTAGTAAATCAGTACACACCCGGCCCGACAGTTCATGGATCCTGGAGCGAGCGATCTTTACAGACTACTCTCTCTTTTCTCCAGAGTCTTGGCGGAATTCATAAGGAACGTTTCATATAGATAAAATTCCCTTCCGTTAATCGCGATTGTGTATCTTATCAGCTACATTACATACTATGCATGTACGACCACGGTTAGTCGGGCGTTAGGTACTTGGTTAGCGGTTAGACGGCAGGTACTTGCGATCATATAGGTACATACATGCATCATATATATATGGGCATGTAGCTACAGTGCGCTATACTTATTCGATTGAGGTCTGCTACGATGTAGTAATGTGTAAATACTAATGGCTCTGGGGAAATTGGAAAGGCCATTCACTTACGTGGAGACAGAAAAACACTAAGATATTCCTACAGCGATTTATTAGGGGAGTGAATGTTGTTTCATCCGATATTGGTCCCATCAACCCTTACAGATGTAGATTCCTTGAGTCTGCTGCAATTCTTCATAGAAACAGGCCGGTAGACCCCGCGATGTGCAAGGGAAAACGATTTTAGAAGCTAAAGCCCAAAGAAAACATAATGATCCATATGGCCTTCTGATACGGTCACGAGGGTTATTTTTTCCTCTTCATTTTAATTTTCGAAATCTCCGGGTCCTAGGCTGGGTGAACTATTGTCAACGCGGGAAATTCGCCCGGATCGGGGTTCTTTTGTGCGCCGAAATGCCATTTTTTGGCAACGGGAATGTGGTTAATAGATTTATGCTATGTGCACAAATAGGTGGCATGTCCCGCAACGCATGCTTTCTTGTTCGTGAATGGGATCGTGAGATTCTCTACGCGCTCCCTTTACTGGAAAGGGGGGCACAGTAGGCAATTATCGGCCTTCGAGAAATGCTGTGGAACCGATCTTTGAGAAGGTAGTACTACTACCCTATATATTTCGTAGTACAGTGTGTACCTACAGATTTACATACCTAGATACCTAGATATGCTACTGCAATGAAGAATCCTGGTTGACAGTTTCGGCTTGAAGCTGATTTAGTAAGGATAAAAGACGTTGTCAAGATCAAGGCGTTCCTGAACTGAACAGAACCGGGCTGTCTTGGCGCAAAGCCCCTTGCAGGAAACGCTGCCAAGCATCTCATCGTACCTTGCATGAAAGTGGCCCATCCCTGTAGCCTCCAATTAAACCTCAAAGAGGAAATTGAAGGGGTTCGCCTGCTTGATCGATGCTCTTGTCTCCGCTCGTATTTTGGTAAGGTGCTGATGGGGAGTTTCTTCAGCTCTGGTTGGGTTTTATCTTGGGGGCGAGGCCATGCTATGTATGGGGACAATTGGTGCTTAAACTGTTCGTTTCAAAGAGCTTGCGGCGCGGGATGACATCGAATCTTTTTAGAGATGTGGATAACCTGCGCTCAGACGTTAAGCCTCTGATAGAATACTTCGAGATCACGAGGGTTTCAACAGCTCACAATACGGCCAGTAAGAACATGTTCTTCGGCAAGTGAAGTGATTAGATACTGTGCCTTATCTTCTTGAAGGTTTCTCCTTTCCCTTCTTCCTCTTCCTTTCCCCATTCGACATAACCCTGTTCACTTCACTAGCTTTGGGTTCATGGGTCGGGAGGGGCGGGGCGAAGGTGTGACATGCATGTGTACTAGAATTTCGCTTTTAGATAAAAAAAAATAAAATAAAGAAACTCCTTCTCTTTCTTACAAGAAGCTGGTCCTTGAGTACGGCGTTGATAACCCGGTAAGATAATTGTTGAAAGGAGACGAACGGTTATGCGTTGTTTGGGGGCCCAGCTGTGCACATGAACATAAGCACAGGGTTGGACGTTGCTGTTGAACCATCCTAGACAACATCGTGAATTGGTTGGCTCCTTGGGAGCGATGGATCACCATGTTGCCACCAGCTGCGAATCAGCATGAGCTGCAGACCAATTGATGCCATAACGTTGCTCATCGTTATCTCCCCAGCTTTGGTCGATTGTTTGCCTATTCGCAAGTACCTAAGTGTCGTCAGCGACTTGGATCTTGCGTACCATGAGATCTGAAGCGCTCAGGCAGAGAAAGAAGGCGTCTGGGGGAGGAGAGTTCAAGTTAGAACTGGACTCAATTACTCCTCACTCACGGGCATCTCGGTTGTTCAGTGGAGCGGGCCGGGGGTAGATGAAACGAGACCAGATTATTCCCCGGGATTAGATCCTAGGTGGGAGGTTTATACCCATTGGCCGAAATGGGGAATGCCCCTCTAGTCCTTGCGGCAAATCTTTCAATTTCCCAATCTTATGGAACTTTCGTGGGTGGTCATGGTGGTTTTTGCACTCGCAGGCTGCTAGCTGGCTGGCTGGTTCGTGTTGTGCTTTTTCGGTTCCAAGCATCTAATTTGTCGATAGCTTTTAGTTAGACAGAGGAACAAGAGAGAGAGTACCGAATCTAATACTACTTCAGTTTCCTGACTGATCATAGCTTCCGCAGTTGGAACTTGGGTCAACCCTTTTCACATTCTTTCTCTTTTTCTCTTCGCTTCTCTCTCTTCCCTTTATCCCTTTCTTTTGTGACCTCCTCCCTAATATCGGTCATTTGCCCCGCCGTCGCGCTAAGTACTAGTAGCGTTGTCAAGACGATTGACGCTGACTTGACTGTCTGTCTGGACTACCGCTAGTTGCTACTTCACCTACCTACACCTACATACCTGGTGGTGAATCGCGCACAAACTTACACCTGACGGTCCTTCGTTGAAGCTTCCAACTACTGATTGCTGTACTCTCTTACACACAGTCTTATACACTCACTCGTTTCATCCGTCGTCCACTCATTTACATCATCTCTTCATTTCAACCCCCTTTGCCTTCACTCTTCTTCCTTTCTTCTGTTCACTCCAGAATTCACTGTCGGCCTGGATTTACCCATTCTTCTCGACTTTGACTATTTGAACTCGCCTAGTAGCGGGGTCATTTCTATTCCATTTTACTCTTCTTGCTTGCAATTGTGCCCCTGTCGATCATTCGGGTGACTACATTTGCTTCAGGTACTCTTACTTTCCTGAACATTTTCGCTTCTCTTCTTGTGCATCCTGTGAGTTTTCGAGGTCAGGCACCACCAGCAGGACGGACGGAAGTTGTCAAGGTTAGTATAGTACATTAACTTTCCTTAACCCCGGTTTGGTTTCTTTTTTTTTTGCTTCTTCTTCTATACCCTTCGCGTTTCAGATGTAGAGCTACCTGGGTTCTACTCTGTTGGACCCTTTCTCGTACAGGAATTGCTATGCGCGCACACACACGCATTCATGTACTGATTACAGGGAGATCTTAGATAATCTACTTGTTTATTTTTTTTTCTGCTTCTCGCGAACAATTCGGCCGATTCTCCTTTCCGTTCAGCGGTCTAGTTGCTCCCTTTAATCGTTGGAAGAATAATAAGAATAATACATATCTTAAGTACTGAGGTAAGGGAATCTCCGCGACAAGGGGAAACAACTCTTTTACACTCTCTATTACTAAACAAGCACGTTCTCACTAATTCCTCTCAACAATCAGCGAAATTAGGGCAAATAGGTACTTGATATTTTTCGTTGCTTACCGCTCGTTCTCATCACGAGTTCTCACAATCTTTAGTTATACTCACTTGAATAATTTCGTTAAACCATACACCAAAGACACCCTTACTCACCATCTTCTGTTTTCGTATCACTAGCTCACCACTAAATATAAACCTACAACAATAATGCATCGTCTTCGTAAAGGAAAGAAGAAGGAAGATGAAGAGGGTGTCCCTCCAGTTCCTCAGCCAACTCCCACTACAAGTCACAATCCTTTCAAGTGGGGGAGAACCCCAGAGCCTCCTCCAAAACCTCAGCTTGACCTTGAACATGCGCTGCCTGCTTCGGATGACTTTCGGACTTCCTTATTGATGCCGAACTTAGCACAGCGTTTCAGTATCTTACAACAGGAAATGGCCGCTGCTGCTGCGGCAGCAGCAGCTAATGGAGGAGTGAACCCCAATGCACCGATTGGGACCGCAAGTGATGGAATGGACGGCTTTGTCTTTACAAATCCACCGCAATTCACACCCATGGGTGAAATCACCGAAACATCATCCATCGCCGAGGCAACGTCAGCTCAGCAGAATCGTTTAACTACAAAGTCGGAAGAATCTGTAGGTTCAGATGAGTCCGGTGGCATCATGAATCGTTCCAGAGGTGGAGAGGGAAATGTCCTCTTTGGAGGAAGGCAGAAAGTGTATCGGGTACCAAATGCCTATACTAGTGGGAAGGACTCTATGGATGATTCAAATCCAGGGTCCTCTATGGGCGGAAGATCTGTTGGAAGCCACGACGTTCCGGAGGGATTTGGAATGCCGAAGCATAGAAGAGAGCAGCACGAATCAGAGGAGGCCAATGGAGGTGATGATTATAACAAAAACAGAAACACAAGCTCCTCTACGGGCTCCGCTCCTACCACCATTACTCGTTCTTCGACTGCTGCGACATCTGTATCATCCAATAGGAGCCCATCTGGGACCACTCAAGCTTCAGCATCGGCCTCCCCCCCTCCTGTGGCTCCTGTTGCGACCAAACCTCGTAAAGCGCTATATGAACAAGCCTTGGACCAACAGTTACAGGACCAGCAAACGACAGCAGTTGGAAGGCTAGAGAGGTTGGCTTCCCTGCGAAAGGCAGCTGTTAGCCCGCCTCCAGCGAACAGCTACCAGGGAAGCTTCAGTCCCCCAGGGCTTTTCCAGCAGTCAAATACCTCGCCCTCGTCGCCAACATCCCCAAAACAAACCCCTCAGTGGTCCGTCAATGTCAAGAGGAGCCCGGATTCCCCGATGTCTACACCAGAGGAGGATGAGGATGAACAAGATAATGAAGAAACTGTAAAACAGGGGCAAAAACTTGGGCAATCACTGTCACCGCACATGGCACAGTTCAACTTTGGGTTAGAACCCAGGTCGCAATCACCAATTAGCCCTCCGGTATCTGCCAGTGCAATTCAATTTCCTACACAGGGACCTTTCAGTCCTGGAATTCTCTCGAGAGACCAACCGCAAAGAAATCCGAGCTCTGATAAGCTGAACTTACAAATCAGGGCTCCTTCGCCAATGAGTGATAGCAACGACCAGTATGGACAGAAAGGTTCAAAAACATTTTTGTCTATGCGGAGCTCGGCGAGTGATTCGAGTTATGACGATCAAGAGGAGAGTGACAGGGCAGATGGTAAGACCAGTCCTATTTCTCGAAATTCTTTGGACAATATTGCGCCTCTACACCCGCGTAAGAACTTTGGAGCACATCCAACGGATTCCGAATATGTAGAAGTAGAGCCGCCATCTCCAGTGTCTCCAGTTTCCCCCATCTCGCCAATTTTTAGCACAAGGATTTCAGATGACTTCATGCGTCCCAGCCAACCGCTCCGCAATCCAGCAATCTCGCCCACTTCGCCCAAATTTTCGGCCGATGTGCAGCCATCATCTGAGGATGACTCGCCAACCCTTCCACCGGGTCAAGGTCTTAGTATGCTCGTTCGCCAGCATCTTCGTACGGATTCTGGTCATTCTTCGGTATATGCAGGGTCTACATACACACGCATGTCACGTGTTTCAAACTATGGCCCGGGGGCGGCAGCAGCTAAGAACTCCAAAGAACCCGATGCACCAAGGCCTAGTGCTACTTCTGGGAGTAGTGGGGGGGACCTTTGGGAGTTTGATGATTGGGATGGTGGTTACTTTGGAGAAGATGATGGCCCGCGCATGAGGGGGTCGAGCCCATCGACTATCAGTGACAACCCACCAACGCCTGCAGTCCCGCAAAAAGACTCAGCCAGGACAAGGTCTGATGAAAGAAGAGATGACGAAGACTTAGCCAGAGAAAGAGAGAGGTCTAGAGGGAGGGCAGATAGTAGGACGAGTGAGAGGGATAGGGCTATGAGCAGAGCGAGTGAACGGGATAGGGATAGTCCTGCGGGAGAGGATGACAACGATAAGGATTGGGAGCAGCAGTTGGCTTTTAGACGCCAAATAATTCAGCAGAACCTTAGAAATCACGAAAAGGTCAACAGCCAACATGAGCTGGATTTCCCGCCTGACATGAAAGCTCAACAAGGGAAAAATGGCGGATCTGGCGGTGGATTTGGTGTCCTCAGATCGAAGGGTTCCAATGGGATAATCTCCAAGAACGATCCTTCGAGAAGTGGTCGTGATTCCCCTGGCCCTGGGATGCGAAAGGAGGGAAGTCGGAGCAGGATGAATAGCAGTGAGACCGAGAGAAGAACCGAAGAGGAAAGACGGCTCAGGGAAACTGTCAGAGGACCAAAGAACATTCCTCCCGGGGGGTATCCGACGCAACAACATCCACCACACTCTCACCATCATATTCCTCCTCCTAACCCTGCACGTTTGAACACAAACTTGCAAAACGAGAACCGCCCCAAGCCACGATCGCCCGTGGGTCTCCCGCACCCCCTCCATTCACCTATTATTACCCCCAGACCCAGGCAAAGGTCAACCCGTGACCAAAGGAACGATGCACACAGTAACGGTGAGCAGAATACTAGGAGAGGGCAGCCGATGGGATGGAGAGATGACGGAGAGGGTTATGCTCAGCCAAGGTCGGCGCCTGGTACTCAACCCGGTAGCCCGGTCTCGCAAAGGGATGGTCATCATGGTATACGTAAACAACCTAGTATGCCACGGATGGGCGGTCCAGATATGCATAGACCAGGCCAAGGGCAAAACAGAGACCAGGAACCGAGACGCCATGGAGGTCCACCACCTGGACCTGGAATGAACAATGGCCACATGAACCATGGACCAATGGGTAACGGTTTACAGAAAAAGCAGTCCTTTGACAGGGACGGGCAGCCACATGGATCTGAGTTCAGACGGCCCAGGGGAAACAGCAATGCTTCATCGGGACCAACAATGAGACAAAGGAGGGGAACTTTTGATAATACACCTCTACCACCATTAAACACATCAGCACTCTCGCCTCCTACCCAACACCTTCAAGCATCATCTACACCAAACTCTGCGATAACTATGGATCATTCGCCTGCGTTTTCCCAGGCGACCCAGACTCCAAGTAGTAGTGCCAACACTACTCCGGCATCTGCTATCTCATCAAAGTCTCCTCCGGCTGCTCTAATCCAAAGCATTGCAAACTCCAACGCTGGATTTGCCCCGGCCAAGAAGCGGGTTGTCGATAAGAGTAAAATTGGTGATCCCAAACTCATCTCTTCAACATCCAACATCCCTACTGTTGATCTTCCAACCCAGACTAGCCCTGCTTTGGGTAGTGCGAAGGAAAAGGACGGCCGTAAAAGGCGCATGACTGAGACCAGAAGCATATTCTCAGGCTTTGGCAGGAACAAGTCTTCCGAGGAAGTTCCTGCGCTACCAACAGGGAGCCCTATGATGCCGCGTCACCACACTGATGATGAGGTTGAGCGTTCTTCCTTCACTGATGACCCGCCACCAAAGGCAAAGAAGACTGGAGGCAAGCTCCGAAAGTCTACTAGCGATGGTGGGGCACTCAGTGCGCGTGCCAGGAAGGAAGCTTTGGCGAGAAGTCCAACTGTCCCCAAGCTTCCCAAGGGTATGGAGGCCTCTGGTGGCGCACCTGCAGGCATGATTTAGGCTTAGGTGGTTTCTTTTTTAAACTTTTTTGAGGAGGTTTCTTCATGAGTTGATGTTGGTTTGGTGCATATTGATAATGGGCTTTTCTTAAAGTTGCATATGACTGTCATGTGAATTCTTGTTCGAGTTTTTTTGTTTCTTCTTCTCTTTCTCTTTTTCAGTGCTAAACTTTCTTACCATATTCACTACACCCCCCCCCCCCCCCCTTCTTCCATTTTCCACTGTAATATTTGAAACAGAGTATCCCCTTAAATCTTTTCCCTTTTCCTCGATTTTTTTATCTTTCATTGCAAGCATTATAGTCATCTGCTTAAATACCCTCCTGATATTTCGAGATCACCGTCGTCGTCTGATTTTCTTTTGTATTTTTTTCTTTTTTCCTTTTTTTTTTTACTCGGGGAGTCGAGTCACATTGTTTTATCTGGTGGGTTTTGGAACAGGGGTTCAAGATTCCAACGGGCCTTATTGCATTCCTTTTTTCCCCTTCTCATTCACTTTTTATCGTGTGGATTTCTTTGTGGATTTTATGTTTAGTGGTTAAATTCTAAACCTAAGTACTAAGTGTTTTCTTCTATTTCTTCTCCTTCTTCGTTATCTCTAAATACCCTAGCTACTACTTAGTATTCGTACTGAAATACCTACATCATAACTACAATGTATCTCTCTGGTGCAACAGTGTTTGTAAATTGTAGTACACTATCACTATTGCGGTTCATCACATATCTCTACGTAGTGCTACAATATATATCAAGTGCTAGATTGGGGAGAACAAACACCAAAGGCTTCCACCACTTGCAATTATAGGGAACATGAGAAACTCATGCGGGGAAGTAGCTAGCCGTCCAAGATGAAGTGCGTGGTGTTTGCCTGACACTGTTTGCAACAGTTGGTGTTATAGTACATGAGCCTGATGTTCGAGACGATCCTAGGGCACGCAAAGGCTAGGAGTGTGTCTGCCCTACTAGTAGTAATTTTGTGCCCGCTCGCCCCCTACTAGTATTATGTCCACCTCCACCAGCCACGTAATAAGCAGTTCAACACCATGATATGGTATTCGACCATCACTATGTCTAATCACCACCGTCGTGATAATCAGCTACGAGGAAAGTTGTCACACGAACCACAGGCAGGACTAGGACTGTACATGTGATAGATCCGGGGGAGAAAATCACAATTGATTGAACTACTGATGAAATGAATTGTGGTGATGATAAATTCCGTGATGCTTCATGATACATTAAACTCTGAGTATCTTTTTCTATGTGTACATCCAAATCTTGCATGTATATACATTTAAAAAAGCGGTAATGGAAAAATTGAACACCTAAGCTATGCGGTAGTAGTGCGGTATTTGAAAGGAATACCAGAGCATTACCAGCCCGCCAACCTAAATACCCCGCTAATGCTACTGCTTATCCCAGAATACGCCGCAAATGCTATTGCTTATAAGAATACTACAAAATATCCACTTAAATGCCGCAGTCTCACAGCACAAAAAACACCCCGTTTTTTTGGTACTGTATACATCCCACGGACTGCTAACGGGCTACTAACGATGTATCAGCCCAAGCCTCGGTAAAATATCCTGTCTACAAGTATTAATGTACATCCCGTCGTTAGTAAAACTTGCGGGTCACCAAGTACTCACCTTTTCAGTGCGAAGTCAACTCCCGATCCCTATTCTTTCTTGACTGAGTCTTCGCCACCAGTCTTCCGGCAACGCTCAATGCGTCCCACCCACTCCTGCAAAGGCTTTTTATCGCCGTCGATGGCTCTCATGGTACAAAAAGAGGTTACAATAATCATCGACCGAATGGCTTGCATCTCGCCTCTGAAGCCCTGAATGTCTGTTTCGATGTCCGCAATATCTTTTTTGAGTTCGTCAATCTTGAAGTCGGTCTTGTTGAGAGCATGATCCCTGCGTACCTCCCAGGTTACAGCACCCGAACCAAGGATAGCGGCAACGAGAGTAAACGGTGGTCCTCCATAACGGAGAATCAGTTCTAATAGCAACAAAGTGTTTTGTAAGCAAACCTTCATAACGATAAGACGATAACGTACTTTGAAAACTCATAGCGTCTGTCTGTAGCGATGTTGTCCGAGCAAGTGTGGATACTATCGTGATAGTTGATCGTTGGTGGTTGAGGTCGTCTTTATATAACCCTTCGTTCGTTTTGACCATAAACGCTATTGGGGGTGTTTAACTTGTTCCAGTGACTTTTATCTTTAGCATACCTAATCCACACTCCGCGAACCTCTTTAGGCTCGAAGTCACAGTTTGTGACCTCTTTTCAACACATCTTTCCACTCCTAGAGGATATCCACGCCCTGTAGCAGTTAGTATTTTGAATATCAACTTGGCTATTCTATGTCAATCGCGGGCACGAACGAAGGATATATCCACTGGTGAGCTAAGCCGGGTAGTGGAACATTAATCTGTTCTTTGTGAAATACGCTAGCCTGGTGTCAGGCGTTGGTGTCAAGGGTTAGGGGTTCCAGCATGGCTTTAACGTAGAATCCTGAACGGTGTCAGGAATTCCCCTAACATAAAGTGATTTTACAGCGTAAATCTTAGGCTGGTGTCTGGTAAAGGCACCTGTCCCTCGAGTGATAATACATGATTAACACATAATAGTGAAATCTCAAGAAGTGTTGGGAGGTTCTAGAAAAACCTACAATACTCTTCTAATGATACTTAGCTGGAGCCGGTGAGCTGTCAGAAATTTGGGAATAGTCGTTTAGAATGAGATTCTACATGTATATAAAACTCATGGTTGCGGGTGGGGAGGTATTCTTAATTCTGTGTTCTCTACTCTATGACTACCAATCCTTGGCGCTCAAGAGCAACCTCTCGTGGAAGGCTCAGTCACATAAGACGACTCGCCTCAAGGTGAACACCACCCCCCACATACATACATACACCCACACATACACAAGAGCCAAAGCATCCCAAGATAAGTAACTTCTTACTGCCAGAATATATATTCAAAGACACCCTATTAAGAACGACCAGACATAGTGAGCTTCTGCCTCCAGTCACTGTGGTCTACTAATACGTACATGACACCCCCCAAACCAACCCTCCAACCCTCCAACCCCCAAACCCCCCGCGCTCCCAGCAAAAACACCGTCCGATAACACAATGATAAAAAAAAAAAAAAAAAAAAAAACTCCGATAGTAACTTTGATAACCATCATAACGATTTTGCTTTTTTGGAAAAACCCGGAAAAGAAAAGGGAAAAAAAAGAGAGGTGACTATACTAAACGATTGAGAATGAAAGAAAGAAAGGAAAAAAGGGGTATGTATGCAATTGGAGAGAGAGGAGACGCTGAACGAGAGAAGAGAAGAGAGAGAAGGGGAAGGACTGAATACAGCCCCCAATGAACGCCGCTGGCGCACTAGCAACGATGGTAATAAAAGAAAACGAAGGGAGGTGAGATACTAATACTTTTAAAGGGAAGAAAAGAAAGAAAACAAAACAACATATACATAAAAAAAAAAATCACGGAACGCCAAACCCTTTCCCATTCTCCAGCGCCAGTTTCAACTTCTCCTTCAGCTTCTTGCGGCCACTATACTCTGGCAACAACAGTCTGCCGAAACAAGTCAAGCTAGTTGGGACCCTCTGAAAAGAATCGTCAGCTTGCTTATCCACAATAGGGGAAAGGGAAGAAACTTACATCAGTATCCGGCCCGTTCCGTTGGATGTAGAACATGATACTTCCGATCCCATTAACGGGGACCCTATCACTCGCTGTGACAAACTCCAGCAGTTGCCGCTTCTTGACACTATTGAAGCCCTTAACGATGCTCCAGAAGTCGCGGATAGTCTTATGTTCAGGCCCGTAGCCGTCGTCGTATCGTGCGGTCTTCTCGAGCTCCTCGATATCGATCTCTTGGGTGCCCTCGACTAGACTCTGTAATGACGCAGGAGTAAAGAGCTATAGTAGACACATTAGCACACTTGACAAGATGTGAAAAGATAGGATATGGCAACATACACCCAACGCTTTGGGATCAAGCACAGCAAAGAAACCCTTCTCGAAAGCCTGGTACTGGCGGCGGATTGACCGGTCGGTGAGCCATGATATGTAATCCTTTACATACTGCTCCCGATTGCTATTCGCCACCAGCTCCGCTTCCTCTTCGAATTCGTGCCAGCTCTCGGTGAATCTAGCTGATCCTTCCGGCATGTCTCTAGCCTTGGAGTCGTCGGAGCTGATCTCCCCGCCCAAGTACCCTTCTCCTTCTTTCTCATGGGCCGTATCGTCTGCCGCGGCGGCGGCTTCTGCAGATGCCTCTGCCCTGGATGATGCCTCCGCTTTTGCTTTCGCCAGCTCTTCATCCTTGGCTCTGGATTCTTCTTGCACCGACTCGGCCGTGAGCTCCACAAACGACAACTCGGCGCCGGCTCTCGATGGCTCCCCCACCTGATCTGCAACCTCTGCCTCGCCCGCGCCCACTCTCTCCGATTCACCCGCGTCCGCATCTGCATCCGCGCCCAAGCTCTGCCGCCTCGCCTCCGCCTCCTCTACATCCTCCCACGCGCCACTCCCACTCCCCTCCCCCGGCCACTCCCTGAAAGTAACCTCATACCCCCTCTGCCTCACCGGACTCTCCGCCCTATTCAGCACATCCAGCACCTCGTTCAGCCCGCCCAGCCACGGATCCCTCTCCGGCTCCGCCGGCAGCCAGTTCTGCAGCTCCAGCAGCCCCTCGATCGCGTCCGCTTCGGGCTTCTTCTCCTCCTTCTTCTCCTTCTTCTTCTGCTTGCTCGAGGCGGGCGGCCGCGCAATCTTGTCTTCGAGGAACTCGAGACCCGTTTCTTTGGCTTTCAGCATGTTGACGTTCTTGACGGCGCCGAAGGCTTCGTAGGAGAAGTCGTAGGTCCGCAGGAATACGTCGCCGACGTCGCCTTGGTCCCAGTCGAGGAGCTCCTGGAGGCCGCTGGCGAGGCTGGGCCAGCCGTCTTTGATGTCGTCCAGTGAGGTCGCCTCCATCCCCAGGAGCTTCTTGTACAGTATCCTCGGGAACGTGACTGGCAGTGTGACGCCGTTATAGACCGCTAACCCAACCAGGAGTCCCAGTAGCTCAAACTTGTGCACTGGTTCCACGGGACACACGCTAAACCAGCTCATCCTGCTCCTCTCGTCCGTTGTAAACATGCCATAATCCGGCCTCAGGGCCTCCCTCATCGAGATGATGAAGAACTCCTGCTGCACACCGCCGTGGTCGACTCCCTCCTCGCCGCTGTTCGAGAAGCGCACCTTGAGCGGCCGTTGCAGCTCTCGGAGCTCGCGCCGGAATATCTGGTTCAGGGCGTCCTCGAGGACGGTTTCGCGGTTCACCTCGACGAGGAGATACATGTTTAGTGCGATACGCATCTTGCGCATGAGGTTTTGGATCTCGCGGTTGGGGTTTAGGATGGTGTTTCCGACGGACATCTGGTGCGTCAGGCGCACCATCGTCATGGACTTGTCGAATGCCTTGGACATGTGGTAGAGGTTTACGGCGCGGAAGTAGGTGACGATTGCGTGTGGGGGGAAGATGAAGGGGTATTCGAGGAAATGTACGATCTTTGGGTCGGGGGTGGCATTGAACCATTCCACGGGCATGTCCTTAGCATCATAGCGGTCCGATAGAACTGGGGTATAGAAGTATTCCGGTTCTAGCCCGTAGGATTTGTGGTCCTCGTCTTAATTGCCATGTACAGTCAGTATCGTAAATACATGAGCAAAGCTGGGGAATTGTAACTTACGGAGGATCTTTAGCAGCACCAAAGACGACGCTACTACACTTCCCCGTTTCGCGGTTTCCTGTCCATCCCATGCTTTCAGCAACACAGCTCGGCACCATTCCAGCGTACACACGCTCAAGCTCCAGCCGCCTTTCCCTCTATTCGAAAGCTTTGCCAACTCCTCGCCGAACTCATGTGACAAAACCTCCTGCCTCTGTTTCTCCTGTGCCGCTCCACATCTCTTGAGGTATCCCTTTATCCAGTCCGCAACATGATCACCATCATACGAGACCCTATACGCAACCGCCCTCACCACCCTGCGCATCAACCTCTCCGCCATCTCATTCTCGAACCCTATCTCACTCACAACTCCAGCTTCACTAACTCTCCCGCTCCCTCGTAGCTTTCTCGTAGCCTCCCATTCCTCGGGGGTGCTCTCGGGCAGCATAGCCGCAAGGACATGCAGCGCCAGCAATATCAGCCGCGCCGCATCTCTATCCTTCAGCACCTTGGGGTGAAACACGGCCTCCAGCCCCATCCACATGCTCCGCAGGATCATGATTTCCCACTCTGGATTCGTCACGAGCGTTCGCAAAGACCGGTCAACCGTCGCTAGGTCCAGGTAATCCTCCTCCGCTTCTGACTCTGCAGTGCTTGTGAATGATTTCAGCAATGCCTCCGGCGTACTGAAGACGTAGAACAAGCTCTGCTTGGCAAAGTTGCACACATCTGCTCTGGTTGTGGCATTGTCGCTGCTGTACATGTTCACCAGGGCAGTACATATCTCGAGATCCAGCCGTGACAGCGATTGCGGCGGCGTAACGAGCTCGCTCGCGGGGGTCTGGGAGGATATCTGCACATGCTTCTCCCCCCGTGTTGGCGTGACCTGTGGGGTCTGGGGGAGGAAGAGCCTCTGCTTATGACTGTGATGACCAATCGGCGGTGGCACCGCGGGGGAGGTCTTCCCTCGGGCACCCGCAAGAGAATGCTTCGCTTTGGCAGCGCCGGGGTGCGTGGGTGTCACTACGTCTATCAGCGCTTTCTGCACGGGGTTGGATGCGCGCCGCTTCTGGGCAGGAGGCTGCTGTAGGATCTCTTGATGTTTATGCTGCGACACGGGCTCAGAATCACGATGCAGCCGGCCCGTGTCTATGAGCTCCATTGGGCTTGAGTGGAACTTGTATCTCGGCGGCTGCTCATGGGGCGACGGCGGCGCCGACCCATTCCCGGGGGTGCTGTTTAGATCAGACAGCCTCGGCGGGCCCCCCGTAGTAGCCGGGAGCGCGCCCTCCGAAGAAAACCTCAGCGCCGACGTAATCGGGGGAAGCCCGATCCATTCTACCATTTTTAAAGACATCGTGTTAAACAGCTGCTGCGGGAACGACTTTGGATCCTTCAGGCCCTTATCCGTCACCGTCTCCGCCTCGCCCTCGCCGTGCCTCCTCTTCTCCCTACTGCCGCCGTTGCCACCGCCGGGCGAGCCCGAAACCGTAGTCATGTCCTTGTTCTCCTTCTCCGCCTCGTCGTCGTCGTGGATCTCCTCGCGGAAGCTGCTGTCGCGCGAGGTCCCGCTCTTGGCCTCCTTGGCCTCGGCGGCGTGCAGCGACATCACGGGCACCACCGGCTTCCCGGGACACAGCGCTTTGAACGGGTCGTCCTGCGTCGCGAGGTGGCAGGCGATGATCCGTGCCGACAGCACCGTGAGCTTCCGCGAGGCGTTCGTGCTCCGCGAGAGCGTCTTGCGGAACGTGTAGCAGGTCGCCGTGTCGCAGCGCTCCCGCTGGCACCCGTACAGGAGCTGGTTCATATATCTGGTAATGATCCCCGCTGATTAATGCACACATTCTCCTCCCCGAACAAAGCTTGGTTTTGGGGGAGTGGGGGGAATCGGGGAGGGGGAACTGCAGAAAGGGAAAGGAAAAAGAAAATAAAGAAGCGCATGACATACCGCTTCACAAGGCCCTGGAAGCCTCTCCGCCGCTCCGCATCAACAACTGGCTCGATCTTGTCTGGTGCCCGGACGTAGATTGTGTTTGCCACGATGACCTCTGGTGCGTTCGCGGGCAGCACTGCGTACTCGAACGAGTGGAGGCGCAACGTCGCTGCTCGCCCCTCCTCGGGTTCCTTGTGCGCCATGATGGCGAGCTTTTCTTCTTGTTGGGAATGGGTGCTTGTATGTGATGTACTCGGGGGGCGTTGAATGGGGAAAACGGTGATATGTTCTGAGAGAGCTGTGGAGGTGAGTTGTTTGGGCGAGGGAAGCTGGGACGCAGGGATGGATGGATTGACGAACTGCAGGAACGAACGGGGATGATGCAGCAGCGTCTGAGCAGGAGTGAGTGGGTGATGATGATGATGATGATGATCGCAGGTTGTGAGTTGTTGCTCCTCCAGAGCTCTGAGGCGGCTCTTTGCTTGGTTTGGAAATTATGACTGCGTGTGGGAATCGATCTGTCTGTCTGTCTGTCTGTATGTGGGAATATCTGTGAGTAGCTGGGTTGGGGTTAAAACGGTGCCATACAAATCAAGATCCAGGCAGGCTGTGTGTCACTTTGGCGAAGTTTGGCACTGTGGATAGTTATGAAACTCTTAAGATATTGTTCTGGCATAGACACCAAGCGTACTTGGTCTAACGGTTATGATTTTCGCTTCCCAAGCGGGAGAACGGGGTTCGACTCCCCGAGTACGCATTACATTTTTCTCTTTTTGCATGTCTCTGTTCCTACCTGGGACACCCGTTTTGTTACACGGGGGAAGAACATGGCCAAACACAGAGGCCCAGCATCACACTTGGTATTGACAAAGTGCACTGAGGCGCCAGGCGGGGTACTCTACCTACCTTCGTACGCGGCAGCGGTAAACACTCCGCATGTTTCAAAACCAAGTACGTATTTACCAAGGTACATACTCCATCTCTGCCCTACTAGAGATAGAATACAGCTGGAATACCTACCTCATCACTCAGCCCTCTACCCCGCAATGCCATGCCCTACCATAACAGCAGAGTAAGACAAGACAACAGACCCATGGCCATGGCATGTCATCGCAATCCACAACCACGTAGTTCCCCCAGTGGAAAGCCTCGCTGTCAATTGGTGTCTCACGCCAATGTGCACCGAGTGAGATCTGGTGAGTTTCTTGGCGGGAGCTGTTCGGAGTGGGTAAAGTGGGTATTTCTGCGGAGAGGAGGGAATATCCTAAGGGTCGGATCGGGGGTAGCTGGAGGTAAAAGGCCATGGCCGAACGCTTGCCGTGCAGCAACATCCACAAGCGGGCCCACAACCACTTCCCGCACCAGCCCAACCCTCGGCGCCTGGCTCTGGGCCGAGGAGTGTGCCCATGGTGCTGTCCACGAGTTCAGTGACAGCTCATGGCTCGGCGGTGTGCACATGTGTTTGGCCATTGTTTGCCCCCCGGCCCGCGCGCCAATGGGACAGCAACAACAGGGACAGGAACAACAGCGGCAGGAACAACAGCGACAGGCACAGGAGAAGCAGCAGCCGCTGCTGTGCCACCCCCCGCTAAGATAAGATAAAGGCTACTATACAACCATCAAGGCGATTGCGCTGGCTTGGGGGGGAGCGTTGGTATAGTGGGTTGGATGGAGAATTGTCATTGGCGGCTGCCATGACTCCTCGGGTCGTGGTGGGTATGTTTGGAGCGTTGGACACGCATAGAGAGAGGCCTCTGGGTGTGCGTGTGTTGGAGCAGTGATACCCTGCCCGATATAATATATATAGTTTAGGTATTGGATATCCCCGTAGAATGGAGTACAGCATCCATCTCATCCATCACCGTTCATCACCGTTAGAGTGCAGTAGATGAGTCTTGCAAGCCCATCCCTAGCACTAGTCCCTCCTACCTGCCCAAAAAAAAAGGACAAGCAGTAGAATAAACCAGCGGACGGGTATGCACCACCGGCACCGCACCGGCTACCCACGTTACATGCGGCCATCGTAGAGTATGTAGCTAGAGTACTACCTACATGAAATAGCTCCACCGCGGTCCCACAGCAACGGTAATTGAGATGCACCGCACAGCGTGCTACCCACTCTAAAATCACCCTAGAGTAGCAAATGGAGCTTCAACGGGCATCTTGCCTGCAAACACGAAAGCTTCTTCTTCTTCTTCTTCTGTAGCTAGAGTAGTAGACTTCCCGGTTGGCATGCTATGCTGGCTGGCAAGGTTCCTTTGTTCCGATCGATGCGCTGTCGGGCGTGACTCTTTTCCTTATCTGGCTTGCCCTTGCCCTTGCCAGGTGAAATACAGTCGAGCACATGGAGGGTAAAGACAGTAAGGTAGGTACATGTAGGTATATTAGGTGAGCGTGAATAGGTACGAGAGGGGGGCAGGCTGGTTGGCTGGATGGATGGCTGGTGCGAGGCGGGGTTCAACAGAAATGGAAACCCCATCCTACCCTCTGCGATGTACCTACTCGACTATGACCATCCTCTAAATACTCCTTCCACCTCCTCCTCCTCTGCCTGCCTCGAGGGTAAGTAGTAGTACAGTAAGTGCAGAGGAGCTCCACCTACAGACTATACTGCTTACGCACCCAACCACAGCACGCGGGGTTTCCAGTCTTAGTCTTTGGAGTGAAGGGTAAATTGTGAGCAGCGAATAGCTGCACAGAGAGGCCGAGTTACGTATCATATGTTTTACCAAACTGGCCGGCTCGCCTTTTCCTCTGCCTACTCAACCCCCCCATTGCCCATTGACCATTGACCATTGACCATTGACGACACACGCGGCTCAGTCGGAGAGATCGAGAGCGAGGGAAACTTCCATGATCATGATAGAGCAATTCCAAGGCTTGCACAATTTTTTTTTCCTTTCTTTCCGAGCCCTACCTGCAGAGCTCGATGGGCACCGCGTTTCTACCCCGTAGCCTACCTACCTATGTACATGTACTTGGAATCGATGCTCTCCTCTCCCCTACCTCTACCCTCAGTCCCTTAGACAGTGAGCACTTCTACACTTCCCATGCAGCACGCTCCAAGCAGAAGTGAACTTCCAATGACGTCACACCTCCAATACCACGGCTGCTATTCAAACAGCACCTTTGCTCCTGCTTCTGCCTGCCCCAGAAAAAACAAATTCCCTGAGTATCTAGCGAGGAACGAGAGGGGTTGCCCACTCTCGAGACTCCCACCAATCGAGTGATCACGAATGATCATTGGCTCCCCCCCCCCCAACCTCCCTCTCCCCCGCCCAGACCCCTGATTCACCAGCACCACCCACCCCGCACCGCCTCAGCCTTTAGCCACAGCGCGTCAACCTCCCCCAACGGCGCGGAGCCAATGGGCGCCCGCCAGCATACAGCGCGACCCAGGGTGGGGTGAGTGCGAGAGGACAGGATGGGACTGCATGCAGACGTCGTCCATCAGGGACGCTCGCTCGCCTTCATGCAGAGCCTAGCGAGAGAGGGAAATAGACGAGCGAGCCAGACAGGACAGGACAGGACAGGACAGGACAGGACAGGACAGGGCAGAACGGACGGGGCAGACGGGGACTGACAGCGTGTACGTCTGGTCTCTGGGGGGGGGGGCGGGGGGTTGGGCGTTGGGTGTTTTAACCTCCCCCTCTCGCTGTCGTTCTTCTTCTCTTCTCTTCTTTCTTTCTTTCTTTCTATTTACCTTGCCTGTCTGTCGTCTGCCTGTCTGTCTATCACGGTCCGGGTCTAGGTTCGCTCTGCTCTGGATATTATTTTTATTCTTTCCATCTTTTCTACTCAAGCGCTCAACTACTTCGTCTTCTTGCTAGCCAGCTGCCCTCCAAAGATTACATCTCCATCGATTCTCTGTTGACCAGAAGGATAGAAACACTCATACTCCAGTCGCATCACATCCTTTGCTGTCACTTCACTCCTCGTACCCATTCTCCACCTTCCCTATTCCACCCACATCTCCATCCCTATCACTTTCCATATCCTGGTTCCTGGATCCCATCCACTTGCATAGCACATCTTATATAGCTACAACCCCCAACCCAACCACCCGCAACACCTGAGTGAGACACCAGAAATAAAAAAAAAACACACACAAATGGCCGACGCATTGAATCTCCAGAACGCCCTCAGCGTAGCGCGAAACATCCCCGCCCTCACAGGCACCGTGACGGTCGTGGACGACGCCGGAAAGGTCGTGACCACTGTACGTATTTACCCATTCCGTCCGATCTCTTCTCCCTTCCCTCCCCCCCCCCCCCCTCTTATAAACCCGCAAAAACCAAAAACCAAAAATATAGGAAAAACTAACACATCTCGCAAAAAAAAAAGTCCAAAAACATCTTCTCCGCCTTCAAGTCCGCCCGCGAAGCCTACAAAGCCCGCAAAGCCGAGATCGCCTCCGAGCGCCACGGCGAAGCCACGCAACGCCGCCTCGAGGCCCGCCGCCCGGAGCCCCCGCGCCGCGAACACCGCTCCCACAGACAGATCACCGCCTCCTCCACCGACGACCCCACCACCACTACCGCCGCCGGCGGCGACGACAGCCAGCGCAAAAAGGACAAGAAGCGCTCCAAGTCCCGCAAGCACCGCGGCGACGACGACGCCGGCGAGGGCTCCTCCCGCCGCGGCAGTGGAGCGATGGTCCGCCGGGGCTCGGCAGACACGATGCAGACGGAGACGACGCTGGTGACGCCCGGCGCGCACGCGCAGCAGATGGCGATGCTGCACCATAACGCGTCGCTGCTGACGCTTGCGCCGGCGGCGATGTTTGTTGGCGGCGACCCGCTCGCCGAGTCGCTGCACGGGCTGCTGATGACGCTGCAGAGCACCATCGACGAGATGTCGTGCCTGACCGCCGGCATCGGCGAGTTCATCAGCGAGCTGCAAAAAGTCCCCGACACGCTCGCCGTCGTCGGGCTGACGCTCGCAGAGATCTCCGCGCTCGTGGCCAAGATCTCGCCGGCGGCGATCATGGGCATGAAGAGCGCGTTCCCCATCATTTTCGGCCTGCTCAGCTCGCCGCAGTTTGCGGTTGTGGCGGGCGTGGGCATGGCGGCGACGGTGGTGGTTCTGGGCGGGCTGCGGATCGTGGCGAATATGGCGGGCGTGGGCGAGAAGGATGAGGAGGAGGAGGAGGAGCGGGACCTGGATCTGGAGTTTGGCGTCACGCAGCTGCCGGACGATATCGAGGAACCGGAGCCGCCGAGGCGGGCAGCGACGGAGCCTGTGCCTGTGAGGGCTATCATGCCGGCGCCGGTGCAGGCCGAGGGCCCGTTTGGCGCGCATGGTGTGGGGGGTGCAGCGGCGGACGAGCGCGAGATGAGGAAGCGGATGAAGAGGCGCGAGAGCGAGAGTGCGGCGGTGAAGGTGGGCAGGGCGGAGAAGCCGCTGAAGGCGGTGTCGCCGGAGAAGGAGCGGGAGAGGGAGAGGGAGAGGGAGAGGGACCGCTCACATAGGGACCGCCCGAGACTGGAGCGCGGGGAGAGCAGCCGCAGACATGAGAGGTCGGATAAAGATAGGAGTGAGCGCCGCGAGAAACGGGATAAGAGTGAGAGGCACGAGAGGAGCGACCGCAGCGATCGGAGTGGTGGGAGCGGCGGACACGAGAGGAGTGATAGACACGACCGACACGAACGCAGCGAGAGAAGTGAAAGGGGAGAGAGGAGCGAGAGGAGTGATAGGGATAAGAAGAAGGAGAAGAAGGAGAAAGAGCTGCCGCCACTACCGCCCGCGGCCGCACCGACGTCAAAGTTCTCCTTGATCCGGCGAGCGACGGCGCCAGCGGCACCAATGGAGCAGCAGCAGCAGCAGCAGAGGCCGGCGGCGCCGAAGCGGACGCCGACGGGGCTGAGTGCGTTTTCATTGGGGTCGTCGAAGGCGTCGTCGGCGTCGGCGTCGGCGGTGGCGGCGGAGGAGAGGCCCGCGCCACCGAAGCGGACGCCGACGGGACTGGGTGCGTTTTCATTGGGGTCGTCGAAGGCGTCGTCGTCGGCGTCGGCGTCGGCGGTGGCAGCAGAGGAGAGGGAGAAGGTCAAGCCGAAGAAGAAGATGTTGGCGTTCTTTGATGGGCGGTCGTAGGTTAGGTTGTTTGTGATGGGTTAATGTGGGATGTGGGATGAGCGATGTTTTTTTTTTGATTGTTGTTTATACACTACTTACTACTTACTGGCGTTTTTTATTTTTTATATTTTTTTTTATTTTATATACTTGTGTTTGTGCTTTGGTGGTGGTGGTGGTGGTGCGTTCTTTAATACCTGGGTAGCTAGCTAGCTAGCTAGTCTAGAGATGGAGGTGGAGTAGCTGCAATTGTCTCTTTGAGTTTTGAACGCTCACTTTTTTTTTTTCCTCTCTGATTTCACTCGTATTTGGATTTCTCTTATGGTGTTTGCGTGCTGTGCTGTGATTGTCGCATGTAGCTCGAGTAGAGTAGCTGCAGTACCTAGAAGAGAATGAGTGAGGTTGGGACCTACATATTCATACTTGCTTTTTTTTATCCACCAAGATTTTCACACTCGTGCCTTTTTGCCTTTGCTTTTTTTTTTTGTTCTCGCGATAAAGAATACTATGCGGGCAGTATGTAAAGTTTGCTCAATTGGCGAACTGGTACCTACCTACGTGACGTGTATGGCAGGTTAGGTTCGATACAGAGAGTAGAGTACATACGCCGCTCCGCGCGCTCAGTTCCCATATCCTTGATACACATATCATATTCCTTTTTTGCTAGCTCCCACACGCATGCGGGATAAAAAAGCAAAAAAAAACGCACACCCACACACGCCCATCGAGATTGAGAGTTTGCTTTGCTTTCTACCGGCTGGAGCCACGTTCCCGTGGGCTGTGATTGGGGGATGGGATGGGATGGATGGGGTGTGCTGCTTTGGGAACGAGGTTTAGGTTTAGGTTTGGTTTGGTTTGGTTGTGATGCTGGCCAGCTGGGGGGTGCTTCATGGGGTGTCACTCGGCGTCAGCTTTCAGTTGTGGATTCGGTACGGGACGAGTGATTGATTGATTGTTAGAGTTAGTGAGCTAGTTGGCGAGTTGGTTATCTATGTACCCCGTGAATGAGATATCGGTACCCAGAATAGCACACCCCCCCCATATCCAGCAGCTCACATATGTATCCGCCCGGCACCCCACCACCATCCGAGTCATACTTCCGCACAGACCCCCCGCGCAGCCAACGCCAACACCAGAAGCGCGTACATGCCCCTCAACGCATCGCACCTCCGCCCTCACGCGAAACCCGGGGGCCTGGGTTGCAGGTTCAAGCTTTGCGGGGCGGGCCAGGCACATCTTGAAGGGCTGACCCGGAGGTGGTGGGTTGCCATGAGGGTGCGAGTGAGGGGTTGTGAGCTTAGCGAACTTGGATGGGGGGTTGTGTGTTTGCTGGTGTTGGTGGGTAGCTGAGTGCGTGTAGTTGGTAAGAGGATAGAGTGGAGGGTTAATGGGGAGGCAGAGGGTAGAGGGGGCCGGAGGAAGAGGGAGGGGGTTATAAAGCGCTGCTGGGGGTGTTCGAGAGAGAGAAAGAGAGAGGGTTCTTCTTCTGTCTGGATACCTGCTTGGTTAGCTGATTGCCCACGACTTTGAGTGCAACATAATAATACGATACCTACTACAATCCAACCAGCCCGCCAGTACCCACCCGCAACCCACAGAACCCCACAGAACCCTACAAACACTGCCCTCATAACCACCTCAATGTCCCAAGCATCCTCCGTACCTCTCTACACCCCCCCACGACCGTTCAAGAGCGAGCCCAGCCCAGACCCAATCCCACCGTACCGCAGCATGACCGTGCCCCAGAACAACAACCACGCCCCAGTACAGATGCTCGTTGAGAACCGTGAGCGCTCTGCCCCGGCCGCGAGGCATAGAGATGAGGAGTTGGCGGTGGTGGCAGCAGTTGGAGAGGCGAAGGTGCCGCCGGTGAGTGAGGGAAAGTTGGTGAATGGTAATAGTGTCGGTACCGTGGCAGTAGGGACGGGGGATGAAGAGCTCTATTCGGCCCCGGCGAATCCGGGTGTTACGGTGAGAGGTATGTTAATTAGTTTGTTTGCTATACTGCCCATAGGCCTTTCCCAGCCGTTCGTAGTCTTCTGCAGAAATAGTAGAAGCAGTATTGGTATTAGTAGTAATAGGAGTGGTGGCGGTGGTTTCCCTGTAATATTACACATTAACATCCATTCTAACCCCCCAAAAAACAGAAACCCGAAACCCCACACTTGAAGCCGAAGATACACCCATGGCCGAAACGTCCGAAACGTCCGCCGATAGCGGTCTTGCCGTCCTTGGCGGCGGTATGCGTAGAATGGTGGATCTTGTGAACCGGCTGCGGGCATCGGGGATTGAGGATCTTGGGCTACCGTTGCCGCGTATTGCGGTGGTGGGGAACCAGAGTGCGGGAAAGAGTAGTCTGATTGAGGCTATTAGCGGGGTAAGTTTTTGTTTTCGTTTGTTTGTGCGGATAGGGAGGAACATCAAGATGGGACGGAGGCTAATGTACGTGAGAGGAATAGATTAAAGTGCCGAGATATACGGGGACTTGTACTAGGGTATGTACTAATCTTATATGTTTGTACCTATGGTTCTGGGGATTATGGTTGCGCTTTTGGCACACCACAACTCAAAACCACCAATATAACACCCCCTACCTACTCATAAAGCTAACCACACCCTATAGTGCCCCCTCGAAATCAACCTTTCTGAATCCAGCCACCCTCGCGATAGCTGGCACTGCCATATCTCGCTGCGCTTCAAGAAGCGCTACGACCCCGACACCGTCTCCAAGAACACCTCTACGGGCCGCAGCTCCTCGCCCTGGGTCGAGCAAAAGGCCGAACAAGTGGCCTTCCTCGACATTGTCGACAAGTCGCAGGTCGAGCGCGCGCTCGTCGCCGCACAGCAGGCTGTCCTGAACCCAAGTCGCAACTGGCGCGAGTATGCGCGTGAGATGGTGCCCGTTGCAGCGGGAGGTGCTGCTGGGCTGAAGTCGAGGATTGGCGGCGGTGGAGCACGGGGGAGGAGGGGTCAGGGGAAGGGGAGTAAGGATGGAGAGGATGGGTTTGAGGTCAAGTTTAGTCCGAACGTGGTTTGTATGGATGTGAGTAATTCAATTAATTGATTGCAGTGGTGTATACTGACTGAGGCGGTGAAAAGATCACTGCACCGGACTTGCCGAACCTGGCGTTTATTGATCTGCCGGGTCTTATCCAAACCACAGAATCGGTAGGGTTGATCATTGGCTCTTTGTTACTATTTCTTACTATTCCAGTTAGTGGGATTGCTAATAATGGGGTAATGATCGGTTTTGCAGGAAAGTGAAAATTACCTGATCGACTTGGTAACCGGCTTGGCAAAGGAGTACATCAACCAGCCGGATTGCCTGATCCTGCTAGCGCTAACAATGAAAGGTTTGACTGCCCTGTTTCATGAGATATCACTCGCATGCTAACAACGACCGGTGCAGACGATGCCGTTAACCAGTCTGCAGCCCGCATTGCCCACGAGTTTGGCGAAGAAAGAACTATTGGTAAGTACCAGATAAAACCTAGATACCCACTCGGAAGATACGTGTAGCATGTATCTAACAAACAAACCTTATCACCCATCATTACAGGCGCTTTGACCAAGCCAGATACCGTTGGCCCCGGAGAATACGACCAATGGGTCAACATCCTCCGCGGAAACTCCCACCGCTTGAAGCACGGCTACTTTGTTACAAAGCAGCCTAACCAGGAACAGCTCAACCAGAGCATCGACCACGCCCAAGCCCGCGCGCAGGAAGCAGAGTTCTTTGCGAGAAGCGAGCCTTGGGCAACAGACCTTCAAGACCTCCAGCACCGCTTCGGCACCCAGGCACTGCAGAGCTACCTTGCCAAGGAGCTCGGCGAGCTGATCAAGAAACGGTACATATAATCTAGCGATTCTCCCTTCCCCCTTCCCTCCTTTGTGGTTTAAGTTTGCGTGCTGACCGACACGAAGGCTCCCGGACGTAATCAAACTGATCAAAGAGCAGCACGCTGAGGTTAAAGAGAAGCTTGTTGCGCTGCCACCTCCACCAACCGACAACCAGCTCTTCCTCGTCTACAACCTCATCCATGGCTTCAACACCTCGCTCAACAAGCACCTCCTCGGCGACAAGGACAACAACGAGTTCCCACACGCGCTGCGCCAAAACACAGACCAGTTCATCCGCTCACTCGGCAGTGTGCGTCCCACGCTAAAAGTCTTTGAGACGTTCAAGGAGGAGAATGACATTGTGCGCCTGCTGGAAACACCCAGGAAGGAGAAGGATAGGAGCCATAATAATCACCTACAGCAGTCGGCGAGACGTGCCCAGGGGGGGAACGGAGCGGACCCGTTTGAGCGTGAGAGGGAGGGGTCGCCATCCTTGAGGAAGGGGAGGAAGAATCAGCAGGGCCCGGAGGTGCATACCCTCTCAAGTGGCGATGAGGGGACTGTTGCTCATGTCAAGAAGCGAAAGGTAACTAACGAGGCTACGGTCCCCATGACGCCTAAGAAACTCAAGAGGGTAGATGAACGTAAGTTTAAACTCCCTATATGATTTAGTCATTGGCATGTTGGTGGGTGAACGGGCTCCCCAGAATCTCGACTTAATGGCTTTTTGATATCACAGAACACAAATACAACCTCCCTCAAATCCGGCACATTATTGACTCTACCGCCACCGCCCAAATTCCCGGCCAAGTCGACCCCAAAGCCATCGAGAATCTCATCAAAGAGACAATCTACCTCTGGCGCCCCATCCTCGAGAAGTTCATCTCCGACTCGGCCCAACTCCTCAACCGCCGCATCCACAACTGCTTCGTCGAGAACTTCGAGACCTATAAGAAGAGCCCCATCTTTGTTGAGGTCTACACAATCCTCCAGAACCAGCTCAAAGAGTCGTACGAGCGCCTTAACGAGGCCGGCGCCCGCCTGTGGAACTTGGAGGTCAACCAGATCTGCACTCTCAACGACGAGGACTACAAGAAGCACATTGCCAACCACTCCCGCATCCTCAAGGAGCGGCGCAAGCGCAACCTGCTAGAGCAGAACGAGCATCGTGAGCAGCAGCTGCAGGCCGAGAATACGGGAGGAACGTCGCGGAAGCGGAAGCTTGGTGGGGGCGGTATTAATGGCGGGGGCGGGATGGCGATGGGTTCGGACGATAATTCGATGGATGATCCGTATAGTAAGGAGATTGATGTGCTGGCCGAGGTCAGGGCGTACTCGGAGGTCGCCCAGAAGAGGTTCATTGATAACGTCTACATGACGGTTAGATTTGAGATTGCAACGGTGTTTTTAAAGGCGGTACCGGTGGCACTGGATCGCGATTTAGGGCTGCAGAGGCCGGATTGTATGTGCATATATAATCCCTCTATTCCTATCCTATCATATCCAATCGGTATGTTTGGGGTTGTTTTGCTTGGTTTTTTGTGGCTAACATTCACCGCGGTGACCGCAGCGAGCCAAATTTGCGCGGCGCTCCTAGTGGAGGACCCCCAGAAGGAGAAGGAGCGGGCCATTTTGCTACAGAGGAGCGAGCAGCTATCGAGGGCGATGGAGGAGCTATGTCGCATCACGAATTGAAACCTTTTTATTTAGCCTTTTTATTTTATTTTATCCAGCTTGGTTAGTATAAGTGTTGTTGATGTTGATTCCTCTCTTTTTCCTCTTTCCTTTGCGTTATATGTTGTGTTTGCTTGCGCTCGATCATAAATTACTATGCACTCTAGTAAGAGACATCCGGAGAGAAGGGGAGAGGTATAGTTATTTATGTAGAACCTTCATGTGCCACTATCTGCTCTGAGCCCCAAGTTTTCTTTTCTTTTACCAGCAAAGGCTTTTTTTCAATGAACGAAGATTTCTTTCTTTCTTTTTTTATCTCCAACCATCTGTGACACTCTAGGGAGCCCAATCAGCCTCCCGAGTTTACCCCAAAGAAACCCCATCGTGAATAATAATTCGAGTTTAATAGCTAGGGACCGATATGTAGTTGTGTAGGTACAGTCCGTATCCTCGCCCAGTCTGCCTTGTGTTTGATAGTTATTGAATGGTGTTTATATAATAATTCTGGCTGTCTAAGGTGCGGTTAGGCACGTGCACGCATCAGCTTGCAGATGACGCATTCGCTGCTGTTGAAAGTATGACGAGGATTAAAGCTTCAATTTTTATCGATGCCTAGAGCTAATATAAGCTATCTTATAAAGGTCAGATAGGACAGCGGGTTCTTTACTATTCGACACCGTGACCTTACTGCCTTGAACAACACATCCAATAACTGCACGTGCTCATGTTCTGGTCACGAGTGATTTCATATGATCGGCCATTCTAACAGTTATGAACGAGTTACATATTTATAAACATACAATAATAATATTAACTGACCATCTCATGGTCCACTTTACATATCCAAGTATAATTAACGACCGTGAGATCTTCATCTAGCATTAAAGCGCCCTCGGCCAGATGGCATCCCTAAAGTTGCTACTCCACCCCAAATCATAGATATTATCAATTTCCCTAAGTCCTTGGACACGGCGCCATATTATGCCCCTTGGTATATCCCCCCTATTTGTGGGGTCAATACGGTAGAATAGCTGTGTCGTGACTCGTGGCCAGTCACGACACATCTCGTCTGCATCGAGCTCTGTTATATCATCATCTTCCTCGGGGTCGGCGAGTAAGATGTCGCCGTTTTTTATGTCATCGCGCCAGTCAGACCACTTGATCGTCTCATTAGTGGTTGTGCCAGCCCAGATTAGGTACCTAAGCTTATTAGTTACTGCCAGAATTTGATTTCGAGGGAAGTGAATATTACAGGTGGTAAATTGTGAATGCAAATGATAGTACGCCGGTCAACATGCAAAGAAGGAATACAGCGCCAATGTATATTTCTTCAACTATGGCAACGCCAAAGAGATGGAGGTAAACAGACCATGAGAGAGTTTCGATGGCGATTTGGGATGGTATTAGGGCCCGGACGATGAAGGACTGGATTATGCTGAATGAGAGGTATAAACCATAACTCAGAAGGATATTTGTTGCGGCGAGGAATGCGAGGAAGTGGCGCGTGTTGAGCTGTCCTACGCAGTTATTTATCCAGACCTAGGTAATTTTTGCATTAGTAGCTGCACTCAGTGTATGTAGTATCTGTAGATAGAACTCACACAATGATGGTCATGCTTTGCTATGCAGTGCTTGCCTAATCCGCTCAAAATTGATATTAGCCTCTTAATAATGTGATACGTATGGACTCTTTGACCTACAGATAGAACAATGTTTAGATCGTGCCGGCTTTGCTAACTGACAAGTTCGGCATATGTTTCCAGGTCTGAAGTTAAGGTGGTCGTATGGATAGCATTGCAAGGACCGTTGGTGATTCTCCGGGGTAATAAAGCCTGGATCCGAAGTAGCAGCAAGATACATAGTTATATATGGAAGTGTTGCCACTATTGGGATGCACATTCTTTTTTCACGCATAAGTACACGTAAGTCCATGAACTACTTTATACAAGGAGCGTGGGTGTAGAGGAGGCAACCATAACACACCTATGAATCGATGATAGATGCTTCCAGCCATCTTTGGTGAACATGTATATCCCACCGGTTACAAGCGTCAAGTAAAAAGCCTAATTTTATATTGTCAGTGCTGATCTCTAGAACATTAGTGAAATTTTGACCCACCATAATGATTGGATGTTTCTCATTCATAAGATAGTTCCCGGTTCCCATAAGGGCGGGACCAAGGCGACCGCAGGTTACCGCCCTGTCGAGAACGAAAAAGCATCTCGGAATAGTTTTCCATAGGAACCGGTGCGCAAACCCTATTGGCGTATTTCTTTAAAAAAAAATAAAAAAATCATATATTAATAACCAAAGTACGGGTTGATATTGGAGGGGAGAGAAATTAATCAGGCCCAGGAATGAAAAAGAAAGAATTAACTGGGAGCCTAATAGGAACCGAAATTCCAAGAATTATAAGAGCTGGCGAAGGGAGGATTAAAGTCACCTTAATCCCGGGACATGCCCGAATAGCGCAATAAATACCAGAAGTGATATCCCAAGAACCACAACTGCGACGTCCCGAACTGTGCCCATCTCTTTACGACCCCAGGTCTCTTGCTGGCTGGCAGATGAGCTTGTTGATTGAATGCTTCCTCCTTCTGTTCTTACTCTCTCAGTCGGATTTAGACAAAGAAGATGCCCTAGAGAGTTGTTGTCACCGAACAGCTCGAGCCCTTGTAACGCCGCCGGAAGCTCAGAGAGTACTACAGTACAGTATGTGCGTCTTGCGAAGGAAATGAAAGTTTAAAGAGCAGAATATGTATCAAGTGCCGAGAGATTCCGGGACCTTAATTGTGGGTGCCTTCCTCGCCGCGTTACCAGCTTACCATTTACATACTGCCGCGGGTCAACCTGTGGCTTCCCAAGCAGCACCAGCCGTGCGAATTCTTAAGCGTGCGCCGGAGCTTATGTATCCTGACGTCGCTTGTCTCTTTGTTCAGCCTCAGCCTTCCCCAACTGAATGCTTGGTTCAGGGGATGCCTGTCAAAAACCTAACGTAAATTGCTCCGTTGGAACTTTGAGGCTCCGCCCTAACACGTCGTCTCGAGGGTCGCGTCATCTTACTTTACAACACGCGTCTTATCACTTCTACCATTTCAAACAATCTTATCAACAGAAGTGAGGCTGCAAACCGCATCTCGTATGGCGGCGATCATACAGGAAGGTCAGATGTCTGCCCCTACCCAGGGCGGGCTCTTTCAAGGGAAGAGTTTCTGGTTGTCGGCGAGAGTTCCCATGCGCAAAAGATTTACCGAACAGATCAAAGTCTAATCCCCTACCATAACCACTGTGTAATGAACACCCATTGACTTGATGTAGGTGAATGGTGGAAATGTTGTCCTCAGTGAAAAGGATGCCGACATACTTATCGTGGACCACTTGAGGGACCATACAGGCGACACGGCGTACGGCTTCCTTTTATAATCGTTAGATAATGCTGTCAAATTTGGCACATTCACTCATTTTTTGCGTATAGGTTCTCGTACAAATTTATTGAGAAATCTATAGAAAATAAAAAATTGGAAGACCTGGACGATCACATAGTTGTGCCCGTGGGAAAGAAAAAGACATCGAAGGCCAGTGGCCTCAAAGGGTATGTCGAGCATGACACCGAGATAGACTTCTGCTGCCAAAAACTAATATCTTGGTATATAGCCGCAACACTTTTACCCAAGAGGATGACAATATTCTCTTCGAAAAACTGGCATCCGTTGATTCGGGCTATAATGGCAATAAAATCTATCAGGAACTCCACAAGAAAGTAAGGTGTCTTATCCAAGTATTTGTTGATTCTTATTCACATCATCTCCCTAGTATCCGCACCATACAATGCACAGCTGGCGAGGCCGCTGGGTTGACCATTTTTCTAAACTCAAAGATTCTCAATCAAGATTGGAAAAATTAAAAGAGATAAGGGATCAAATGGAAGACGAAGAGGAATCGGATCAACTAGATCTGACAGAAAGTCACGAAGAGCCAGAAGTGATTCCAGCTAAAAATGGTTTGGAAACATTTACCAAAGAGGACGAGGCTATCTTACAGAAAATGGCGGTTGAACTATTAGCAAGTTCTGGTGGCGCGATCTATGAGAAACTGAGTAGACGAGTAGGTAATCTTGATTGCTGCAATGCCGACCTGTGCTAACTTTTAATTTGAAGAACCCACGACATACCCCCGAAGAGTGGTCCACCTATTTCAACAAGATAATGCTTCCTAGAATCGCTCACAAGAATACAAAGAAAACGTCAGACGAGTCCTCATCTAACGGTCACCATGATGAGTCTGAAGATGAGGAGCAGCCCATATCTCTTATTAGTGAGGGGAAGGCCATGTCAAGGTCTGTTCGGAACATTGAAGAGGCGCTTGAATCAACCCCAAGCTCTCTTAATCTAAAGGGCAAAAAGTTACAACCCCCCGTAAACACCAAATCACCGCTACGCACTATGAGTGTGAGGGAATCACCAAGATACTGGAGTAAGGAGGGAAATAAACCATTGGCAGATCTTCAACCTCACAAGAATGCAACTAATTCTTCAACTGAGCAAATGATATCCACCACGAAGGATAGTTCAAAAGCCGTTGATGAAACAATAGCCACAGATATCCCAGAAAACCTGCTACAGCAGAAACAGCGAAAAAAAGACGAACCCAATAAGGGCAAAACTTCTGAAATCACTCCTCTATCTCATGATAAGGTCCAGTCTGACATTCTGCAAAATATCCAAAAACGAAAACGTGAAAAGGAAGCCCCTGCACCGGGGCAGAGAAAAAGGAAAAGAAATTTCCACGATGTGATCGAATCTACGCCTGAGGCCGAACCAACCATACAATCTCGTGTGCTCTCTCCAGAACTTGGTCAAAGTTCCCAGAAGAGTTCCCCGCCTGTTGTCAAGAAAAGGGGAGACAAGAAGTACGGTGAAATGAGCACACAGGCGTTATATGATCAGTTGGATAGGGGGGAGTTACTCGCAGATATGGAATTCCCTGAGTTGGAGCTTCCTAGCACACCTACTTCTAGTCCTGCAGTACCACCACCGCCGCCCCCGAAAGAACAGGCTACCCCACCATCTAAACCCTTGCCGAAAACCCCTGCATCTGCATGGGAATCTTCGCCTACTTCCCCTAAAGATGACGACTCCAGTAGCATAATAGAAATGAGTGTATTTCTTGACTATTGTCAGGAGAAATATAGGACATCGGAAAAAAAGGTTATTGATGCAATTGAGAGAACTAACGGGGTTAGAGCGCTGGTAGAGGTGATATTGGGATGTGATGCCACGGGGCAAGCGCCGCCTGATCTTCCAGGAATATGGACCCGAGAGCAAGATCAAATTCTCCTGGGAGCAGATAGTAAGGTGATAAAGGAGTTGGCGGAAACTAAAGGGGAAGAGCAGATGCTTAAGAGGATGGAGTTTTTGAATATGTGGAATAGGGCTTGATTCATTTCAATGATAATGTAACAACATTGCTTCGAAATTCTTTGGGTTTAGCTCTCGTTTTTCTTGTTTCACTTTTACTTTGCGCTTTTGGCAAGCACAAACGATGAGTTTTCCCACTCCTCTTACCCTAACCTTTAGGTACATGTAGCTACATATGTATCCTTCGATGTTCCAATTGTAACAGATAGACCTATGATGAGTTAATATCATTAGATAGAGTTCATGCGTCAAAAGAATCGTTATTAGCCGCAGTTATGAGAAGCATTTTTAAGCGGGGAAAGTTGTCAAATTGATGAGACTTGTCCTGGCAAAATTAAAAAATCAAAAAAAAGTGGCGCAAAATCATACCCTTAGGGCAGGCACCTTTTATCGAGGCCTAACATATGTAGGCCGAGAACTCACCCATTCCTCTGTTTTCAAGATCGTCCAGAGTTCTCGTTATAAAGTCTCGGCGTCTCGGCGTCTCGGAAAATCTTCTGAGTGGCTAGCAAGTTATACATCACTCCGGAGATAGGCGTCCGAGTGATTTTGTGTGACCGAAGGCAACACCTACAGTGTATTTTTCTTTCTTTGAACCCGACACCAATAGGGCTCGAAAACAACAAATCCTTTGTGCAGTAGCGCAGATCAACGGGTGAGTTGTGACAATCATGCAACAAATCGAAAAGTCCTTCGGTGGCACAAGGAGGCGCAGGTGGCTCACCGGCAGGTAGGTGAGAGGCAGAACTTCTAAGTTGGGAATCTCGGAATTTCAGGGAGGATTTCGGTGAGGCGGTTTAGTGTTTGATGTTTAGTATATTTGAGGGAGACGCCGGTGAGATAAGTTGAGAGCTATGGTGATGGATGAGGTTTTCAGAACTTGAGTATCTACAAGCTCGAGAGCTATGATAGCTTGATGCTTCACGATCCACTAGCTGGAAGAGAGTAAAGCTGATTATGGCTGACTCGTTCGGAGGTGATAAGTATGAGGTGGAAGCAGGGCGTAGGCATGCGCTCAATATCCGAGGTGAAGCCGTTACTTTACCGTACATGTGCAGTCTGTACTGTACCCTAGGGTAGGGAAGGTAGAGGTGAGGTTAGGTTTAGCTAGGGACGGTTGCGGGAGGCCAAGACCCACACTGCAAAACCATTGGCGCAGCCTCGTCTGGTGTTACACAACCTTCTATACTTAGCGCGG